TCTTGTGTTTCCGCGAATTGGGAGGCCACGTTGCCCACTCCGGGGGGTGACGCGTGTGATATACCACCACCACGGGGTCTCAGAGCCTCCATGGTGGTTTATAGGTGCCAGAAGGCCCCTATCGGTCGATTGACGCGTGAAAAAGACGTGTTTCTCTTGGGTGCTGATTTTGATGTTCCAGGCGCCCCGTCCCCCTAGTTAACTAGTTATCAGTGATTATTTTCCCATCCTCCTTCAACCACGACATTCCCTCCCTATAATTCTCCTCTTCACTCAGTCTGGGCTCCAATTTTAAAAGAAGACCGGTTAGTGAAGCAATGATCGTCTGACACGTCTATCCTCACTACGAAGAAGAGAGACAAGTGACGGCCTTTGTCTGAAAGAGAACGACCACCTTCCCCTAACTATGACCTGCCTTTCCTCTACAAGAAACCACCACCATCATCTTGAAGAAGAGCATCCTCCTACATCATTCCTCCAATGACATTGACAGGTGGCCCAAGATGAACCTACTTCAGTTACCAGCGGCAGGTAAGATTGGTTCACCACCTCTTCGTGTTTGGCTGCTACGGAATCGCAAGTTCTCGCTACAAGCCACCCTGTTGAGAGATCACGTCATGGACTCAGCGAATATGATCGGTACATTGATCGCTTTGGCAGTTTCTAAGATGGTCAAGCTGGAAACATTCATCTGGGATATACCATTGTTGATACCCAGAGAAGTGTGGGTTGCGCTTTTATTGCTAGCAGATCGTCCGGGGTTTGGAGCGCGTCTGGATCCGATTCCCCAATTACCTGGGCTTTGATTCCGGAAAATACCCGACCGCATCTATCTTGCCACCCTTGAAAAGTCTTACAGTCCTTGATATTGACCAACCTGCCTATCTGGAAGAGATGGCGATATTGATAGAGCGCTCGCGAGACCGGCTGAGAGGACTATACATTGGTATAGCCGTCGGGTGTAAGAATGAGAAGTGGACAAGACCTTCAAAGACTCCCTCGCAGACTTTAGAGAAGTCATCAGAGTGGCCAAAACCCGACGGACGGTGTCTTGGGGATTCTCCAAGGTTCTTTCTAGATACCTAAATCAGCCGATACAATGGAAAATATCACCGATTCTGATAAGAATCAGGTTCCGAACCAGATTAGCGGCCCGGCTCTGGTAACGGAGACTCCAGTGCCTAGTGGTTATCAGCAAGACCGACAAATTCCGAATCGTCAAATCATTTATCCTCACCCCAAGGAGCCAAAGTTGCAGGTGTCGTGCAATTACCAGAAGAACAATCGAGCATTTTGCAGGGCAGCGAAGATGCCCCTCGAGTTTCGAATAAATCTTTTCAGACTTTTCCTGATAATGGCCATGCCTTCCTGAAGCTTGAGGTCTTGGAATTAGAGTGAATCGATATGTCGGTTCCAATCATGATGCGGACCATTGACTGGACTAAACTGACGGGGCACCGATGAGAAAATAGACGACACGACCGGAGGTCGGGTACCGGAGATAGGGTGTTGGGAATGGAAGATGCTTCAGACGCTCCGGCTACATAATATGTTCATCTACAAAACTGGGCTCTTCAAGGCACAGTCAGGGACTGTAGTGCTCGCTTTTCTTTTATGTCTAGCTAGGGGCTTATTTGGACCAATATCTTTTGGGTTTATTAGTGTTGCTAATCACTTTACTTGTCGGTATCTATTAATACATTTCTTGAACATAGCTTATTGCTACTTCGGACTAGCTTGGTTTTTCTAGCAGTGAATGATTGACGCCATTAGTACTGCCCTTGCCCACTTTAGCTCTTCTTTTCCACGATACCTCCATTCTCATAATTTGTCTCTTGATTCCATTTGGATGGTGGGAACTTCATCCTACATAGCATTGATATGGCATATATGAACCAGAGAAGTTTAACAGGATGGTCCACGAGGCTTCACCAGTATTTTTGCAAGCTATTCTAATATCTTTTCAAGGCTACAATGAATGATGACAATAAATTCGATCTACAAAAAGCCCAGGTCAAATCCTTCCCGATGATAGGGTTCTGCATGTCAAAGTTCGAAGAAGAAGAGGGATTTACTCTACAGACGATATCTTTTTTTTTTTTTTTTTTTTTTTTTTTTTTTTTTTTTTTCAATGGCGTCGGCTCTCGATCCAACGCCCTACTCAACTATCAACACAAATACCAAGCTCATAGCCCCGGATTATGAGAAGCACGGGATACTATGTTATCTCGAACATTCACTGTGTGGCCTTGCCCTGTGAATGACAACCACGTACGGTTTTATCATCTTTTCTTGCTCGTTTATACTCTGAATAGGACACATTGGTTTCACCTTTTTTCCGAGAGGACATCTCCTTCATGCTTTAAGTCTAAGGTAACTCCTGAAAGCATCCAGTAAAGTGCTACGTTGACAGTCCACCGAGGACCTATTTATCTTCATCGAGAAAATGAGCATCCTCAGCCAACTATTAGTCAAGTTATTTGGTCACAAACGGCCTCGTTCAATGCAAGCAGTTTCAATGATTTCCCTGTCGCGAGCGTCGATATTAATAGCACGAATCAGGAAATGCCATAATAAGGATGGCGAAAGCCCGACGGCATTCCGGGGGTTTGTCTGATGATACTCTCACGTTCGACAACTGCTTTGGACACAAGCTTGATGTTTTAAACAACAGCATGTCACGCTGTGAGATACAACTTTCGCTCTCATGGCGCAAAGAAATCGGAGCGCACGGCGCCCACTGTTTTTCTTATGAGGAAAGGGCATGACGATCCCCCTGTATTTGAAGAGTTACTAAAGGGACGCAATGTCGCCTTCGCTTCTGCTGTTCATGCAGGAAAGAATTGCCTCACAAACACCCTATACCTACACAGTGTTGCCGTTTCCGGAATTATCAATTTACATGAGCGATATGCAACAGAAAGTTCTACGTTAGCACGGCCAAAACAGGCTCTGATTATACACGTGCCAGATTGAACGGGCAGATATTTCACGCGATGGAAGATATGGCGATTGACCCAGATGGGTTGCCATCCGAGCTGAGCAAAAAGATGGCACAACTTGAGAAGTTATCCATCGCAGTAGAGGGGACTGATTTACCACTTCTTTTACCATTTGAACTATGAACAATATCGGCTCGAGTTTTGAAGAAATGTCTCAGAATTATGCTAAGAACATCGCATATTTTCATTGGAGAAAGCAATTTTTGATATGTAAAAATGATGCTGCGAATAAAGCATATGACTTCTGAGAACAAGTCATATTACAACCTCTTAGAAGCAAGATGGAAGGCATGAGCCAAAAAATGGCCCTGGGCTTCCCTCGTCCAATCTCTTCAACGACATGGATCAAAATAACACACGTCCAGGTCCCCTGGCAGACAAAGTCCGCTTGGTTCTGCGCGATAGCGCGCCTTCTCAATTCCGACTAACAAACAAACAATATGTTGTTGATTTCTAATGGACTTGGATGTCTTAATGTCGAACATCACGTATGCCGTTTCAAGTCTTAGCAGAGATACCGCGGAATGCCACCATCGCTATGAGCCCAACAAGCCAAAGACTCTGAGAAAACAGATACTTTCAGGGCTAGATGAGAGATTGTCCCGCATGGTTGGTGCCAACTTGCCATTTCTGGCCCAGATTTTGCCTGTTCTGCTGAACATCCAGAGCCTACTTATACGTCGAAGCTAGCAACGCATCTCAAACCCATACACCTGGCAGAGCAGTTGTTCGATGTGACTTCCGTCATAGAACAATTTCGCTTCCCATTATCTATATACTCAACATGCTGCTGTGCTACTAATCACACAAATGTCATCAGTCTAGAAGCAAAGCATCTTCAGCGATGCCTTACTTCCTGTTAAGCGAATACCGCAGGAGACGTTGAAAGACAACGTCGCCCTTCCAAGGCTACGCCTGGAAGACCTGATTTTACGCGAAATGGGATACATTTCCATTCACCTTTTACGACAGTTTCAATCACACGGTCGATTTCGGACCTGGGATGTCCTAAAAACAATCAGTTGCCTTAACCTATTTAATCAGACCATACGTCCACATGGCCCGAGCTGTTTATGTGGCCCTACCTTGGCTGGTTTCTTTTCAACATTCATGCAGGTTAAATGTGCATGTTGCTGTTACAGCATCAGCCTCCTACAAAATGTCAGGTGCCAACTGACCATTTCCGGTCCAAAGGTTGCTGAGCATCCCAGCCCTACTCTTCCATAGATGTCGATGCAGCCGTCGCCACCCTGTACATATTTCAGAACAGGTATTCGGTGTGGGTTCCGTTATGGTACAATTTCGCTCGCGCATACTGAATACAGGGTTCGTTTTTGAAAATAATGCTGCCAGTGTTCATATTGCCTTGATTATCCAAACCCAAAGATAACAGGCTGATTGCATAAATGGAATCAACATTAAAGGGGGGAGGCATCCTTATATTTTCATGATGACAATGTCGAGTTCAGTTGCGCAAATTACGCAGGGGCGTTGAAGAAGTGGCCCTCTAAATGCATGGCATGAGACACAAAATTGTGCGGAAGGATATATTTCCCTGCAGTTTCCACTCCGGTACAATTCGAGGAGTCAGTTTGGAACTGGGACATCCTGCAAGTAACGAATTACCCTGTGCAGCATCATCAAACCATACATTCGTATAACCTGGGGTGTTAAATGGCTGGATTGGTTCTTTTATTGCAGGGTTTATGTCGGACATGCACATGCATGTTGCTGTTACAGTATCAACCCCCCCCCCCATATTTCATACATATGCAGTCCTTGATCGTTTCAAAATGCCAGTACATACTTACTGCTTGAAGGTATTGTTTGATATATACCTTGCTGTACTCCGTCCTGCAGAGAGTACTCCGCACATGCAACATACTACCCAACCTTGAAAACTACCCTTGCATTCCTAACCCCCGAGAGTCCTACATGCATCACCCAGCCAACCCCTCGTCGCATTCTTTTCACACCACTATATAAATATATCCCACTTCACCAACTCAATTTTCTCTTCATCAGCATCTATTCTATTCTACTATTCTGGAATACCGACAAAATGCACACCCTCGCCCTATTCACCCTGCTGGCGACGGCAGCAGCAGCAGCAACTACAAAAACCCTCTATGCAACGCACTACAACGGCACCGTGTACACTCTCTCGCTCAATCTTGAGGACAAGAACCCCGATAATGCGCTCAGCGTATCCTCCGGAAAGGACACCTGCGGTGATATGCCCAGCTGGCTCAGCCTAGACCGCTCAGCGGGCGTCCTCTACTGCTCCGATGAGGGCGGCAACGCAACGGTCCCGGGCTCACTTACCGTGCTATCCACTGCATCGCAAGGAACAGTGGAAGAAATCGTGAAAGTAGAGGACGTCGGCGCGGGCGTTAACAGTGCCTTCTACGGTGGTGAGAGCGGCGCCGAGTATCTCGCCGTTGCGCATTAGTACGTCCTCCCCCTCCTCCCCCTCCTCTCCTAGTTTCCAGCGCAATATGAATAGCCGTATTAATAAAGTAATAGCGGCGCCTCTGCCCTAACAACCTTTCCCCTCCCCCTAACCCCCGCCACAACCCCCCTCCAAACTCTCTCCTACAACCTAACCGACCGCCCCGCGCCCAAACCCCAACAAGACGCCTCGCACCCGCACCAGGTCCTCCTCGACCCAAGCGGGGAATTTCTTATCTCCCCGGACCTCGGCATGGATCTCATCCATGTGTACACTGTGAATGCGTCGAACGGGCGGTTGGATGAGGGTAGGGGTGTGGAGTTCCCGGCAGGGAGTGGGCCGAGACATGGTTTTTTTACTTCTGAGGGAGGGGAGACGAGGTTGTATACTGTTAGCGAGTTGAGTGGTGAACTTACCGTTTTCGATGTGAGCTATTCGACATACTGGTGTCCGACTTTCCACAAGATTCAATCGATCATTCCTTATCCGAATGGGACTCTGCCCTCTGACGCGACACCGGCTGGTATCCAGATTAGGGAGGGCAATATCTACATCTCGCTCCGCAGCGACCAGTCGTACCCGGGCATTGAATCCGATTCCATCGCGACGCTCTTCATTAACAGCGACGGCACGGCGACGTTCCACAGTCTGACCCCCTCATATGGCAAGGTGCCAAGGACGTTGGTTGTTAATGACACCGGAGATCTGGTGGCGATTGGGAACCAGGCGAGTGCAAGTGTGGTTGTTGTGCGGAGGTTGGAAAGTGGGGAGTTGGGGGAGGTTGTTGGACGGGTGCTTGTTGGGGAGACGGGGGCGGTTGGAGAAGAGGAGGGGTTGAGTAGTGTTGTTTGGGGATAAACGTGTTCAAGGGAGAGATGGATGGGTGGTGAAGAAAGTGGATTGAAGTATTGACATTGACAGAACCGGCCGGAATGCAAACATGCGGTATCAACAACAGGAAATAAGAATGTAAATGAACATGAATATAAACAGAACATGCAAGCCCATGACAAACGTGTATAGTCTTTTTTTTTTTTTTTTTTTTTTTTTTTTTTTTTGTTTTTGGCGTTTTTCTTTTCGTATAACAAACAATCCAAGAAACCAGTAACCGAACAACAAGCAAGCACACTGACGCCCTAACCTTGACCCTTTCCCGGACGTCCAGTCGTACATTCGTAAGCGTATCCCTAGAAAAGAATAGTAAACAACATAAACCACAATATAAGCATAAAACAAGCGTGAATCGTAAAGCGTAATATCAACAAACAGGTATCGTAACATATGTGCAGAAATTCAAAGTGCAAAGTTTAAAGCAAAGTGCATCACCGGAAAATGAGATCAACGAAACTCAAGCTGAAATGCCTTCCATTTACCCCCGACCGTACGGCATCGCGGACACCCTCTCGGACCGGGACTAGGATGACTAGTTGGACCAGGACCAGAACCAGGACCGGGACCGTGAAACATGCCGTTCGTAGGGCCGCTGCCAGGACTCGAGGTTATGTTTCGGAACATGTTGGCGGGACTGGTGAGGAACATCCCGACGCAGTCGCGACAGACACCGCAGATGCATTCGGTACAGGCGTAGCAGTCGTCCAATGCCCAGGGGCGCTGGCAGCTAGCGCAGTAGATGGTGATTTCTCTGCTCCGGAGCGATGTCGGCGTGGGGTTCGAGAAGCGGTGGTGTTGTCGCGCGTGCATGGATGAGGGGTACATGTTGTAAACCGGGCTGGAGTCTGATAGCGCGGACGGGGCTAGATTACGAGAGACCGGGAAGTTCTTGCCTGAGGCACTCGAGGCCGAATCGAGCGAGGATTCGATGGACGGGAAGGGTTCTAGATCCGAGTCGCGACCGCGGTGCATTTGCGGTGGCGGGGTCAGCGACTTGTGTAGGGGCGATGCAGTGTACGGCGGGGGGAGCGAGCGATGCGGGGGGTGGAAGGCGGGAGGAGGGAGCGAGGAGCGGATCGGCTGGTCCAACGGTGCGGAGGTGATATTGGCGATAAGCGGAGGAATCGTAGGCGACGGGCCGTGCTGTCGTGGTCAGTTAGCATAATTCATATCAATCCATATACAGGGGCAGGGGACTACCTCTGAAGAACGGTCATCATCGGCCTCTGTAGCGGACGTAGCAGCTTCAATCAGATCTTCCCAGCGCTTACCTTGGGCCCAGGCGGCGGTTTGCGGTTCCGCAGACAAGGCCTTGCGTTCACCGAGACTGGGACGACGGGGCCGATCGTGTTTGGGTTTGCGAGCATTCTGCGTGATGGACGACTTGCGGGGTCTGGGGAGCCGGTCTTTGCGGTGGATCGGGGGCAGCGTCGAGGAGCGCGGCGGGGGCGAATGGGATAGGATGGAGGGGAGCAGGAAATCCTTTCTCGGGCGCGGGGGAGAGAAGGGAGGGAGGGAGTCTTCGTGTCTGAAATGATCGCGCAGAGGCGGGAGTTCAACGGAGCGAGTGTCCTGAGTTATTAGCGACGCCCGGAATACCGGTGAACGCAAGCATACCTCCTCCCAGTCGGAGGCGAGGCGATGATGGTGCAATTGAGCCAGTGCGACAGCGGCGGTGGCGGCGGCGGGGTGAGGTTCATCGGGGGGAGAATCAACTTGTATAGCTTTCTCTGCAGATTATAGGAGTCAGAGAGACATCATATAGACACCTCTATAGGAGAAGGAATACCCTGGTTCACCATGAGAAGAAAGCTCTCCTCGGTAGCCGGCAGCTTAGGAATGTAGTGAGTGGGATGAGCGCGCCGGATGTGCTCCTGCATCGAGCGAAAGCGTTTTTCCTGGAGTTGTATTAGACGATATCAAGCGATATTCTCTGCAGTAGCATACTCCCAAGCATCGCTTGCGACAATTGGAGCCGTCGTTATTCTTTAGAGGACAGACGACCTCGTTAGAGGCATCTGTCACCGAAAAGGAGGAGAGGGAGCTCCGGGGGGGCATGTCGATAGAATACAGATACCGAAGATATATCGATCGGACAAGATATGGACAAAAGTATGGAAAATAGACAAGGTAGAGGCAGAAAGACAATATAGAATAGAGCAAAGGAATAAATAAATACGAGGGGAGCTCAGCTGGACATTCCGAGCTGAGCTTAGCTGGAGCTGATATACTCGAGGATGTATGCAGTATGAGTGTATGCAGTATAAGTGTGAGTATAAGAATGTGAAATGTAATGTAAAATGTAAATGTGAGAAACGTGAAGAATAAAGGATTCAATAAAGAGTAAAAAAAAAAAAAAGATAAGGAAAGAAATGAGAATAAAAGAAGAAAAGCCTCAGGAGGGGAAACCGTGGGAATACGGGGGAGCTCTGGCCACTAAAAATTCCGATAATAGACTCGCATCGACTCCCCATCGACTCCCATACATTCCTCATACAAAATCGATGCACTAAAATGTAAAATAATGCACAATTATAAACTACAAATGCGACTCCCTCAACTTCTCCCCCAACACCCTCACACTCTCTCCACACATTTCCTGCATATCTACATTGGCAATAATTCCATTCCGTCGGTTAATCTCCCTCTCAATCCCCTCCACATCCCTCTCAACTCCGGGAGCCCGCCATTCATACGCATCGCCAATAAACCGACTGCTTTGCACCAACCACTGACTGCGCTCGCGACGCACGGTGTCAAAGGTCGCCAATACAGCTTCTAAATCCTTGGCCGTTGTGACCCGTTCATCTGACAGCAGGGTCGCTAGCACCGCACTGTCCTCGATGCAGAATCCGGCGCCTGCTCCGTGGTGAGGGGACGTTGCATGAGCTGCATCCCCGGCGATTCCGACGCGGTTTTTGTAGAATGTTGGCACCGGGTTTTCTCCTAGGTCATAGATTGCCCACTACTTTATTAGCACTTTCTTTCTTTATGAAGCAGTATGGTATACGCACCACTGCCAACTCCGGATCGGTCAGTTTCAGCAAATTCGTCACGTTCGGCCCGTAACCCGCAAAGTCGCGCAATGCTTCATCCCGAGTACCCGAGCGAGTCAGGCGTGGATAATCCGTCCACTCGTCTGGCGTGGTATGGAAAGCCACGATGTTCAGCGTTTTTCCTTGATTCACGGGGAACGTCAACATGTGGTTATTCGGGCCCATCTACATCATTAGTCCTGTAACTCAATCGACACACAGGGTAGAAAACTCACGTGCATGCACGAATTCGACGCCAACTCCTCCCCAATCGCCTCAGTCGCCTTCTCCATCGGCACCAACCCCCGATACGCATACTTGTGCGTAAACGACGGCGCCGCACTCGGATGCTCCTCACCAACAATCAACCCGCGCACCTTGGACTTGATCCCATCGCACCCAATAACTACATCCGCCTCCTCAACGCTCCCATCACTAAACCGCATCGCCATTTTCCCATTGTCACTTTCCGTCACAGCGTTGAGATGCTTATTAAACCTCGCAATCCCCTCGGGAATCAACCTAACCATCTCATCCAGAAAATGCGCCCGATGAACCCCATTCTGCCCCAATCCATTCCGAATCGTAAACTTGATCTCCTGCCCTTTCCCTGGCTCGTGCTCCGCGGAATTGAGTCCGTCTAGGTAATCAAACCACACGTCCTGTTTGCTGGGCCACTGATTGCGCGTGCATACTTTTTCAAAGGCCTGGTGGATGCCGTCGTGGCATACTTTCATGGCTTGCACGGCGTTGGGCGAGAAGGAGACTCCTGCGCCCACTTCGCCGAAGGCTGGCGCTTGTTCGTAGATTGTGAGTGGGATGTTGCGGTGGTGCAGGGCTATGGCGAGGGTTATGCCGGCGATGCCGCCGCCGATGATGGCGACGTGGAAGGGTTTAGCTTCGGCCATTGTTGCTGTTTGCCTTGGATGTGGTTGGAACTGGGGTCTGGTCTCGTCTAGTCTACGTATAGGTGTTGGTTAGTTTATATACTGTACTGGATTGGGCAGTCGGAACTCGGCGTCAAGCTTCGGCTAGCGAGTGGAGGCGAATTAGGCTGTCGGATAGTTAACCGTTATAGTTAGTTAGCCATGGCTAGTTATATATAACTCATTGTTGGGACTGCGTGGTCAATGTCTTCCGACAGAACAGAGCATACGAGCTACATCCGCTGGCTATGTGTATAGTAGTGGTGTACTCTGTAGTCCGTACTATGCAGAGAGCTGGGGTATACCCGATCGATAGGACGGATAGGACGGGATTACCCCACAGAGCGATATCTTGATGCACTTGTAGCTTGTAGGCACTTGGCAAACGGGTATTCCGGTGAAATATACGGAGTACATAGATGTCATCAATTCGTTGGTCTAGCAGTATCCGTATGCACCTGCATGCATCTGTAATGTACTCCTCCGGGATTCACAGCATGCACTCGCCCGATAGCTACCCCACATCCAATTGGGCACTCTTCCGAAAACCCCGCGCGCTTCCGACATCCCAATGCGGAGTTCGGATACACCACGTACTCGGTACTTTGTACTCACCCGGAGTCCCATGTACAGCTACCAAGCAGCCAACCCAACCCTCCCAACAACACTCCAATGCAAAAACGTCATCCGCGGCCCCTCAATCTCATCCGCGACCGCAACCGCCAAATCCTCATTATATATCGCGCCGTCAACAGCCTCCACGGCAGGATCCTCTTCCGAATCTATGAACATTTTATATCGTCCCGTCCGAACGCCCTGGTCTCGTAGTTGGCCCGGGGGCGATAGGAAGGTCCATTTCTTTTCGCGGACGCCTTCCCACATTGTCAGGGCTGTTCGGGTGGAGGTTATGAGGGAGCGGGTTTGGGGGGAGGTGAGTTTGCGTTTTGCGAGGAAGAGGTAGGTCCATGCGATGGGGCGGAAGAGCCATGAGAACCCTGTTTTGTTAGCTAGATGACTTTATATGCAGTGAGAGAGGAAGGGAGGGCTTACAGCCTGGGTGCTCGACGTTGTTTCGCGCCCAGCGGAAGCCGGCGATGAATAGGGAGAAGAGGAAGTTGCCGTGGGTTCTGGCGCGCACGCGCATGTAGTTTAGGTGCTCGTCGGGCCATGTATACCTAGAATGGTGAGCATCTGCCTTGCACGGGAGTGGTCATGGAATTGGGGCTTACCACCAACTATACGCAAAACCAGTCTCGTCAACTAGCTGTCTTCTATTCATCGTATGAAGCGATCCCGCTCCTCCTGCTCTCGTTAGCATACAAACCAAAATAATAACAATGGCGCAAATAACGCCCGAAGAAACAATGGACGCATACCAATAACAATAAAACTCCCACTATGACTCGACCCCAAAAGCGCCCTCTTAACCCCCCCATGCCCCTCAACCCCATTCTCATAAGCACTCTTCAAATCCTTAATGCCCGGCGCAAAAGCACAAACAATCGCATCAAACCCACTCGAAAACACATCCCGCAACATCCCCTCATCTCTCACATCCACAGCAACACTCTCATACACACCCCTGTGCGAAGAATTCTCTCCTTCTTTCCAAGCGTCTGGCGGATTCCGCGATACACCAACGACATCATGGCCCCGGTATAATAGTTCATCGACGATACAACTGCCGCATTGGCCTGTTGGGCCTAGGACGGCGATGCGGAGGGGTGGGAGGCCGCGGTCGGTTTTCTTTTTGTGGCTGCGGGAGGTGCGTTTGGATTTATGGCTGCGGAAGGGAGTGGACATTGTTGTATCTTTCGTATTCTCGTATTTCGTAAGTTGGGATTGGAATGGTTGTGTTGTCAATTGTGTATAGATAGATGGGTAACGTACCGTGGATGGTGGTATCGATAACCGGGTATGACTCCTCGGAATCGGCGGTGTGAGGGGACCGATCTGTTGCCCACTTTCCCACTGTTTCTCCCACTTCCCCACAATCGGTGTTGATAGCCTCCGGTCCGGATGAAGTATATAAACTGACAGTAAGAATGAATACAATGCGGTTCGATCAATCCATTCAAGTCCAATCGCAGGGAAAGAAGCAACATGACTCAATTCCCCGACCTCCCTTACAAACCTCTAACCCACCCCTTCACCCACTTCATCTTCAAATACAACGGCTTTCACCCCAACAAAACCTACCTCCTACCAAAAGGCCATGTCCGCGAATCCGGCTACCAAGCCTCCCCCGTGGACGCAATCTGGGAGCAAGACACCGCCATCGAAATGCGCGATAGCATCAAGCTCTACACAGACGTCTTCAGACCCGCAACCACGAGTGGCGCCGAGAAAGTCCCCGCAATCATCCCCTGGAGCCCGTATGGAAAAGTCGGCACTGGTTCGCAGACATATGATAATATGGGACCGTGGAGGATGGGGATTCCGTTCCAGGCATTGAGTGGGTATGAGACGTTTGAGGGACCGAATCCGCTTGAATGGTGTGGACGGGGATATGCGGTTGTGGATGTTGATGCGAGAGGGGCGGGGAATTCGGAGGGGGATATTGCTTTTTGGGGGGGAGCAGGTCTGTTACCTCCAACAGTGCTGGATTGAGCTGTTCTAACCTAGTATAGGAAGCCATCGATATCTACGACACCATTACCTGGATCGCTGCACAACCCTGGTGCAATGGCTCCGTTGTCATGATGTATTCAACCCTTCCCCCATTCCCCGTTATAAGCCGCTGCTAACACCAACAGGGGCAACTCGTGGCTCGCAATCTCCCAAATCAACTTCTCCTCGCGCTTCACCCATCCCAATCTCAAAGCCATCGCTCCCTGGGAAGCCCTAACCGATCCATACGACCACAGCCTGTGTCGTGGCGGTGTACCATCTACACATTTCTTCCAGATGATTATGGGTGGCTTTGCTGGAAGTGGCAGGGTAGAAGATTTGGGAAGTATGGTTAGCAAGAGGCCTCTGTTTGATGAGTTCTGGGAGAGTAAGAGGATTTTTCCGGAGAGGATTCGGGATGTGCCGATGTATTTGACGGCTTCGTATTCGTGTGTTTTCTATTCTGTTGTGGCTATGGATGCTGTTGCTAACGGGCTTGTGGTAGGACTGGACTTCATTGTGAGGGATCGTTCGAGACGTTTGAACGCGCACAGACTCCGAGGAAGTGGCTGAGGGTGCATAATACGCAGGAATGTAAGTCTGACCCTGGTCCCGATGGTCCGTACCATGCTAATTAATGAGGGAACGATATATACAAGCCCGAGGTCCTCGACGACCTACAACGGTTTTACGACTTCTACGCCAAGGGCATCCAAAACGGCTGGGAGACTGATACCCCGCGAGTCCGACTGAGTCTTCTAGGTTACGAGAACAGCCCTGCAAAAACTGTCGTCGAGAGACCGGAAGAGGAATGGCCACCGGCTCGTCAAAGTTTGAGAAAGTACTACCTCGACGCATCCACTCGCTCGATGAGCACCTCAAAACCTGAGAACGTCTCCAGCATCAGCCACGAAGGCCACTCCCTAACTGCATCATCTGTAACCCTCCCTCCCCCTCCATCGACACTCAAACGCACAGAGCTAACAAAAACAGGACTTTAGCCTCTACTTCCCCGAATACACCGAACTCTGCGGCCGCCCCTACGCAAAACTTTACATGTCCTGCCCTTCCCATGCAGACTTCGACATCTCCATCCAACTCCGCAAACTATCCTCCACTGGCGAGCCCCTCGAATCACTCAACTGGAGTCCCATGCCAAAACCCGCCCCCGAAGTCCCAGACGTCAATGTCACAAAGCACCTCGGACAACAGGGTATGCTGCGCGTCTCACACCACATCAGTCTCCTGCCACCAGAAGATGGAGATGAGGATGGATTCCCACACTACGATCACAAATCCAGACAGGATATAGTTCCCGGTGATATTGTTCCGCTTTTGGTCCCTATTTGGCCGGTTGGGATGGTTTTCGGAGCTGGGGAGGGACTGATGTTGCGGGTTTCGGGACATAATATGTCGTTGCCCGAGGTGGAGATGATGAGGTTGCGGGAGCCGGTGGATGAGAATGTGGGGGCGCAGGTTGTGCATACGGGAGGGAAGTATAGAAGTTTCTTGGTTGTGCCTGTTATTTGATTGTGTATACTACTAGTTGTTTGGAGAGCATCTGTCGATAATGGTCCTAGATCTACGCTAGTCCATTTGTGGACATATCCCAGTTAATTCAGCGAATCAAAGCTTTTATCGGGACCTCGGTTACTGGAACGGGTAGGTGACCCACAACTTTATTGAGCTTTATTTGGATTAAGCATAGTTTATCCACCAAACACTGCCAAATCTATTCTCGAACCCCAATTTGCAATAGCCGGACAATATTGAAAGAACATGACTTCCCAGAATAATGACATCAGGCTGTATACAAGTCCAGTCACTCAGTTGGATACCCCTGTCGCGTTTGTTGTCAGCCTTCACTGACTGCATATACAAACAAACGGTGCAACACAGCCCCGAGCCTCCTAGGCAGTCATGAGACAGCTCAACGCTTGCTTTTACCTGGGACCTAGACTATTCTTCTTCTTCTTCTTCTTCTTCTTCTTCTTTTTCTTCTTCTTCTTTTTCTTCTTCTAGAACTAGCACGCCGAATAAAATAAACCTCTCTTTACATCCCTACGACCTTTGAATCACCACCAAGATTCTCTCCATTCTGAGATCCCTCTTCACTCGCACCATGCCATGCAAATACTACGCAATATACGAAGGCCGCGTCGACAAACCCACCATCTACTCTTCTTGGTAATCCACTCTTCCTCACTGAGATTCCTCGTTCAATGTACTGATGTTTCTTTTCGCATCTATACAGGGCCCAAGTCCACCCCCGCGTACGAGAATGCGAAAACGACCACAAGGAATTCAAAACGCAGCGAGAAGCCGTCGAGTGGATAAAAGCGAAAGGTGTGCCGGAATATGAAATAGAGACTATTTTCAGGGATGAATCCAAGAATTTGGAGCGGCCAGTCAGGGGGATCTATTATTATGCTGTTGCGCATGGGAGGACTACGGGGGTTTTGAGGGATTGGAAGTATGTTTTCTCTCCATCCATTTTGTTTTTTTTTTTTTTTTTTTTTTTTTTCCAACCTTGTCTTGATGCAGTGGTGGCGGAGCTGACTTGATGGGATGTGTATAGAACGACGGAAGCAGCGATTACCAAATTCCCCTCCGCCTGTTACCAGAGATTTAACACCGAGCACGAAGCGAAACGTTTTATCGACGAGTGGAAAGATGCGTATGCGGATGTATGGCGACAAACAATTAGACGGGGATTGGATGAAGGATGGAAGCCGGAGGATTTGAAGGTGGATATTGGGAGGATTTTGGATAGAGTTAATGATAGGAGAGTCAAGCATGAGGATAAAGAGAGTATTTGTTCGCGGCTTGAGGATTTGGAGTTGGATAGGAGAAGGAGGGATTCGGGGGTGAAGAGTAGATCTTTGGTCTAGATATGTCGTATTTGAAATGGGCTGTTTCTGAAAAATTGTTGACTATAGTTTCACTACTCTATCTATCGACGAACAACCAACTTCCCTTGAAGAGAATGAATGACTAGTGACAATCACCCATCCAAAAGAGGAAAAACCTTCTTGTGACAGCAACCCTCCCAATCCCCTATCTCCCCAAAAGAACTAGCCCCTCTCCACAACCCTAACACGCGGCTTCACAACCGGCACAGCAGTCCCATCATCAACCCACTCCAAAAACCCCGTCATCTCCTCCCCAAGCTGCATCTCAAACCTCCCCAACAAATACACAATAACTGTATACATAAGCACCCACGACTGCTTCATCCCAATACATGCCCTTGGCCCTTTACTAAACGGCATAAAATACTGCTCCAGTAGTTGCAAGTTTTCAGGGGACTTATTGAGCCAACGGTCTGGGTCGAATTTCTCTGGGTTCGGGAAGATCCTCTCATTGTGGTGGAAAACGTAGTGCGCTGCTGAGATGCGGGTTCCTGGGGGGAGGTACTGGGAGGCGATGGTTAGACCGGTGGAGGGGACGACGCGCGGGAGGAGGCCTGGGACGGCGGGGATGATGCGGAGGCTTTCTTTTATGACGGCTTCCTGAAGTTTGTTTAGTAAACTGTCTCGGTTTAACTAACTAAAGGGAGAGGGGAGGCAGTGTACCAAGTACGGCAGCTTGTACAGTTCGCGCCAGTCAAAGTCTGCAGAGGTGATGCCACCCGGCAGTCTTTGTTCCAGGTCGGTCAGTTCATTTCGTAATCGCGTTTCGATATCTTTGGATTTGAGGATGTAGAACAATGCGGTTGTCAGTGTGGTGGCGGGACTTGCTGTTCCTGCGATCATCAATACGACTGCTTGTTGGAATAGTGCTAGTGTGTCACGGCCTGTGAGCTTTTTGGATGTGTTGTCTAGGAGCTTATCGAAGACTGTTTGTGGTGCTCCTTTTCCTTTTTCCTTTTTTGTCGATATGATTCTATTGCCGACATTCTCACAGTGCTGCAATCGGGTTAGCAAGTACCCTAACAGGAAAAGCGATACGCACCTGATACAAATCCTTAAACCCAACTGTAACCCATTCCGGCGACACGGAAAGCAAAAAAAGCCCGATGGGAACCAGGAATGGAATATCGGCGACTTCAGATGTTAACCAATCGTATACTACCAAATCTGTAAGGAACGAACTCACATATCCAACGATACCGACCAATAAACTCCTGTGCAATTATCCATCCAGACTGGGGAGCTTCATAGCTCACTAGCTCCGAAGGATGATCCAGCAGCGTCCCCGCAACGAAATTGGCCTGCGTTGCACAATAGTTAGCATCAGGGCTACCTCAGCCAGTCCGAATCCGAATGCAATGCCCATTCGAATCCAAGTCCAAATTGATATAGATAAGAAAAAGAAAAAGATAACATGCAGTCAAAGCCCGAAGATACACCAGCAAATCCAACAACTGTCCAGCGCGTCCCTGATGTGCCATCACCTGTGCGACTTTTGTAATATGGTTTCTCCCGATAAGGAAGGTACGGGTCATATCTTTGAGTGTGAAGAGGGGAAGCATTGCATTCCGCATGACTCGATGGCGCTGGGGATCCGTTGTGGTGAGAATTGTGTCCACGCCTTGTGCAGATTTGTAAAAGTCGGGGCATTTGCGGAACGAGGGTTTTGTGGTGAAGGCTCTGTATGGCAAATGGCATTTGATTTGGCTTAGGTTTATTCTGGATTTTGATTGGATAGTTATTGCTTACCTTTTGTATGCTTCGATATCGTTGATGTGGACGTGGTTCGGCGCGATTCGAATGACCGGTGAGTCTACGGTAATTAGCGGAGATGCGAAGGTAGATAGAGAGACAACATACTATACTCCTTGTGAAGATGGGGCAGTAGTTTTGTAATGCCTCCACCTTCAACGACTTCATAATAGCGAAGATGCAGACTCGTGGCGCCAGCCAACTTTGGTCCTGGGACACAGCATAGAGGGTGAAAGTATAACCGATAAAGCACGACCCCAGCCCTGAGAATAGCCGCCAAAGTGACAGCTGTAGTGATAATGGCAGATTCAGACAGGCTCATACTCTCAAGCATCGTGGACTGCGATGTTGTTGTCGACTTAAAGGTGGCCATTCCAGCGCCGCTAAATATAACCACCTCAGGACTGATACCAGGGCTCCCTTGTCATCAAGAGCAGTAGCTATCTACAGAAAGCGAGATAAGTTTCCACGTGTAATGTGATACAAGGGTTCGAATGATGAAGCAGCCCTGTGGACAGGAGTAAGGTTGCGTGTGACAAGCGTTATCAGAATTGATATTTATCCATGGCCCGTCCGTTCTGCTGTAGATTTTGATTTCATACACATATTCCAAGGGCTCTGCTTTATGGATTTGACACTCACCTGCGAGATGAACGACCACAAGGCGACAGTGACCGCTGTTCCCGAATCCTTACGGAAAGCCGCCAGCTACCTACAAAGCCAAGTTCGCGATGATGGCCATTGGTGCGCAGAAGTCAAATCAAATACCACTGTCACGTCCGAATACATCACCTTCCTATACGCCCTCAAACTACCCGTCCCCAATGGCCCCGAGCCCTGGATGTCCTGGCTGTTGTCCGAGCAAAAGTATGATGGCTCATGGGGTCCCGCACCAGACATTTCCGGCGATATATCCGAAACGGTCGAAGCATATTTTGCGCTCAAGATCTTAGGTCTCGACCCCGAACATCAGGTTATGAGAAAGGCAAGGAGCTGGATCTTGGCAAATGGAGGAGTGGCTCATGTGCGCATCTTCACTCGCATCTATCTGGCGTGTTTCGGTCTGTTTCCGTGGTCTGCTATTCCGGAATTGCCGCCGGAGTTGGTCTTTGTGCCGGCGGCTGCTCCTTGCAGTATATATTATATTGCGTCCTGGGCCCGGGCTACTGTTGTGCCTTTGTTGCTGATCAGTCACCATCGGCCGGTATTCACACTGCCTAACGGACGGAGCAAGAATAATACGTATCTGGATGAGATTTGGTGTGATCACGGCGCGAATAAGAATGTCCCATATTCGGATAGCCTATGGTCAATGGCCTGGCAATTGAATGCCACGTCCGTGGCTTGCACCGTCGTCGATAAAACCCTGCGATATTTTAACGGAATGCGCAACACCCCCTGGCGAGGCGCTGCTCGAAGACGATGTCTTGAGTGGATTTTAGAGCGTCAAGAAGAGGACGGCGGCTGGGCAGGTATTTTTCCGCCGATGCATGGAGGTGTCTTGGCTCTCTACCTTGAGGGTCATTATAGTACTGATCCGAAGAGCCCTTTCCAGCGTGGACTTACCGGTCTAGAAGGTTTTATCTGGACGGATGAGCGAGGGAAGAGAATGCAGGCTTGTGTGTCGCCCGTCTGGGATACCATTCTTTCGAGTATCGGTCTGCTAGATGCTGGGCTTCCCGGGGAAAATGAATATATCGTCCGCTCGAATGCATGGCTTCTCGCACGCCAGGATGAAGATCGCGGCACTCAGTCTCCGGGTGACTGGAGAGTTCTGAATCCGAATCTGATCCCAGGCGCAATCAGCTTCGAGTATTTCAACAAATGGACACCTGATGTTGATGACACGGCAGCTCTCATCCTAGCCTTTGTCAAAAAAGATCCTAGCTCCATTGACTTGGATAGTGTGGTTCGAGCCATCCAATGGATTCTGGGAATGCAAAATGCTGATGGAGGGTGGGGTGCTTTCGACCGTGAGAATAACAAATTGTTCTTCAACCAAATCCCCTTCAGCGACATGGAAAGCATGTGCGATCCCTCCACGGCGGATGTCACCGGACGAGTTATCGAAGCGTTTGGACTGGTGATGGAGCAGCACAGCAAGATCAGTAGGCCCGTTGAAAAATCCCTGCTCACTCAACATATCCGAGATGCCATGAAACAATCCGCCAACCGGGCGGTCGACTACCTCCTCCGCGAACAAGAACAATCAGGTTCCTGGTACGGCCGCTGGGGCGCCAACTACCTCTACGGCACAAGTAATGTTCTCTGCGGACTCGCTAATGCCCATTTCATCGATAACTCACGAGCAGGCCTAGTCAACCAATCCATTAAACGAGGCATCGACTGGCTGGTCAACGTGCAAAACACAGATGGTGGCTGGGGCGAGTGTCTAGAGACGTACTCACGCCCCGCTTTGGCTGGACAAGGGAAGTCAACGGCCTCGCAGACTGGATGGGCGCTCATGGGTATCCTCACGCTATTGCCAGTGACGGATATCACAGTCAGAAGGGGTGTTCAGTATCTTCTTTCGACTCAGAGGGAGGACGGGGCATGGACAGAAAGGGAGTTTACCGGAGTGGGATTTCCAAAACACTTTTATTTGGGGTATGTTTATTATCCGCATTATTTTGCAATGATGGGTTTGGGGAGGTATGCTTCGCTCTGTGGGTTGAAGGTGTTTGTGGATGTGCCAGAGTAGGTACTGGGTTGCTCGTAGTAATATCATATAATATAGAGATTCTCTTATTCAAATGCATGACTGCACACTAGAATGTAGAGTAAATAGGTCGATTTTAACGGTAATAGTCATGTGATTGCTTCTAACAACCCTGTTTGTCAAAGACTTTTCCCTTCTTCCCCAACATTCACATCATCCAGCATAGTCAGTCAATGCAGGCTTGATACTTCTTCATTATCATCCTACAATATTCATCTACATCTTCAAGAGCCAAGAGGACAGGAAATACAGTGGCCCAAAGAGCCTACGACACAGCATCCTAGAAAAGGTACAATTCATATCCCATCTCTCCATGTGTGTTTGTATGCTGATCTGAGTCCGGGAAAAGATAAATTGGAAATGCACCCACATTTTGGGAAGACCAATCAACTCATGGACGTTTACAACGTGACTGAAAAAAACCTGGCCGAGTATAGCGCAAGTGAGAAAGCACAATGGCGAAAATATGCCGAGACTTCTGCGCAATGAAACCAGAAAGGTTTGAGCAACTTTCTGGGAAGGTTATTTCACGATAGCACTTTCCGATGTTGACGTATGCCGACGTGTTGGAATCTCTCCAGGCGGTTACTACTACCCCCAGAAAATTAGAGCATATCGCGAGTATCAGCATGACTTTTCTCGGGTGATGTCTGCATTGTTTGAGAAGTACAAGGCCAGGGATAAGACAACGGAAGGTATCACGAAGTTTTTGGAGGAAAATGCGGATTAATCGAAAAATTCGCTGGATTACTGGTAGCCATTTCTCAAGACAAATGGGCACAACTCGACAGTCATGGAAGCTCCTGGAAGGTAAATCCCTAATGTGGCTGTGTGTATCGATGAAGCACGCGCCCTGCTCGACGAACAAGTCTCTTTTATACTCCGTTCGCTAAGGAATGCGCTCCGAAAGCAATTCGCGCGCACCAACAAAATGGGAATTCTAAACTTGTCGAAAACACGAGGCGACTTTTTTGCTATATTGCGGGAAAAGACCTCGAAGATCGCAAACTTCTCCACCGCGCCCCCATTCGACATGATCCCAGCCAAAAACGACTTCGGAACCCCGGACAAGCTCCTCCTGCCATTATTTGAAATCGATACATTCAACTCCTTTGCTAAAGATGACAAGAAAATACGCCCAGACGGATCAGAGAAAGCTACACGGGCCTTGTTTCGCTATCCGAATTGACTCGAACAAGGAGCTCTTTCAGCTTATGATGCTGGCCGAGCAAAAGTTAGTTAGCCAAATATCACTTTTGACAGCGCTTCTTCCTTACAGGCTCAATTTTTACGTCGTCAGCAATGTTCTGGCGGAGGGTCTTCGGGTTATCCAAAAACAGGGATCTACAGAATATTTGTGCCACTGGTGAGAGATTCTGTAGCCACTTTGTAAAACTTTAAGAAAGTCCCAGCAAAAGGATATTAGCGAATGCATTCCGGTGCGGTGTGGATTTTATCCTTCTGGCAACTACGCCGGAGCTAACATCTTGTTTCTTGTGCGAAGCTCGGTGAAGAGGATGTCCTTTTTGAGTATTCAAGTGAAGAACAGGAAGGATGACTTATAATCGAGCAGTCTCAAAGAAATTAGTCACAACTAAACGACTGAAGTTGAGAGAGGAATAATGGTAGTGATTTTCCAGCTAGCCATTCCTCCGAAGGAAAAAGGCAAGGGGCCCTTTAAAAAAGAGCTGTTAGAGCACGCATGCTCTTGAGATCAACCATCTAGGAGGCTTGAAAAACCTCCAAGACATGTCTTTTTAGTAGTGGCTCAATACCTCTGGTTTCGTGATCTCCTATACCCTTTATAAGTCATATTGGAAAAGCACTGAAAACCTTTCGGGCGTGCTTCGTGGTTGATGGCTCACACCCGAAAAATACAACTCTCTGGTGGAAGCTACAAGTCCTAATATACGGCCTCAACAGCGTGACAACAGACCCCGTTTCCTACGGCTTCCTTGCCAACGCGGTGGACATCCTACACATTGGGGACACCACTTTTTTCTTACAAATTTAAAATCAAGTAACAATGCTAGCGCAGGAAATTGAGAAAAAAGCCCAGAAACAGATAAAGAAACGGGCTGACTGCGCTGCACACGACCTCGCGTGTGTGCTGTGGATCTAAAGCTTATGGAGAAGGGCAAGCTTTTTCTGAAATTTATCAAAGGCAAGGCGTTGGCCCCACCTAATTACCGCGTGCAAACTCTACATTTCTCACTTTCTCTTGTCATTCCTTTCTTTGTATTGACCTCTTCTTTTTCTTCCATTTGCTTGCCCCATGGTGAGTTCTGTGGGAACATGAGAGTTTGGCAAACCAGGGCACTCGGGGGCGGGATCCATACACAGAGCTGATCTATTCGAAAGGTTCCATTGTTAGACAGCTGGCGTGAGATTTCAACCATTTAATGGGGTGAAAAGGGGTCCGTAAAGATGCCAAGAACTTTGATTGGCTGTTTATTAGGGCATGCATGGAGCTCAAAGCCCAGATCTACTCACCTACACACAAAGGACAAGTAGGTAGTGACGCAATCGTATTCGTACATAGTACTGAGAATGATTCTCTGTCGTGTCTGTGAGCGGCTGGTACTGTGATGGAATTGAAATACGCGTTACCCCAGCGTGACCATGGCATTTAAAGGCAATCACGCTAATACAAGTCGATACCATACAGTCAGATATACTCGTGTATCAGATCCATCATTTTATCGTCTAGCACTGGCTACGAATATCTAGCTAAACACAAGCGTTGGCTTGAAAAGTAATTGATTGGCGTCACTATGTATGACCAAGGCGGAATTATCTTATATGACTGCCGTCTGACGGTTGGTAAAGATTGGGACTCGCCTCTAATCAATATGAATCAAGGGCTATTGCCCCTGTACTAAATCGCCTCGGGGAGTCCCTGAGATTTTAACGCATGAGAACATGAGTGGCTTTATTGTTAACATTCTGGGTGACCAGGATCATAAAAACATATTATTATGGGCATTTATCTTCCAAATACCAGTCAACCACTCAAAACATGTGATTGCTGGATGAAATCTGCGAATAGATGCCATTTTCCTGCAAATGGCTATCCCATAATGCCTTTCATAGTATTAGTTTAAGGTCGAGTAAAGCTTTCTGCAAGACCACTCATGCTTTTTCCTTCTGAGTGATGACGGAATATAGGTACGGTTATGGCACTTACCCAATCAAAGTCATCCATGGGGTTAAATATGCCCCCTAAACAGGAAGAGGTGGCTTCTGCTATGTCACCCGCTGGAAGAGACAATGGAAGTCTCATGTTCATTGCATTCGATGGGTCGGATGGAGTTGAAAAGGGAAATATACCGTCACCGGTAGAAGAAAGGTCGACATCTGTAAGGTAAATCATTAGCCCAATGACGTTGAATCATATTTTCTCCCAAAAGATTACCTGAGTAGCTGCTATTTTGAATGACTTGGAGGTTCTCAGTGCCATTGTTCGGATGTCTGACAAGAGATGTCAAGTCGTCTTCCTTAACCCGGTCCAACATGATTTTCACAATTTCTACCACTTGCCTGGACTCTTTCATTTCGCTGCTCCACTCTGCCCATATCGCATATGATTCCTTTAGTGCACTGGGCAGAGCCTCTGGATGTTGCCTGTTGGGGTCCCGGTCAAGTGCAGAAGAGGACTCTGACTCGGAACCGAATCCAGAATGGAGCGCAAGACAGAGAATCATAATAGCAAGAAGGAGGTCATAAGTAGCCACGCAGGTTATCTTCCATAGATGGCCCCGCAATGGCCCGCCGGGTTGGGATTCCCGATACACGAATGACTGGTGATGGATGATTTTCAGTGCAGCTTCAATGCACGTCTCCCACGACAGATGATTCTGCGACTTCATGTACCGGCGGTGCAATACACATAGGACCTTTCGGAAAAGCAGATCCAGTGACAGACGTCTCATTACTACAGCCGCAGAATCGGTCACGGAAGGGTGTTTCTGAACCTTCATGCTTGACGGGAGAGTATTGTATTGCGTATTCAACTGCCCATGGAGGTGAATAACGGTATTGTAGGAGAGTGGATGGATAGACGTAAGGTGACCGTGAATTCGTCCCAGGACGGACATTAATCTCATCCTCGCTATCATATAGGACAGGACTGCGCCACTGGACTCAGGTCGCGACGGTGGGAGTATGGTCATTTCCGGGTCCATATCTTCTTTGGGAATATTTCGAGGCGACGCTGTATCGGAATCGTGTTCATGGATTAGTCGGGGTAGGCCTATTTGGAGCGATACAAGGACATCCAATTGAACCAAAAGGGCCCACACTCGCCGTCTCAGCTCGCCTGCGAAGATGGAAATGTTGGGATAGTGTGATGGGTCGCGGTGATATCCCATCCTCATAGCAACACGGACGATCATAGACAGGACGAGGTAAAGTCCAAAATGGGTATCGTGAAATCGTAATATCTCGCAAAAAAAGTATAACAGGAGTGCATGGACCGTGTAATTGTTTGGTTTGGTATAGTCACTCAAGATAAGACATTGCGCGCTGCATTGACGAAATAGTATGACGGATTCTTGAGGCTTGGAGGCATCCCGGGGTACCTGTTCGCCGCATTGTACCAGGATATCGGTAGCCAGGCACATCATACTAAAGAGGATACTGAGCCAGTTGAGACTAACAGTAGTCGGGCTGTTCCAGATATTCTCGTACTGAAATCCCTTCAATCAGCAAAAGGACCAAAGGGGCGAAGAAGGGTGGAATGACGGACTTCTTTTTGAAACGTCGGTGCATGAGTGACCACTGGTCGGACCTCTTTTGTTAGCCGTCGTCGCAAGCTTTCACCACGCACGTCTAGCTCCGCTAGAAATCAAATTGGCGGACACATACATTCAGCCAGATCCAGTGAGTTGAAGTATTTTGAGATCAACCTATCCACTTCATTCTTTGGGGGGAACTGAAGCTAACATGTTCTTGACTGTTGAACCAGTGCGCAGCCCGAGAAGAAGGTCGGGCAACTGCGATGACTGTTCACCATTGGTCTTTTGGCCACCTGGCAGCTGCGACTATGAATTCATGTCGTTGCGATCAATGTGACAATGGACGCTCTTACAGTATCAGCAATCGCAGCCCAATGCTCACTTCCCACATAGTTCGTTTCGTTCTGCTTGACTTGCATGCGCCCAACGGGGTTTTCGATGGGTTGTTGAGTAGTGTCCGATGGTGACGGAATATCCACCGTCGTTCGATTGGCCACTGGGGAATTCAATTCTTGTACTAGTGAGCCAACAACATTCTCCAAACGACCGATCCTGTCCTGGACATTATCCGACTGGGATGGCCGAGAAGTATTGACAGCAGAAGTAGTAGCGGCAGCATATGTGCAGCCGCTAGCTTCACCACGGCGAATACAGTTTTCATACGGTTTATTCCGGTCACATCGCACTCTATATGATGTCGGTCGTGTTAGCCATAGTGTTCACAATAACAGGGATAACTTTTCCCCTCCTCTCCTGCGCCAAAGGGGGGATGGTGAGTTTACTTTCGCTTGCGACATGGATAACAGGACAACTGGAGCTTCTCTCTTCGCCGGCGCTGTCTGGGTAGATACTCTACAGACATATCCCCAGCCTAGGAAGGAAAAGTGAAACAACTGACGGTTGTAGGTGACCACAAGGATACGGCAATGTGCGGAGGCGGAGGATCATTTCGGATCTCCGCCCGACCATCCGACCCTCCGACCCTCCGAGCGACCCTCCGAGCGACCATCCGAGACCAGCCCTAAGTGCGATTTGCAGGGAATCATATCTTTGTTCTTAAATGATTGGCCCTTGCGAACTTCCAATGCGGTCTTTGACGGACAGATAGCCTGTCACTTGCTCGACATTTCTGGAATTCTCTGGTTAGGGATCACAGCATACATACCTATATCTTACTTTTCCTTTCCTATTGTGACGGTCTCGAGCAATATGAGTATATTGGTAGATTATCTGACAAAATTCTAACATGAGGAGAGAAAAGGAAAGAGGCAGGCCTGCCGGCGACGAGCTATCTAATGTGTGCGAGGGGTTTAAGCGAGGCTCAGTGACTGTCCATGCTCAGTGAATGTCTATGCTCCGTGACACCTATTTCCCTTTCTTTCAACTTGCTCTGGCAGCAGAAACAAGACTTGATTCTTCTCCACATTGAAGCAAGCCAAACATTGTCTCAACCATGGCCGGAGAGAAAGGCTCAGTCCACCGCAAAAACACCACCTCACTAGAGAATGGTGACAACGTGCCTCACGAGGGCAACTTATATGCCAACGCAAACTCGGATCAGAACACGAAAGAACACCCGGACGTGATAATAGTGGATTGGGATGGCAACGATGATTCGCGCAATCCCATGAATTGGAAACCATTCCAGCAATACAGCCAGGTCTTTTGTGGTGAGCGCCATTACCTTACTCACGTACGTACACAGTATTATTATCTTAGTGGAAAACCAATGGAAAACTCAACAATTCATTGATCCAGGTCACTTGCTGCATCCATGTTCTCGCCTGGAGTTTGGCAAATGATGGAAGAGTTTCATAGCAGCAACCAAGAACTTGGGATTTTGGTGGTTTCGATATATGTTCTGGGGTTAGCGCTTGGGCCGATTGTACTTGCCCCGATGTCAGAGCAATATGGCCGACTAGTTATCTACCACTTGTGCATGGCTATCTTCCTTGTTTTCACCATTGCATGTGCCGTGAGTAAAACTTTGACGCAGCTGATTGTGTTTTGCTTTTTCGCTGGATGCTCAGGGTCTGCACCGATTGCCATGGGCGGCGGTACGGTGTCTGATGTTTTTCCGCCGCAAGCACGAGGTGCGGCCATATCGATATGGGCCGTTGGTCCCCTGTTGGGCCCCGTTATTGGTCCCGTGGCTGGTGGGTTTCTGGTATGTATTCCTCTAAAGCTATAGGAGTGCATGTATTTGAGAATACTCACAACAACCTCCAGGCTGAAAACGAAGGATGGCGTTGGACATTTTGGGTCCTGGTCATTGCGGTATGTCAACTTATTTGCATCCGGCTCAGCTAAATTGTATTCACTCTAACTGCATACGTTATCTAGACCGGTGCAATGATGATTATTGCCGCCCCATTTTTACGGGAAACATACGGTGTAGTCATCCTCGAACGAATTGCCGCAAAGAGCCGGAAAGAAACAAACGATAGTCGCATCAAATCCCGCCTTACCCCAGACTTGACACCCCGCGAGATGTGGAGCCAAGCCTTGGTCCGACCATTGAAGATGCTAGTTATGCCGATGGTCCTGGCGCTGTCGGCGTACACGGCCCTGTGCTATGGATATCTCTTTTTGTTTTTCACCACTTTCACCATGGTATTTGAAGAGCAATACGGATTCTCAACCGGTATCGCGGGCTTGACATATCTAGGTCTCGGTGTCGGCATGATCCTCGGCCTCTTTGCCAATCGTCTCACTGTTGATAGAATTGCATCAAAGCTCGCTGAACGTGGAACTCGCAAACCAGAACACCGTCTGCCGATGATGATTTTCCTTGGTCCGCTAATCCCCGCCGGTTTGTTCTGGTATGGATGGAGTGCACAGGCCCACACGCATTGGATCGTACCTATCATTGGCACATCATTCGTAGGGTTCGGGATCTTGGGTATTTTTGTATGCCTCTCTCATTTCCGTTTTGCTATTTGCATTCCAGTGAGCTAACCCTCCATATCCAGCTTCCTGCTCAGACATACCTCGTGGATGCGTATACTCGTTATGCCGCCTCTGCCATCGCAGCGAATACGCTTCTCCGGTCTATCCTCGGTAGCATGGTTCCGCTGTTTGGGTATAAAATGTACGAAAGCCTTGGGCTGGGCTGGGGAAATAATTTGTTGGGGTTCATTGCCATTGCGTTTTTGCCATTGCCTGTGTTCTTTTACAAATTTGGCGAGCGGATACGGGTGAGGACGACGGTGGAATTATGATTGAGCCAGGGACGTCGAGTGGATTATGAGTGATTCATATAGTAATTCTGGGAGTATTCCATAAGTGGCTGATGCGTTGTATAAAGGGTAGACCAAGGGGGAAAGAAATCCGCTGTCCGGATATAAAATGTACTAAAGTCTTGGACTGGGTTGGGGAGAATGGAAACATTCTGGAAATGACTATCGAATACAGTGTTACATAGACAGACAATCAAGGACGATGCATCATGGTTATACAATTGTAAGCCGTATTCCCCATACTAGAGCCACGACACACAAGCCACTTGTCCCGGCCCAGCGATATCCCAATACTGTCCAAAGAGTTCAGCACTCCACTCACAAGCCGTGCCCGTTCCCGGTAGCTCCGTACCTATGGAGACATCCTCATGCTGCGACTGGGTGCTAGCTATCGTAGCGGCTGCATCAGTAAATACCGTGGAATGAAATTGGTTGGTTGGGGGGGTTAGCTTCTGTTATTTGGTTTTGTCGCATAAAAGCGGTAGTGGGCGCCGGACTACAATCTCCCGAGGAAGGTAGTTGACGAGGCCTCGTACTAGTTTCATGGTTGGAAATAGCTGGTGAGACTTCAGACGGGTGAACAGCCAACTCCGGATCAGAGCATTCGGGTGTTTGTAGCGCGATTTGCATTCGGTCGCGTACGGTCAAAGCCTTCCATCGCAGCTCCTCAATATGTTTCCAGCGACGATCTTGGTTGGTGCCAGGGTCGTTCTTCCAGTAGTTGTAAATCTCATCGATCGCCCTCCAAACGGTACTGGATGGCTCCGCGGGTGGTGCCATACAAAGACCTAGAAGAAGACACGCCAGGGCATCCCATTCGAAATAAGTCTGAGAGAGCCAGAGCCATTGCTTGCCCCTATCATACTGTCGCAAGGTGTGCGCATGCTGGAGGATCTCCTCGCAAACCTTTTGGGAGTTAGCTTGGATGAGCGAGCCGAGATCATGGTCCGATCGTGGCTTGCACAAGGTCAATTTCAGCTTGGCGAGAATCAAACGGTTAGATGCGGCCGTAACGAAATCAAGGGCGATATTTCTGTCGCAGTGCGACAAGTACTGGTTCTCAATTCGCTCCTTAAACTGATCGATCGCCTTGCATTTCTCCGAGTCGCTGTGGATCGGATACGAATTTTTATGGCAGAAGCTATCAGAGAACACCACTCGTCGCGCAAACCGGCTCACTTCGAACCGAACCAGACTGAACAGCATCTCTGTCCGCCCGGGTTGGTTGGGTGGCAGCTCGCCCATGTCGGGATCGAGATTGGTGTCGTTGACGTTCAGTGGTAATGCGGTGGTAAAAGAGGAGTCGAGGATAGTTGGCTCCGAGTTATTGTCCTCGGCTGTGCGCACATCCAGTGTGCAAATCTGCCACCAGAGCCGGCGTTGCATTTCCGTCTCGAATGGAGACAGCTTCACCGTGCCTCCATCACAGTGCAGACCGATCTTCATGGCTGTCCCAATGGCAATGCCGACCAGCGAGCAGACATTGGGGCCATTTTCGTCGCGTTGCCCGCATATCTAGAGAATGTCATTTTCACCACACCACTTCATCCAATCTGGGCAAACTGTGGAAATACTTACCAGATAAAGAACGAATGCCTGCAGGACACGCAGGTCCAGAGATTTCAGGAAGTCCGCTCGCCGGAGTGCATCCTCCACTCCGGTCCGGTACCTTGGTCGATCAGCGACGGTGAATCTTCAGGTGCAACTTAGAAGTAAGAGCTGAAGGGAAACATACCGCTTCAGTAGTGTCGCTTTTTTCTCGTTGAATTCTCGATGGCATTCAGCGGCCGACATGGTCACCACAGTCGCATAATACACGGCGAACATCAAACATTCCGTGTAGGAATCGGGCCTCAATCGACCTCGAATGACCCTCACCACAACTCGTTGGATAGTGGGAACATGAAAGATCTTGAGGACTGGATCGACCACATCCAGATAAGTCTGCCAAATGAATGAAATTACGGCGGTGGGCGGATGAAGGGGCTCTACGGGTGGTGCTGGGTCCGAGTGGAAGGGGAAACGCTGCCCGAGCTGCCAATCTGCGGGCCGAAACGAAATATTCCGTTCCAGAGACTGTAATGTACACTCGATGTGTCGCACACGAGCTAAGAGGTCATCGTCCATGCGTGGAGGGTCCGGTCTGGACGGCGGGTATGTGCACTGGATCTGGGTCCGCACGCAGTAGGCGCAGGGCAACTCGCGGTCGCATTTGATCTTGCGGCGGCGACATTCGAGACAGGACCGTCCCGATGCGATCACTCGTCGTGTCATGGGGATCTTAAGAACAGGTGCGGAGGAATCTGGAGAGGCTCCGAGAGATGTCGAGAAGCGATATAATAATCACGACAGAATAGTAATCATGGCAGGCTGAGACGGAATGCTCGGTCGAGTCTCCGATTGGTCGCGCCGGAGGAGAACGGAGGAACCCTCCGTCCTGCCATTTGTTAGCCCTAATTCATGCATCTCTGACAATATTACGAGGAATATGTGGTGATAGTAAGTGGCTATACTGACGATGAATCCATCAGTACACTCTTCTCTATCCCATCATACATATAAAGATGTCCTTCGCTTCCCTTCGTCAATGGATCTCCAAGCGCAAAGCAACTCTTTCTCGAGAATCGGTCAGCCATTCCACTAGTCTTCCACCGGCAATTAGTGACTGTTATTTCTAGAGTCCAAAGCCTGTCCAGAAATCACCCGCAATGTCTCAGACATACAAGAACGTCGCCCTCGTTGGTGTAAGTTCATCCTGCTCATTTCTCATGAAAGTAAACTCACGTTTCCACAGGCCAGTGGCAACATTGGCAAGATCATCTTAGATGGCCTCGTTGCCTCCTTCCAGTTCAGTATTACCGTCCTGTCTCGTAAAGAGAGCGAGGCGACTTTTCCAGACAGGGTTTCCGTCTATGAGACCGACTTTTCCGATGCCGACCTCGAAACGGCCTTTCGGGGCAAGGACGCCGTCATCTCCGCCCTCGGAGCGACCGGGTTCAGTATACAAAAGAAGATTGTCGATGCTGCCCTTCGCGCCGGTGTCCGACGATTCCTTCCCTCGGAGTTCTCTGCCAGCAGCCAGGACGAGGTCGTGCTCCAGCTTCTGCCTCTCTTTGGTCAGAAGAAGGAGCTCATTGAGTACCTGAAGTCCAAGGAATCCGACACCTTCTCGTGGACCGGTATAGCGACTGGCTTGCTGTTTGATTGGGTATGTGTTTTCCGATATTAAGGCTTCGTTCGATTTGTTCTAACATTTCCTGCTGTACCAGGGTCTTGAGAATGGCTTCCTTGGATTCGACATTTCAAGCAAAACCGCCACCATCTGGGACGGTGGTAATAAGAGCTTCACCCTAACCAACGAGAAGCATCTGGGTCAGGCCGTCGCCTCGGTGCTGCAACACCCGCAAGGTACCAGCAACAAGTTCCTGTATGTTGCGTCTGTTGAAACCACTCAAAATAATATCCTCGCTGCGTTGGAGAAGGAGACGGGTGCCAAGTGGACTGTAAACTCGACCACGACGGAGGAGCAAGTGGGTGGGGCAGTCAAGAAGCTTGGTGCGGGCGACTTCAGTGGTGCCTTTGCCCTGGTTCGCGCCACCGGCTTTGGGAATACTCCAGGTCTACGCGCCAACTATGCTAAGGACAAGACTTTGGCCAATGGCATGTTGGGACTGAAGCTGGATACTGTCCAGGACACTGTTAAGCGTCTTGTTGCCAAGTAAGCATGTGATAGCCACGGTTAAATACGGAATGATATTGAGTGTGCACTTAAACTTGCACTGTTTAGAATCAGTATTCTTTTAGTTGGTATCTGATTGACGGTCAAGGTAGCTGACTGATACAGTAGCCCGTCCTATGCTCTCAGTGAAGTAGATATATGAACAAACCCAAAACGCATTTACAATGAAGTTTGGTTTTTTCAAGTCATATTATACACTGATTAACAAAGTTCTTGTGTTTTATTGACTGTTCAATAGATTGGTTTTGAGTTGGATGACATAGCATCAGAGCCCTAATATTCTGTAGTTTCTTATATGATGCCTAGAGTCCTACCAACCTTCAGGACCCATACTACGTACACGAAACTGATGTTATATATAGCACTTTATACGATGGGGGGCTCTTAAATTGGCCGTAGTGAATAAATATCTGCAAACAAGCTAAACGAACCAACATTGGTTCAACCAAACATGACTGAATAATCGGATCATTTAAGACAGAGCGCGAAAATTTCAATTGCAGAACATGTATTAAGCTAAAACAACAGATGTTCATGACTGCCGTTTGGTTTCCTCTTTGGGGCATCCTTGCCTTGGATAATCTGATATCCGGACATGACTTTATCCACGATTCCACTACCTCCAGGTTTTTATCATATATTTGAAGACGCTGATCCTGAATCCACGTCATCTATATATAAATTCGGTGGACACTCGGTGGAATTGCTTGGATCCGTTCGGTGAACATGCGGCATCCCGATATCCCAATACCCCGACAGTCGAGGGTCTAACAGGGATTTATGCAGGGTCATCCTAACTAAATCTATAGAATTATGTTTAAGACATCTTTTGGATCTAGAATCAGGCTTCAATATACGATACATTGTGAAGCCCAAACTATGCACAAGCAGGGGATATGGCACAGCAGTCTCAAAATTGATTGACTCCGATAGACTGTTAGACTACTATAGACTATTGTGGACCGCGACGGTTGATTTTGTAGGTTCTCTACTTACAGCAAGGCTGAGTACGTTGCCGTGTGTTGGGCTCTTGAGGTCGAACTTGCGTACTCGGGGTGCGTGCAGGGTACATATTGTCTATATAAGACATCCCATATTCCCCCACTTATTCTACAACTATTCATTCCTTCATTATCGACCCGTCACTCTTTACACTCCTTACATTCTCTCTCAATGAAAGCCTCAGGCTTGATTGCCGGCGTGTCCGCCACCACGGTGGCCGCTACCTCCCTAGCCGACGTCTACACGACCTCCCACGTCCGCAGCGCCCTCCTAGCCAACGGTACCCTTTTCGGCCTCTCCATGACCCCGTCCTCGGTCACGGCGAACCCCGCCTACAACGCCTCAACGAGCGGCTAATTGTTCTTCCCCGACGCCACCTACGACTACTGTAACGTGACCTTCTCCTACGCGCACAACGGCCGCGGCGACAATGTCAACCTACAGTACTGGCTGCCCAGCCCGACCAACTTCCAAAAGCGCTTCCTTGCTACCGGCAGTATGGCATATGCCATCAATGGTGGCACTGGCTCGCTTCCTGGTGGTGTCATGTACGGTGCGGTTGCCGGTATCACGGACGGTGGCTTTGGTGCGTTTGATAACTCGCTTGATACCGTGTTCCTGCTAGCCAATGGGACTATCAACTACGAGGCGCTATATATGATGGGATACCGTGGTATCGGGGGGATTACTATGATCGGGAAGGAGTTTGCCAAGGGCTTTTACGACATGGGCGATGATAAAGTCTACGCGTACTACCAGGGTTGCTCGGAAGGTGGTCGTGAGGGATGGAGCCAGGTCTAGAATTACCCAGGTGTCTATGATGACATTATCCCCGGTGCCCCGGCGATTCGCTACGGTCAGGAACAAGCTAATCACCTGTACTCCAATGTCGTGGAGAAGACGCTGGACTACTACCCGCCTTCCTGCGAACTCGAACGTATCGCCAACGCCACTATTTCCGCCTGCGATCCCCTCGACGGCAAAAAGGATGGCGTGGTAGCCCGGACGGATATCTGCAAGTTGTATTTCAACGTCAACTCCACCATCGGCCTGGGCTTCGGCAAGGGCAAGCGCCAGATGGGTATGGGCTCTAGCGCACCCGCCATCAACGGTACTGTCTCTGCGAAGGGCGCGGTAGTGGCGCAGACCATCATGGACAGTCTGCATAATTCCAAGGGTCGTCGCGCGTATATCTCCTACCAGCCCTCGTCTTCTTTCTCGGATGCTGAAACGAGCTATAGCTCCGTGACGGACTCATACGAGTTGAGCATCGCTTCGACCGGTGGTGAATGGATCACTCGATTCCTGGAGCTCCGTGAGACAGATAATCTTTCTACCCTGGACAACGTGGCATACGATAGCCTGCGTGACTGGATGGAGCTCGGCTGGAAGCGCTATGAAGATGTTCTCCAGACTACCTGGGCTGATCTATCCAAGTTCCAGTCTGCCGGCGGCAAGATCCTTACTTTCCACGGTGAATCCGATCAAAGCATTCCCACGGGTTCTTCAGCCCACTTCTACGAATCCGTCCGCGACATCATGTACCCGAACATGAAGTACAATGAGTCCACCACTTCCATGGGTGACTGGTACAGCCTCTTTCTTGTTCCGGTGCATCGCACTGCGCTACCAATGATGTCCAAGCGAACGGTCCCTTCCCGCAGACGAACCTTGCTGTCATGATCAATTGGGTCGAGAATGGGGTTACTTTTCAGACGCTCAATGCGACCCATTTGGCGGGTGAGTATGAGGGGCAGAATGCGCAGTTGTGTGCCTGGCCATTGCGGTCGTACTGGGCTGATGGTGAGAGGATGGAACGTGTGTATGATCAGGCGTCTATCAATACGTGGAAGTATGACTTTGGTGCGTATGATATGCCGTTGTACTAAGCTGGAGGTTCGCGTATTGAGGGGGGTGGTATATCTTAGTTGGTAGATAGCATGTCGCTCGCTTAAACTCTGTTATCTGGATATTTCTATTGAGTCTACCAAGTCAAGTCTATACTCTGCAAGTGCCCTAGGCAGTTTATATCAGATAAGATAACCGTCCGATCTCGTCCTGGCACAACCTTGGCTTTTGGTCATTCCCAAAGGGGTAATTGACAAGGATAACGGTTATCGACTCGATATAAAGCAATTCGGGCGTTATAAAAGAGTGCATACATTTTCAGATAGGGCTACACTAATGTGCACTATGTAATCGGCGACGTCAGCTGATCGAAATGCATGTATAGTCTATGCACACGCCGGAATATGCAATTCTATGCACATATATGCAACCTATATATACATCAAACTTCCACCTAAAACACCCAAGGCGAACCTACAACCCAACAGCAGCAACCAACGCATCCAACGCCGAAGAATGCGTTGACGCATCCACCAAATTCACCGGCCCCGTCCACGCCTCCCCCAACTCATCATTCTCCAAATTCCGATCCTTCCTCCAAATACTCTCCGCCGAAGCCTTAATCACCTTCTCATAGTCATCATCCGGTGCAACAGCATTCAGCACCGCGAGATTGCGGATGAAGATACCCTTGAACTGGGTGGAGTTTGCGTCGCAGGAGTCCGGGTCGCAGGATTCTTGGATGACGTTGGAGGTGGAGTTTGTGAAGGTTTTTATGGCGGCTTTGGCGATGTGAGTGGCGGAGGTTAGGTAGGTGTTGTTTTTGTTGGTGGTGTGGAGTTCGACGAGGGCGCCGAGGATTATGCCTTGGTTGTAGGTCCATCTGTTTTTGTTAGCTGAGTTAAATTTTGGTTAAGATTGGGGAAGGGGGCGTACTCAGTCTGTCCATTGTTCTTGCAGTCGTCAGTCAATCCGTCGTTAATGGTGCCATTGTCGTTGATGAATCCAGCAGTCGAGAACCAATTCCACAGGTTCTCTGCATCCTGGCGATACTTTTGCTTGTTCGGAGCGCGATTCGCCAGATGCGCGGCGATCGACAGGAAGAGTTCGTTCGTGACAGCGTTAACATAGACATTAGTTATATCGGAGTAAATGCCGGTGTTTCCGCAGGAGGCTTTCTTGGTCGAATTCTAACAGGGTCAGCTCGCGCATTCTTGAGTATATTGGAGGTGACCTACCAAATGCTCATAAATCCCAATCGCAACATCCAAATACTTCTGCTCCTCCATAAGATCATACGCCGCAATCCACGCAAGCGCCCACCACCCATCATCATCATACGACCCATCAATCCACTTCCACCCAACCTCATACGCCCCATCTGTCTTTGTCGGGGTCGCTGCTGTCGACGAAGCCACCCCCGACGAAGAAATCGTCACAGACGGCGTCGCGGTAGCATTCGGCTCCAACCTCCCAAACGGCAACGGATTCGACTTCGGCCCAACATAATATGTATTATTAAACACCTCTCTTGCTGTTTCCTGCACGGAGTCCGAGGAATCGTCGATGAGTGCTAGGTCCGCGAGCACGGTCATGCAGTTTGCGCCGTTCCACCAGCCGCAGGTATCCCAGATACCGGAGGATGTGTTGTACCATGATTGCAGGACATCAAGAGCGGTTTCGGCGCGGGAGAGGGGGGTTGATTGGGCGCTTGTTGTTGTGAGGAGGGTGAGGGTAGAGAGGAGGATTGGGGTTAGGGATTTCATTGTCATGGACTGTATATGTACTCCAGGGTATATGGCCGGGGAAAATATATACACGATGCAAAGTTTAAGGAATGTATAGTAAGGAATGTAGTGCGAAATCGACCCAAAAAAAGAGCGATAAGTCCTCCTAAAAACAAATGACAGAGCAGGCGACAGACAAACCAATTTTCAGGAGACCCGAACACTTAAATACCAGGTATGATCAACCGAAACAGATCTACACCGGGATTGGAGTTTTAAAACCACATATCACATTCCGTCAATTCAGTCACATCACATACCGGCGCCACATATTTTTTTTTTGCTTTTTCCCTTTTTCCTTTCGGGCAATTCGGATTGGAGCTGTCACCTACGTAACTGCAAGGGTTGAACTGTTGTTTTTCCTCCAATGACACCTTGCGGATCCATGACATGACTTGACAGGCGCCGGCGCGTCGCTAAGTGCAAGCCCTAAACTGTATGCGTAACTTTATTTGTAGTTCCGGAGACGGGCTAAAGTTTAGTGCGCCCTTGGTTTGGTCGATCAGTGGTGTTCTAGATTCCATCCCTGGATATAACCGGTTTCTATTATCTAGTTGGGCATGCAAGATCTAAATCTATCTTCTAATACTATGTATATACGCCGAATATGCACACATCTATGTCTATGTACATCCCACTCCTCCTGTTTTAACTTTTATGTAACGAATAAACAGTAATAATTATTGAAATTACTTGGCGAGTTCCTGTACATCAAGGTTAGTATACCAATATCACCGCGCGTCAGACATCTATGACACCAAGAAACTTACGCTCGCCAATTTACTCCTTGCGCGGATCTGGGGGCCGAAAAACACAAGCACCCATGGGACCAGAGTCAGCCCAGCGCCCTGTATGTGATTAGTTGGTGTTCGGAACCTGACTCGAGCGAAGGGGGGCCATCTTACGATTCCGCCTAGAAGACTGGACGCCTCGGGATAGCCCAGATTGGTAAATAATTGCCGAGTAACCAATGGGAAGACACCAGCGAGGAGATTCCGGCCTGTTATCGAAGTGTAAGTAACACAGACAGCGCATATAACATACGCGACGCGACCGAGACAAGGACTAGATACTCACAGCACGATTGCGCCGCAATGGCTGAGCTCGCGTAACGATGGTACGTATCGGCCAAGTAGTTGAAGACAGCCAAGTAAATGGAGAAAATGCCCATGGTCGCGCATCCGACGGCCAATGCGGGAACGATAAACGGGATCGAGGGGTAGGATGTCCAGCCGAACCAGAAGAGGCCGATGGGCATTAGGGCGGATTCGACGCAGGCGAAGTAGAGTCTTGCTTCGGCGGTTTGAGGGAGTAGTTTGTATCGCGAGGCGATCTTGTCTTGGCCGATGCTGAGGAAGGTTGCGACGATTACGCCGGCACACATTGCTGGGGTTGTCAGTATACATCACCTGGATCAATGGTCTTGGAGAAATGACATACAGGTAAAAACGGCTCCCACTTGCTCGATGTTCATGCCATGGTTGGTTTCGAACACCACAGGAATCGAGCCGAATTGGAGGTAAAGAACAGCCCAGCTGAACGAGATCCAGACCGAGAAAGCAAAGACGACCGGCTCCGTGAAGAGCATATCTATCACTGTTAGACCCCCCCAAGTTCACAAGAATAAGAGCGACTTACGAAAAGGACGGTAGCAAGATTGACTGATCATGTCAATGAAAGATGCCCGATTCTCATCACTCTTAACCTTCCACCGGATGCGCTTGATCTTCTCTGAACCGTCACCACCGCCAAACATAACTCCATAGTGACCGGCTTCCTCGAGTTTCTCATAGTACGTGTTCAACGCCTTCGCTTTCCATCTTAGGATAACGTCTCCTCGTGTCTCGCTGAAGAAGAAGTACATCATGACGACAACGGCTGCCGACACAATGGCGTGCGAGTAGAAGATCCAACGCCAGGTCGTGTGGTAGACAATAGCGCCAGATAGCAGCGGCGCCAGACCGGTACCGAAAAGCGCTGCTGCTGAGAACAAAACCATTGGCGTGTTGCGTTCTTCCGCGTGGAAGATGTCGCTAATCACACCTCCAACCATAGTCGAAAAGGTCGCTACAGTCGTCAGTATACTCATACGCAGTCTAGGTAGCTATGGGCAAGATACATACAAGCTCCGACACCCTGTAAAAATCTAGCGACACATAGTCCTGCAAAAGTATGTGTTCCTCCACTGGCAATAAGGCTTGCTGTCCGCATACATGATTATCAGTTACCGTTTCCCGGCCGAGACACACACGGACCAGCTAAGGCAGAAATAAAAACACACCGACAAAGAGAACACCACTAGCAAGGAAAATAGGTCTCCGTCCTTCAAACTCCGACAAAGGAGCCAGGACCATAGGCGCTAGCGCAAATCCAATACAGAATATGGTAATGGACAGGTTCGCGACAACCACACTAATGTTCCACTTATCGGCCAGTATCGATCCAGCCGGACTGACCTCACCCGCCGATAAACCCGCCAGCATTGTTACTGCGCATGATATCCAGGTCATTATATTCTTGCGCCATTTTGGCCATTTAAACGGGGATGTGTATTTTTCGAGCTTGGGGGCTTCGGGCGGCGGCGATTGACTGGGTTCCGGAGGGAGCGTAATAAACGGTGTAGGTAATGGAGTGTCGAATTCGAGGTATGGGTGCTCAATCTCAAGCGATTGAGCCTGAGGTGACTTGTCCTCCATTGTCGCGGAAAGTGGGAATGGTGTGTTTGATCCAAGCTTCGAGCATTGTGAGAAGGTGGTTATGTTGTCGCATTTATATCAGCCCAGACCAGACCCCGAAATTTTTTTTAAAATTGAAAAAGGGACTCGGCCCGAGTTACCGACTAAGCTAAGATAAAAAGGTGATTACGAGGCCGAACATCATCCGTTTAGTATCAAAACAGACGATCCCGGGGGGTTTTGGGCGATAGGCCGGAGTTTTGATATTGCTCCAGGACAGCCATTATCAGCCGGGAGTTTTGGATCTAACCCTATGGTGATAGCTATCGAGTGTCATGATGCCGGAATGTGAACTCTGAGTGTTCTCATAGAGGACTTACGACCTGTTTTCGGTTTTGCCTCCAGGATTCGGAATCCCCACTGGGACCGTGAAAATCTCCAATTCGGAGAGAAGTGCGAATTTTGGGGAACGGAGGAATGTTCGAACTCCGCTGTGACTCATTATTTTCAGGGCTATTTGTGATCTTGAAGAAGTGACAAATCCACAGCATATGAATACCTTTGCATAGTGGCAAGACAGATCTACAGGTACTGCGACAACTGCCGTCCTGGAAGATACTTTTGCCTCGATGCGAGAATCTCACGTGTCTCGGCTACTGCGATAGAATGACTCGTCCCGAGGCACCGCACCAAAAGTTCGTTTGCGATTTCCCCTGCAGCGCCGATGATGTTCCCCTCTATTGCTCCAGATTGGCCTGCGCCTGCCCTGTGCCTAGAAACCTACCACACCTACGACGGAAGATTCACGCCCGCTGCAGGCACATCATAGTTCTGGCCATCTCCCGAAACACCTTCTCTTGTTCTCTTACGACTCCCCCAAATCCGGGTTCTCTTCTCCACTCGCTCGCCACATCTGTCCTTCTCCGCAATGAATGCCCACGCCGGGTGATGCCACAATGGTCAAAGCTGCTAGGTCTTATCAGTGCCAGCGATGTTCGCGCTCTTTTGCTCGGTTGGAGCATTTACAACGTCATGATCGTTCGCGTATGTCCGCTTCTCTTCCCCGGATCCGGACCCCCCCCCCCCCCCCCGTGGGCACCCGATATGCGCGATCAGCACCAGGATTGACTAGGGGTTGTTCCAGATACCAAAGAGAAACCTTTCGTGTGTAACGACTGCCCGAAATCTTTTACGCGCAAGTTAGTATTTTTCTTTTTTCTCCTTTTCTTTTTTTTCCCCCTACTTTCTCCCTTTCTTCAGATATCTGCCTCCTGCATATCACGCACGCTAAGATCTCTCGCAGGGATTTGTTGGCTCGTCACATCCGCTTATCCCACTCGTCGTCGGAAGGGCCTGTGAATAATCACGATGCTACAGCAGCCCCAATCACACCCACGACGACTACCTCGTTGGCAGAGGAGCAATCCGCAATATCGGGTACTCATGGACCGTTTCAGCCCATGACCAATGCGCCTGGCGAGAGTGCAGCAGCGTTGACTGATCCGTTCAATGCAATGGGATCCTCGTCCTTGTACGATGGGGATGACTTCACCTCCTTCCTGGATAGCATATCACTCCCTAGTCATCCCTACTCCGTGGCTTACCAACCCCTCCCTTTCTTCCCGGTTTTCACGGCCGGCGATCATAATAATCTGCACTCACCTTTAGACTATGTCCCGACTGCATCGTCTGAGAAAGACAACGCATCGGCCAACGACGACCCCTCGCCATCCAGATCGGTGCTTCCCCGACATGGTACGCATTTACCGTCACTTCAGCCGGAGGGGTCATCCCTTCAGCACAACAAGGCTCGTCGGCCGAAGGACTTTGTACCGGTGACGGGGCAATATCGTGATCGGATTGTTGCATCGCTGTGGGAGTACTCGAATGTACTTCTTCCTAAGCCGTCTATTCCATCACGACATGCATTGTCACGATGCATCACCGGTTACTTTATCGGGTTTCATGACCATTACCCGTTCATGCATATCCCGACATTTAGCATTGATGCCATGACACTACCGCTGTTTCTGTCCATGGCTGCGTTAGGTGCGCGGTATTGTCGTGAACCAGACACCAGTAACAATCTATACCAGGTAGCCAAGGTCGTGACCTTGGAGCACATACGACGCCAGTTCCAGTCGTCCAAGGAGACTTCCCAGGATGACCAAAATTTGCTAGAAACAGTTCACTCGTTGTTGCTTCTTACATCCGTCTCCATGTGGTTTGAGCACAATCCACCGTTCCAAGAAGCGCTGTACATCCGGAGCTTCATGGAGACGCTGGTACGACAAGGCGGACTGAATTATTTGCCCGATTCAGATGGTTCATGGGAGAGTTGGATACGGCGCGAACGCGTAAAGCGAACGAAGTTGATCGTGTTTTGTTTCTTCAACATCCAGACCATCGTCTTCGATCTCCCTCCAATGATCCTAACAGAAGAAATTCAGTTAGACCTCCCATGCACCGAGGGCGAATGGCAAGCGAGCAGCCCTGCTCTCTGGCAAGAAGAGCGCCGTCAGCGCAAAAACGAGCCCAAATTCCAGGACGCCCTATGGTCTCTATTCTGCCGTACCCCCGGTGGAAATGAAGAGCGAGGAGCTCTAGAAAGCTTCACATCGCTAGGCGGCTACGTGCTCATCCACGCCATAATCCAAAATATCTGGTCCATGCAAAAAACCTGCCGCATGCCCGGATCACGAAGCCAGTCGCTTACCACAACGGAAATAATCGCCTTCGAACAGGCACTTGAACGCTGGTGTCAATGCTGGGAACGAAACCAGGAATCCTCGATCGATCCCATGAGCCCTCATGGTCCTTTGTCTTTTACCTCGGCTGCGCTCCTGCGCTCCGCGTATATTCGTTTAAACGTGGACTTTAGCTCTGCACGACAATTGCAGACGTGGAATCCGAAGCAAATCGCCCAGTCACTCCAAGATAATGTCCACGTTCAACGCAGTGAGCGACTCACCCGCGCAGCGCTACACTGCGCACATGCGTTGAGCACACCGATAAAGCTGGGCATCAATTTCGTCGCGCACACGCAGGTCGTTCTCTGGTCGAACCAACACGCGCTGTGCTCACTAGAGTGCGCTGTCTTACTTGCAAAATGGCTCGAAGTTGCCACAGCTCCGGGGATGTATCCCAGTGGATTGACGGAGCAGGAAGCGAAGCTGCTGGATTTCGTTATCGAGATGGCGCTGGAGACGAAACATGAGGCATCACGGGAATGGTTGTTGGAGAATAATACGAGGCTTAGCGCGACAGTGACGAGATTATGGGCGAGGTTGTTTACGGCAGATTATATATGGGAGATGGTGAGTCTCGTGGGCCAGTCACTAAACAGTTACGCGGATATACTGGAAAACGAGAGTAAATAGCATAGCATAAGACTCGCATTTGTCAATCTAATTCCAACTCAACGCTTCTTCCCCTTCCTCTTCTGCTTCGGCGCAAAGCTTTTCTTCTTCAGCCCCTCCCATTTCTCCCCTCCCAGCTCCAACCCCTTCTCCCTCACCAGCTTTATAAAGTACTTATCTTTGTTCATGGCCTTCAAGTCTACCCCCAGAAGCCCCGCCAAAACGGGTGCAAGATTGTGGGCCGCACAGATTCTGAAATCGCCGCTCTCGACATATTATCTCGGTCCAATGCTCCCGTGTCAGTGCTCTGCCATGTCTCTCCTTTCCCAGGCTCCACTGCCTGCTCCATCCGCGGTCATGTATCCGCTTCGCTATAGTAATACAACAATCATGGAGAGGCGAGTAGCTGTCTTCCTAGACGAGATATACGGGCCAGATTTTATGCACTGAAGCAAGGATCATGAAAAACTGCTGGTAGACAGGTTCTACTTTTTCGGCAGCACTTTTTGAGATACATGGAGCGCCTCCAGAGTGCCCAGTTCTTCGAGTCTTTCATGCACAGCGACTTAATAAAAGCTGCTGTTCAGCTGTTGACTGATAAGGGAATTTTTGTGCTTACAGACTCTACTCTGGACAGGACCCTGTAATCTATCATTGTGAAGTCCACAGGGAACCTTTTCTCAACTCGATTTGCTAGATGACTGTCAACGAATCGTGCGGAATTGAGGGTTTCGAGTACGCAAGACCCGGCTCAATGGAATTGAACCTCAGTATATTGTTCAAGTTTTGTTGGTGCTGATCACTTTCTTCACCCCAGCGAATCATACTGAACTAGGTTGATGGCTCACTTTGGTTCAAGTTAACCAGTAACTCAAAAGGCATACTCGATTATTGAATAGGATAGCAGAGCAAATGGCCATCCCAGATACAAAGGCAAGGAACTGTTGAGATGAAAGGTGCAGGACGGAACATTCAGAAGCGCAGCCAAGCCAGCGGAAAGTCGACCCTTTCAGACATCTTCATACGGCCCATCACACTGTCAAAAAAGAAAAGCCTTGGGGACATAACGCAAGCGCAATTTAGATGGGTTGGTACGGTGAATTGAGTGCAGGTGGGCCCTCTCGAGACAATCAATCCAGGTATCTGAAATACATGTGCGACCTCCGTGACCCTCTCTCCTGTCTACCTCCCACGTCGTAGGCATATGTCTTGAGCATTCCCTAAGGGGTCTGGTCTGCGCCATATGGAACCGAGACCTCGTGGAATGGTTTGAGAATTATGTATATACATATATATATATATATATATTTTCGGTGTTCGGTGCTTCTCGGAGATAAAAGTGGCTAATTCCGGCCACGACGGGTTGGGTGAACTTTCACCTTTCCATGCAGATGCTATCACTATTACGAAATAAAAAATAATTCAAAGCATCTAGAGAGCCAAATACTTTCGGACTTTGGCTCTTCTTAATCTCCGGCTTTTTTCGGGCTTAAAGAGAGAGGGCGAGAAAGCGAGAGGGATACAGTCCGTTTGTGATACCCGTCTTATATAAAATCCACAAGTCAGCCATGATCTTTGATCAGTCCTAGGAATATTGAGAGCAACTTGATTGTTTGAAAACCCTTATTGTTCCCTATCTTCTCCGCGCTCTTCGGCCAACAGTTTCACAATGAGCAAACTCCTGGTCGTCTTTGGTGCCACTGGCAATCAAGGTGGATCTGTTGTCAAAAATGTCATCAACGACCCAGTTCTCTCCAACCAATACAAGATTCGGGCTGTCACTCAAGATGTCTCCAAACCAGAAGCGCATGCTCTTCAGAAAATGGGCAAGGTCGACGTCGTGCAAGGCGATGCAGACGACGAACTGTCTCTTGAAGCAAGCCCTTGAGGGGGCTCACACTGTCTTCGCTCTCACCGTGACCATCTATGACAAACTACTCGAGGCACGAGAGCTATCTCAAGGCAAGGCAATTGCCGATGCTGCTGTTGCGGCTGGGGCCAAATACTTTATCTTCAGCACTCTCTTCCACATTGCTCGGGTTTCTGGTGGCAAATACAACAAGGGTCGCCATTTCGACTGCAAAGCGGAGGTTGAGGACTACATCAGAGCGCTGCCCATCAAGAGCGCGTTCTTCGCCCCCGGTTCCTTCATGCAGAATTTCAACTCGAACATGAAACCACATCCTGTGGGGGACGGCACTTACGCATTGGCCAACATTGTTGCTCCCGGCACAAAGATGCCGCTCGTCAACATCGAAAAGACGGGAAAATATGTTGCTGCCATACTCGCCAATCCTGATGAGTTTGAGGGCAAGATTCTGGCCGGGGCGACGCAGTTGTACACGATGGAGGAAATTGTTGGGATTATGAGCAAGAGCTCAAGGAAGACAGTGGTGTACAAGCAACTTCCTAAAGATGTTTTCCGCAGCTTCCTACCACCAAACATGGCCGACTATCTGGTCCACATGCTGCTCTACATCCAGGATTTTGGATATTATGGGGCAGAAACAAAGGAACTGGTGGCACAGTCGGCTGCCAATGCCCGAGGCACACTGACCACTCTGGAGAAATATTTTGTCGAGCATCCCTTGGGTCTAGAATGAACGGGAAAGATGGGAATGGCAAAAGCCCGCTGGGAAGAAAAAAGCAAACTCGGACTCATTGGGTGATAATTTTTCGTGTATCCTTGATATTTGCTTAATCTATTGTTTGCTGTCTTATCGTTCCTTACACCCAATAATTTAAAAAGGGAGGTTTCCTTTTCGCGTTCTCGCAACGTATAGTGGTAGATACCAGTAATCAGTGACTCCAGAAGCAAGTCCTCTCGTGTCAATGGATCCCACTTCCTTAGGAACCTTGTGCGCCCCTTGTCCTTTTCAGGCTCATGGTCAAAATAGAGAGGATCAAAGCCGATCAAGTCATTATCAAGAGTAGGGCCAACGACCATCTTTATACCCATGTTCTTCAGTCTCTCTGCATCCATGACATCCTCCTGCTGAGCGTTGACAAGGTTTCATAGAGCGTCGATGACAGGGTGGACGTTTTTGATATCTCGACCGTCACGAGATTTGTGGTATAGTACTGCTGCCATTTCCTAACTTGCCTTTATTAGCAAGTGAAGAACAGGACTCATTTGAGATGAGAGAGGAGAAGTCAAAGAAGTGCTCATAGGTACATAGTTATTGCATAGTTAACCTTTTTATGGATTTGTTATGTAATACAGTGCTGCATTAACTAAATGGTTTATGCATCTCTCCATATTCTTGCGGGGTTGCCGGTTAAATTCACAATTAACCACCACCATGCACAACACAATATGATGATGGCGATGCAGACCCCTCCTGCACCCCGGAAAGAACGGACCTCAGAGGTTTCTCCTCATCGCGGTTTGAGCCGATTGTCATAAGATGAGGGTCATCAATTTAGGCGAAACCGGCTGGTCTATATGGCCTAGGATGCTTATAAGGCTGCCAATGCTCTTGCTTTAGCTTGTTCCACTACCTTGACGACAGTAATCATAATGTCTTCCTGGCTGCTGGCTCTGCATGTGTTCTGCCTCCTCTGTCGGGGACTGGCCTCTCCCGTGCTTCATCCACGATCTGACGATTACTTCCAACCCAACTCCACTGGCCTCTGGATGCAACATGGCTTTGAAACTGTCCTCGTACAACCTTTTGGATACGATGGGTTTCGTGTCCGTGCATGGCCTTTCCGGCCCCCTACCGGACAGGAGGCCAGCTTCATCTATGACCCTCCGCTAGAAGGGCCTGAGAATGGTGAGGCGCACGGAATGCAATTCGACACGGCTTCCATTGGCAACCACAGCGTGACCATTCGGAATGGCAACATCCTCGTCCGTACCATAGGATGGGGCGGTAACCCCGGGGGATACCGACTTGCTTTTATCCGTGTCGAGGATGATGGTTCGGAAACCCTCCTCACCAACGAGTATGCGCCGCTCAAGTCTATAAACCCGCGATACTACTCCTGGCCCGGATCTGGCAGCGAATTTAACGCTCAATTCTCGTTCAGCACGACCCCAGATGAGCAGGTCTATGGCACGGGTACACAGCAAGACCATCTCGTCAACAAGAAGGGCTCGACGATTGATCTGATCAACTTCAACACCTATATCCCCACGCCCGTCTTTATGAGTAGTAAGGGCTATGGCTTTATCTGGAACATGCCTCTCAAGGACGAATGGAGTTTGGTCCCTGGCGCAACAGATTTACAGCCGATGTGGCCACGGTGGTGGACTACGTGATTTTCGCAGCGCAACCCGGAGACTACGACACACTCCAGCGGAAGCTGTCAGCACTTACCGGCCGTGCTCCCACGCCGCCAGACTGGTCGTTGGGATACCTCCAGTCGAAGTTGCGGTATGAGAACCAATCCGAGGTTGTGCTGCTAGCTCAGAACTTCAAGAAACATGACGTCCCCGTCTCACTTATTGTCATTGACTATCAGTCCTGGGCGCATCAAGGTGACTGGGGCTTGGATCCCGCCTTGTGGCCGGATGTAGCTTCCATGGCCGCCCAGGTTAAGAATCTCACAGGGGCTGAAATGATGGCATCCCTGTGGCCCAGCGTGTCTGACCATAGTGCCAACTATCTCGACATGATGGCCAGTGGGTATCTATCAGCTACCAAGTCCGGACCCGGTACTACGGACTCTTGGAACGGTTCGTACATCCGCAACTACGATGCTACGAATCCTGCAGCACGCGCGTTCCTCTGGGACACACTGAAGAAAAACTACTACGATAAGGGCATCCACAATTTCTGGATCGACCAGGCCGACGGTGGCGCCCTGGGCGAAGCCTACGAGAACAACGGTCAAAGCACGTACATCCAATCCATTCCCTTTGCGCTTCCTGATGTGCTATATGCGGCTGGAACGCAGGCAAGTGTGGGCAAGCTGTATCCTTGGGCACATCAGCAGGCCATCGAGGATGGTTATCGCAATGCTACGAATAGTACCATAGGCACTGCATGCGACCATATTTCCCTCAGCCGGTCTGGATACATCGGATCTCAGCGTTTCTGCAGCATGATTTGGTCAGGAGACATCAGTTCCGTGTGGGAAACGCTCGGGCTGCAAATAGCCAGCGGTCTATCTGCTGCCGCCACAGGATGGGGGTGGTGGACTGTTGATGCGGGAGGCTTCCAAGTTGACCCGACAGTGCCGTGGAGCGCCAACATCGACACGCCCGAGTATCGCGAGTTGTACGTTCGATGGTTACAGTGGACGACTTTTGTGCCCTTCATGCGGACACACGGATCCCGAGCGTGCAACCATCAGAGTGCATACACCTGCGACAACGAGCCCTGGTCATACGGAGAGGAAAATACACCCATCATCGTGTCGTACATCCACCTGCGATACCAGCTCAAGGCCTACCTCCAAACTATATTCCAACAGCTCCATAAAACAGGCAGGATGATCATGCGGCCGCTGTACATGGACTTTGAACGATCTGACCAGAACATTGCCTCCCTAACTCAAGCCAACACCAACGTCACCACGCAGCAGTACATGTTTGGTCCTCGTCTGCTCGTGACGCCCGTCACTACTCCAAATGCGACGGAATGGTCGGTCTATCTGCCCCAGACGGGTGATAATAGTACTCGGCCCTGGACGTACTGGTGGACGAACCAGACGTATGCTGGAGGGCAGATGGTGACTGTTCCTGCGCCGCTGGAGCATATTCCTTTGTTCCATTTGGGGTCGCGCGTGGAAATTCTTCGTGGTGATGTTTTCTGAAGTCGGACATTTTGTGCGAGATTATAGGTGACCCTGTCTATAATCTATGACTGTCTGGCTTTTAGGATAGGACAAGACGAGTTATTTCCCGATTAGCAAGGAAGAAAGGAACATATTGACACCGCTGCGGCACTCTAAACATTATATGCTCTACAAGAAGATATGACCACTCAGTATATTACGTATGTCAACATTGTGTTAGCGTTTGCTTCCTCCCAGTGCTCCCTTATTGTTTTCCTAATAGTCGCCATCTTAAAAAGACCGCTGTTGTCCTCACGAGTGCCATAATCCTGCTTGGCAGATTTTGGGGGGGCACCTTGCTCAATCAGTTAGCAAGATTAACTCTAAAAGGTATCCGAATACATACTTGTGGTCAACCCACCGCTTAAACCAATACATGGAGCACACCACTCCGCAGAGAGCAAGAAGACCAAGAATTTAAAAGCTTAATACCATAGCAATTTGTTCAAGGGACCATTCATTGACATTCGCGGGATGGTACTTCATGAGCAAGTTGAAGGTTCCGTGGCAGACATCAGTGCATTTTGCGACGACAGTCGTGGTTGTAGTTATGGTTGTAGCTGTTGCAATTGGTAAAAAGGGAGAAGGTCGTCCCAGGAAAAATTACAGTCAATCATAGAAGCCAATTGAGTTAGTTTGGGGAGTGTAAGAATCTTTCCTGACTCAGGGGTGACCTGTTCAAGGTCATCAAAGGTTTTCAGCTGTCCCAAAAGGTTGAAAGATATAGTATAAAGTGAGTTAAAAAGCAATGGCTAGGAAAGAGAGTTAGCAGTGTTTTTTTTTTTTTTTTTTTTTATGGAGGATAGTAAAAGTTTAACATACTACTGTTCTGGCAGCATCATCAAACATTGGCCAAGTAATTTCTGAATTTGTAATGTGATGGAATGATTTCACAATAGAGTCTGCGACACAGTCAAGCCCTGGGAGCTGCTCGTCTGGAAGCATATCACAGTGCCCGAACTGAGTGATGAGAAGCAATTTGACCAAGGCATGACAGGAATCTGGGAGCTCGAATGCTCTGCGCTCCGCCTGATGTTGCCATTCTTTCACATTCAGGGAGGGATTTCTGCGGTCATGATATGTTGCGAGGCTGAAAAAGTAATTGATTGTGGTCAGCCAGAGTGCGACCCCAGCAGTGATTCCCTTCATGGTTGATCCAGCAAGCTCTCTCATAGTGGGTCCATGTCAGAGCTCGAAGGAACTCCTCAGCTGTTAAGCTTTCTGGCAATGGCTGTCAATGAGAAAAAGGAGCTTGTGAGAGATACTGTAAGCTGTTGTACAGGATGGATCCTGCTTTTGTTAGAGATGAAGGAAGCGCTCCGTGGCTGTGAAGGAAGGATAAAAAAGCCGTTTGGCCAAGACATGGTGTCCCGTTGTCAACTGCACTGAATAACTGGAAATTCTGATTGAGCTGAGCAATCGCCTCGTCATTTGCATTCCCAGAATCCATCATCTTCTCACCTACTCACTGGAGGATACAGTTAGGGTCCATGGCACCCTCTGCGATCCAAGAGTTCGACCGGTTGCTGGATATCATTGTCGCATGCCTGTATGGTATAGATGGCTAGGATTATATGATAAAAACAGCGAGATATCTGAGTTAGAGATGGCGAGATAGGAATTATATCATGAGCGATTCAGAATGATCAAGGGAGCTATCAGAAAAAATTGTATGATTTCATCTGGTGTTTTATTAGTCGCGGTGGCTGTGCGAAAAAATGCGATCTACCTTGCTTGGCCCCCATATTCAACTGAAAAAATTCGAATCCTCTCGCTATGCAAGGCTATGCATATGCTTATTTCCGGGGTGCTTTTTGTCACGGAGCATGGATGCTCGCGAGCTGGATCTGGCACCGGTGTGATTGTGACACAACCTGGCTTCTCTCGTATCGTACCTATGGTTCTAGTTAACTAAGCCTCAGTTCAAGGGCACTCACCTGAGTATCCTTCACAGCATCGTATATCGAGAATGACCTTTAGGGTCTGTCCGGTGATGTAGTAATGCGTCGCTTGGTATATCGCCCCAGCCAGGCTACGTAAACAAGTAAGATCGGTAAGGTAACTAAATAGAGAAACAAGGCCAACTGAGTACGTATACTCAGTTGTTGGTTTAGTACGGACGAGTCAGAATCACCAACTCCCTTCTCTCCGGCACAAACGAAAACAATATCCCCCTCACAACACTCAACTTCGACTTCTCCCTAATTCATATCGAAGCCCCCAAAGAATTCAAATCCCTAGCATCCGCCCTATCAACTAATCGACGATACGACGCAGAGGAGGGCCAACCACTCTGCACGGCCCGCAAACTAGGTGCTCTATTCGAAGATCTCATCCTCTCGACCCCGAAGTTAATTGAATCATTCGGGACACGGGTCTCGCAGATCGTACAGACTCCTGGGATTAATCCCAAGGGTGGCCCCCATCTATGGCCCCTTTGAATAGTTCGTCGGTGCAGATGGAACCACTCTCTGGGCTGCTGCGACGTCTGGCATTCCGGCCATTGGGGTGTATCTTCTATCGTGCCTTTTGGCTCGGGTGTGGGATGCGAAAGAAGCGACCGCGTTGTGGGTGGAATTGGTGAAACAGCGATAGAAGGAGACTCAGGATGTGTACGAGCAGAATCACATCGTCTCCGCATCTGCTATGTTCGTTGCACGCCAAGAGATGTCACGAGAAGATCTAGCACGCTGGGACAAGAGTGCTAGATCCTGGCTGCACAGCGCAGACCGCGCCAAAGTCGTCCAGTGTAACCAATTGAAGGTGATCATCAGAAGCCTTCCGCTTCCGTTAACGGCAGCTTCCTCCACGTATGCGAGTGTTATCAGTGTCTGGAGAGAGGCAATGCTCGGGATGGACGGTCTGCTTTCTGGGAACCCGGTTCTGATATCGAACGGGTCGCTTTTTCTCGCGTTTTCCTCATGGTATTCTTTCCCAGACCTTATAGTGCTGGGTAGCAAGACAACTCATGTCAAGTTTAGCGATAATTTGTTCCCGCCGGGAGGAAGCTGTACTATTGGCCGGGAAATGATCACGGATCAACCTGAAGGGATTCGATGGTGCACTATTAGTCTCCGAGTAGCCTGTCTGCGGTTGCGCGGACTCCAGTTTTGCGAAGTGAAGGCGGGGAATACAGCGTGCGATGGCTGTCTTCAGGTAATGACAAGGACTCGAGATATTGGTTTGGTACATCAGAAAACCACATTCTGGGTTATGTTGATGATCAAGGGAGCATTACCCAGTTCCGGATTCTTTATTCTGTTAACAGCAAGGCCCATGTAGGTGGCCACGGTGCAACTGTATGTACGGAGTACATAGATGGAGGAGATCATGAACTGCCATATTGCTCAGAAGCAAACCCTCCTTCTAACAGCATTTCATTATAGTCTAAATAAGTTGAGCATAATTACAAAAATGAGACTGTAACTAATGCTTATTCTTTCTCTGGATCAGCTCACAAAGACATTATACAGACACGATTGTGGTTTGAGGATGGCTAGTTAATGACATGGGATGACAAAGGACATTGCCAATCGTGACAGTGACGTGACAATAATGGGGCTTTGCGTCTGATAATCATGAAGTTACCAGCTTCCAGTAATCACCATGAGCATCGGTATTGCATTGTCGAAGATGCACTGGTATATCAGCAGTCAAATTCTCCATATCAATTGGGTTCTTGGCTGTGCGTATCTCTTGTTGGATGTCTTCATTCAGACCCGAGCAAATCAGCGCTGTTGGGGAAGATTTCCAGGCTTCGAGGCCCATCCTTTTCGTTTTCCTGATAGTGACTCCGGTGAAAAGCATAGTTATAACGAGTAGCAAGGAAGGAAGGACAATCCATGCCCACCTGACGTCGATCTGGGTTTCCATCATGAACGACGTGCCATTGGCTGCTCCGATGCCTTCAGCAGGAGGAGAAGAGCGACCCGTATAATTCTGAGCAGACCAGTCCAGCTGGCGTACTCGAGTGGTTGCACCATTTGCAAGGCTTCTGAAGACATCCGTCAAATTGCGGCGTAGCATTGGCTGAATGAATTCGCTTGAGCCCCTCATTGGTTCATTCATACCAGCTGTATCACCATAGCAAGTTGTCAGTAAGAGATTGCTTGTTATCATCTTGCTCTCAAGCCAGTATCCAATTTCTCTGGAAACTTCTATGTTGACAATGAAGGCGTGTTGCGTCAGGTCATCTTTCTCGGGCGGTTGAAGATAAAATTGTGTTTCAGGCCCAGCACCATCGAGGGGGGGATTCGGGTCATGCCATGTATCTAATACCGTTTCGTTCAATTTATGCATTCGCACTGCCGCTGAATACGTGTTGACACACCAGTATCAAACACAGTAGTTGGCAATAGCATTGGACACAACGCTGTCTGAAGGAATCCTAATCTCTGTTAAGCCCAAGATCTTGCTTAGGCCATACTCTCGCAGCTTAGCCTGCCTATGCATTTCGAGAGTCGGGGGTGTGGAATTCAACCGAAGAAACACTTGTCCGAAAGAAAAAACGTCCGACATATTGGCCTGCAATCCATTCGGCAATGAATGGAAACATTGGGTTTTGTTTTCCGGTAGGCAAGAAGCGCCGTTTTCACAATGAGAATTGAGTGAACTTGATAAGTCATATCATTCAGAGCATACGGCTAATGATCTGAATACGGGGAAATCACATTCTCCCAATGGGCAAGTCACTGGAATGTTTGGATAAGACGCTGATGAGCTATCTCCCGCCCTGGTGGTTTCTAAACTCTGGAATAGGCTGCTGTAGAGAGCAGCAAGCATACTGCCTATGAGCTGACCTAGAGAAACAGAGACCGATGGTGTGTCTGTATAGGTTTGTCCACGGCCAACAGATGCCGGCAAGTTGATTGGCACGCGAGTATTTCGTACAGCCGACATTTGTTGTACAAAAGGGCCCACCCCGACTGCAAGGATAGTGATTAGACATCCCAGTGATGCCCAATGTCTGTTTGATTAGTTTTGCCTGGTATTGTATTGACAGAGAGACAAACCTCATTCTGACTGCCCATAAAAAGGTCATACAGCCCCATACTCCTCTGCTGGCCGAGTGATACGAGTTGATATTCGACAAGGGTCGATCCCTCATGTTGAAATGAATCCACGCATTTTGACTGAGACAGGCTGCAACTGTTCCCAGCATGAGTGCACTGAAAACCTGAGTAATCCAAGAAAGAACCGAGTTGATTGTAATGCCGTACGGCCAGTTGGGGATTGGCTTTCCGTCGTAGTTGAGCAAAACCCCGATTATACAGATAAGGGCGACGAGACTGCCGATGCACGAGATAACTTCCCAAACCCAATAATTGTTCATAAAACTCAAGAATGGAGATCTGGTTGGTATCGACGGACCCTTGTCGCCCTTGGGAAGTGCTGAGTTCTGCTCTTGATCCCAGTTGGAGCCAGTTTCATCCTCCGTCATGCCGCGATGTGATACCAATTCCATTTCTATTGCTTCTTGTAAATTTTGCTATTCGATAAGTTTGAATTATAGTTCTCACCAGTTGAGGTACATGCCCCTTAAATACCTATCCAGACCACCGAGGCTGTGTCGCCGATGAATCCTTCGCAGCCTTGTGTCTTGTACGGCAGGCTATAGTAACACAATTGCAAACCCCCAAATTTGGTAACAAATGTTCACCGCTTTTTATCCCGCCTGTATAGATGTCACGGTGCCAGTCTGCCATCTATATACGTGACCCACAGGAGATTGAAACAGATAAACCAATGTAGCGGTTAGACTCCGTGTCGGGGAAGTCGGGGAGTCGATTATCCGGACTGCACGAGGCTATAGGCGAGGAATTTAAATTACACTAAAGAGGATGACATTGATATCTATCGACACCATAGACGATAGAATGAGTACTTGGCTATCTAAAGCGCGCGCGCTTGTGTGTGTGTGTGTGTGTGTGTGTGTCCCTCTATTTTACGTCGAGGTTCGGGTCTTTCCACGCATCCTTGGAGCCCTGGTCCTGGTGCGGCATACGACGGGCAGATCGGAACTGGCTGGCAACCCCATGGATGTGCTGCTGCTTTGCGGCCCTCTCTGCAGTGATAGAAGTGGGATGGCTCCTTTCTGCGGCCGCATGAGCATGTCAGCAGGGTATCCTAGTGTTTAAAGCGCTCATGGTACTCTGCAAAGTCACCATAGCCGCTTCTGGCAGCTAGGAGGCGGCCCAGGGCTGCTCGTATAAGGAGCAGCTCGGGGGGGGGGAGCGTTTCTCTATGCTTATCCCAAGGTCCTTGTACCGTTTGGAGGCTTTATCTAACCAGTAGTGGGCAAAAACTCGCCAGTGTATCCTCTGGGCTGCCCGCTTGGCGGCAGCTATTGAGGCAGGTGGTGGGGGGTGCATTAGGTGACCATGACAGCATATCTTGGCTTCTTTGTCAACTTCTTCATTGCCTTCAATGCCTGCATGGCCAGGGACCCATTTCATTTTCACCTGCACCCTGCCTGGATGTATGCCGGGTGCTCTAGGGAGGTGTGGCCATGCCTGGGCAGCTTCTTGGAACTACTTGAAAATCGATTGGCTTGACCCTGTGGGCTGGCTCTGGAGTTGTTGCACTATTTTCCGTATGCTGGGTCGCCGCTTGGGGATTTGTTGAGGGGGCTTGGTTCTTTGGGTGAGTACTCTCCTCTTTTTGTCTTGACGCTGTCCAAGCTGACCGGATTAGTTGATATTCCCTGTATGGATCCGATACGTATCATTTATGGACGATTATTGGGTATGTCGAGTACATCCTGGCAACCCGGGGCCTCGCCTTCGCGCGACAGCATTGGAAGTCAGTCTCTAGGGGCTTGGAAGCGACATTTCAATACATCGACAACAAAACCGGCCTTATGAAAAGCACAAAAACCCTGGACTGGGGCCGCGTCGGCCAGGGAGGCCAAAACACCGCAGTGAACGCCCTCCTCTATCACGCAATGAACCTCATGGCGCAACTATCCGGTGTCCTCGAAGCCGACCAAGACAAAGCAAACATCTGGACCACCATGGCCGAAAAGCTCAAAATCTCCGTAAACAAGCTCCTCTACGACGAGCAACAAGGAATGTTCTACGACAACACCACATCCGCCGGCCATGCCCTCTACCCGCAAGATGAAAACGTCGCAGCAATAAATTTCAACCTCACAACCTCGCACAATCAATCTCTAACAATCGCAGAGAACCTCTAGCGACGACTAACCAAGTACGGAGCTCCATCTCCTGAGTACTGGGCCGGTGTATTTTTTACTGGCTAATGTGGTTGGCCTCCGCGCTACTGCGCTAGATGTCCCCAGTAAAGATGGTGATTGGGTGTTTCAGCCTTCTGTCCAGGGGTCGGAGTTGATGTGGGCGAGGGGCGGATTTAACACGAGTCATGGGGGTTTCGGAGCTAAGTGGGAGATTGGAGAAGACGATAGCTTTTCTGCTGAAATGCTCGTTTCTGATAGGTTGCAAGGCACAGTTTATGCTCCAATGATGGGTAATCAGCGTGCGAATATCACGATTAACGGAAGGCCATATATAGATTCGAATATATTTAACGGATTTATGCGATATCCGGGCGTTGGCGGTGGATCTCATATTGTCAAAGTAGCGTGAATAGTTAAATATATCTCTAGCTTGTGTATAGGGACCTCGGCAGTTATTACTATTGCACGTCACAATAAGATTGTGGGGCTACGGAGATTGGCGGCCGGAGATAAGGAATCCCCGAATTCTCTGCAAATACCTCAAATTTTGTTGACCATGTTAGCTACAGGTCAAAGCCAATGGATAATTACATTGTATATTACAGGTATAACTTTTTATATAGCATTCCCGATACGATAAATGTATACCATACACCTAGAAATTCTTCAGATGCTATCCCACTTACACTCCGACTATCCACGGATCGGGATTAGCTCGCCACTCCAACCAACTTAGCACCGGAGATTCCCCCGGGTTTAAAACTCAACTCCAACTCACGACGACCTTATATTCCGTGGTTCGTTGCCGATTATACATCTTTATTTCTTTAAGTTGCCTCTACTTTCTTCTGCTCTCATCTTTCTCAACCACACTCTCCTACCATAAACCCAATTCAATTGTCCATAAACCGCACGCCAAAATGATTCCCCTAATAATCAACAACACCGACACCCTCCACCCCTCCTCCACAAACCAAACCACCACCTACCAAGGCGCCACCCCCTCCTACACCCTCTCCGCCATCTCCTCCTCCGCCGCTGCCTTCCCCTCCTGGTCACGCACCGCGCCCTCCCACCGCCGCGACCTGTTGCGCGCCGTCGCAAAACTCCTCCACGAGCGCAGCGATGAGCTCTGCGCGACGATGATGGCGGAAATGCACGCGCCAGAGCTCTGGGCGAGAGCGAATGTGCAGTTTGGTATTGATTTGCTGGAGGAAACGGCGGGGTTGATTTCGGATGCAATGATTGGGGGGATTCCCGTGTCGCAGGGGGAGAGTTATGCGATGGTGTTTAAGGAGTCGATGGGGGTTGTGCTGGGGATTGCGCCGTGGAATGCGCCGGTGATACTGGGGTTGAGGGCTGTTGTGGCGCCGTTGGCTGCGGGCAACACCGTTCTTTTTAGGGTATGTTCCCCTTCCCCTGTTGTCGCATTCGTATTGCAAGCTAACAAAGGACAGGGCTCCGATCTAAGTCCCAAATCGCACTACCTCCTCGCCAGCCTCTTCCGCGACGCAGGCTTCCCACCCGGCGTGCTGAACTTCCTCCTCAACCGCCCCGAAGATGCGCCCGAGCTCTACGAACTCACAATCAACCACCCGTCCGTGCGCAAATGCAACTTCACCGGTTCCACGCAGGTCGGCCGGATCATCGCCTCCAAAGCCGCCTACGCACTTAAACCGGTTCTCCTCGAATTGGGTGGAAAGAACTTCGCGCTTGTTCTTGATGACGCGCGGATCGAAGATGCTGCCGAGGAGATTGTAAAAGCCGCGTTCTTGAATAACGGGCAGATCTGCATGTCTACGGATCTAGTCTACGTGACTGAAGCTACCGCGCCGAAACTCGAGGCTGCCCTGCTCGACCGCTTGAATAAGATGACGGATAAACCACGCCTCATATCCTGCACCAGTAAATCGAAACTGACATCGCTTCTCGAAGACGCGCGCATCAACGGTGCAATAATCCACCATCCCCCGTCCTTCCCTTCTCCTACCGAAGACCTCAACGACACCACCTTCCCCCCAACCCTCTTCACAAACCTCACCCCCTCCTCCACATTCCACACCACCGAGTCCTTCGGCCCCCTCCTCGGCATCGTCCGCACCCCCGACCTCACCGCAGCAATGGACCTAATCACAACGTCAACCTACGGCCTCTCTGCATCAATCTTCACATCCTCGCATTTCACGGCGCTGAAACTTGCTGAGAAAATGAGGGTTGGCGCTGTGCATGTGAACGGGATGACGGTACATGATGAGCCGACGTTGCCGCATGGGGGGGTTGGTGAGAGTGGGTATGGGCGGTTTGGTGGGAAGTGGGGTGTGGATGAGTTTTTGGAGGTTAGGACTGTTATGCTGAATCCGTGATTTTTTTTCCCCTAGGTATCTAGATTGATTGGTTTTGCGAGTATAAAAATATAGTGGTCAATTTATTGGTTTGTGTATTTGAATGTTTATTTGCAGATGTAGGGCTTTTATGCATTGGTATCTTTTACAGTGCTTTGTAAAGTACGTAGTAATTATATAATTACGCTGTAGTTCAAAACAAACTTAAGATCCTTAACAACCGGCCGGATGGTGTAGTTGGTTATCACGTATCGTTAACAGTTCCACAACTGATTCCGATAAGGTCCTGGGATCGAGCCCCAGTCTGGTCATCTTTTTTGACTTTTTGTTATTTTTTTCTTTTTTTTTTTTTTTTTTTTTTCTCTCTACTTAAAACCAATATTTAGCTTAATATAGTTGGCTTAACGTCAACACTACTCATATCCGAACAGGAGGATATAAGAAACGACCCGAAATTCACATTCATTACCCATAACTTCAAAACTTAAAAATCGAGATAATCCTCAGCGCCAAACTAAAACTATCAATCAATCAATCACCAAAAACCATAAATCAAATAAAACCCATCAATCGCATCGCATCGCAGAACGAAATAAATCCATGCGGATATTTCCATGATCCTTCCGTCCCATTTTCCAAACCAACCAGACCAAACGAAAACAGACCAGACCCAGATCCGCCCAAAAACGATGAAAACGAAAAAGAAATTGCGTGGCGTCATAAAGCCGCGAAGCGCGGCTGGACGAGTTACAGTTGCAGTAATTGCACTGGCAACGGTAGTCATACAAGAACATGACACGTGATAATAGTACAGGTGTAAAGAAAGACGAAACGACATAGCCCTGGGGATATCATAACGAAAGAAATGAACAAAAGAGAGAGAAGGTAGAGGTTGAGGTTGATGGAGGAGATCACTTTAGATCAGCCCAGATGGTGCTGAGCCATCCAGAGCCCTCAGACTGCATGGTCACCGGCCACTGGTCGCTATCGCAGCCTTCTAGGAAAGCAAGGACGTCGTCACCGCCGAGGTTCGTCGATGGAAGACTGCTTGGTACACCATCGGCGCCGTCGACGGTCATCGGGGGCGATGCTGCGGCAGCGGCTGTTGCGGTGGGATGGTTGACTGACCCCGGCGGAGGGAGCAAAGGAAGGCTATGCGGGGCGGCTGCGTTGATCGGAGGCAATGACTGAGAATACGGGGCTTGCCGCGACGGAAGCCACGAGTTCAAAGGCTGCAGTCGGTTACCCGGACCCGGAGGACCGGGGGTGTATTGTTGAGGTGGCGATTGCACAGCAGGCCCCAGAGATGGGAGGTTCGAGGATGTAGTGTTAAAGATAGGCCCGTCTGGAGTAGGGTGGTGATGGTGAGGGTGGTGTTGCAGTGATGGCAGGGAGTAAGGAGATTGCGATTGGAGAGGACGACCGGGTGGCAAAGGAAGACTAGGACGACGTTCTTTATCCGAGACTGGTAGCGGCAGAGGACTGTTGTTGATTGGAATCCACGATTCGCGACGCCCGCTAGCCCCATCGAGAGGCATATCCGTCATCAAGGTCTCGCCTGTTGGACTCCGGACTGCTGCATTGCTGCCGGTATCACTAGCGTTGGTTGCCCGGTCACTGGCGGCGGCGATATTGTTGATGGTGCCATCATCCTCATCAGGCAAACGGTCCTCAACGCTACCGAAATCAGCGAGCACCTTCTCGAGAAGCCTGAAGTCCTCGCCCCCACGAGTGCCGTTGGTCTGCGCCTCCATCGCGTCAGAAAGCACATCGTACTTGCTTCGAGACAACCGACGCATGTCCTTCTTCACCTTGGTGAAATAGCTATGCATTCGATGCACAGCCCGGAACCATCCACGAGCCATCTTCAAACGCAACCGCATCTCACGCAGGATATCAAGACCCTTGCGCGCCTGCACCTGGCCCTGGTGATCGGAAACAGCAGCACCGGGCTTCGGCCCAAGCATACCTTCAGGGTCCATGTGTGGAAAGTGTGCCGCGTAGATACCAAGCAAAGCCGCATTGTAGACAGCAAAACCCACCAACGGATTTTCCACAAGCATTCCACGTTCCGCGCAAGTCAAGACGAGATCCATCATTTGTCGACCTGCCTTGAACAATTCCCGAGCACTATCTCGGAAGAAGCTATCAGGTGTACCGGTCTTTTCAGAGAAGGGCGGTTCATCAAGCGGCCCGACCGGCTCATTGCACCGCATCGGGAGGAAGGGCAGGTTGGCCCTGTGTAGTACAATAACCGAGAGGAAGAAAACCACGTGCATCACCATATATGATGCCAGGGTATTCTTGTACATGATATGGGTATCCGTATTTCGCGGGGAATATTGTAGATTCCGTGAAAGACTGTCCTGAAACTCATTCAGCATCAGACGCAGCTTCGCAAACCGCGAATCAGGATGCCATGGAGGATATTGCTCCGCCCTATGACCGTCAGCTTGTGCAAAAAAAAAAATACTAGGGTATGTGCGTACCGTCGTCCCGAACACGACCACTTGGCAATACTCCCCCAGACACGAGTAATCCGAATAACCCGGCTCAAAACCGACTCTTCGGCGCCAATCTCCCATCGGTCAATTTCCTCCTCAGTGGAATCCTTCCTCCGCGAAATTGGCGACCACGCCATAGCGTCCGAAGCGCCGTTGGTCTGCAGCTTCTCATCGCCCAATCCCCCCAGACTCTGACGGATACTAGGGATCTGCACGCCTTGGGCACCAAAGCTTTGGGGTCGTCGCATGACAGGCTCGTTGAGTCGGGATGTCCGAACACGCTCGCCGAAAGCGAATGCGTTGTCACTCGGAAGCTGGATTCCGAGCTTCTTGGCCCGGATCATGCGAGGCCGGTACTTACCGCTACTCAGGCAACGGTCTAGAGTAAAGCATGCCCAGAACGTGCGGCGCTTCGTCTCCTGGGCAATGACGTCGTCCGATGTTTGTTCCTTGGGGTCGGTTCTGAAGCCGCCGGGGGAGCGCGGGCCGTCGCGTGCAGGGAGTTCGTTTTCGAGTTCAAACGGTAGCCCCATGGCCTGTGACATACGGATTGCCATGCCCACGTACAACCACGCACTCTTTCCCCGGCACATGCTCCACTCGTGTAGGGCAAGCATCAACAACGCTTGCACGCGGGTAAGATCGGGAGCGGCAAGATTGACGCCATCGGGACCGGCCAGCCGGCTGCGCAGCGCATTTGCGTATAATTCGGAAGCGACAAAAGGATTGGACGGATTCCCAGCAGACGATGGGGAATGGTAGACGACCAACTGAGGGTGAAACCGAGCCGTCAAAGCCAGCACCCCGAGTGGTATCAGCGGGTTCAATTCGGGTTTCGGAAGCGGAGGACTTTGCGAGTGATCTCGATTACCATCCTGCGGCGTACTGTTCGAAAGGGGTGAAGTCTGCGAATGATGTGACAATTGCCGAATCTGCCCCAAAAACGTAGCCGGATGAAGGAACGGAAGAAGAGTCGCATAGTGTGATTGGAAGAGATCGAACACAGCCTCCCAGACCTTGACGGTCAAAATCGACGAATCTAGGGCATCAAGAGCGGATTTCGAGGCATCTTTGACGGCTGACGAAACCGATTTTCGCGGACGCTGTCGTTTCGGACCATCCGGGTCACCATTGATCTCTCCCTCCAACAAAGTACCATGGTCTCGCTTGGTCGCAGCAGCACCACCAATGCTGATAGCCGGGGCAGGATAGACGCAATCTCGACCGGAGGATTCACAGGCGCGACAGGTAGTATCGATACCAGCGTTGACGCATTTGATCTTGCTCCGACGACATCGGGCGCAAGCTATACTGGATCGCATGGTGTGTGTAAATGTATTCGTAGATAGGTAGGTAGGTGGTCGAGAGACCGGGCCCTTCACTCGGGCGACAATCAAGTATGCTTTTGTTTCCCCTGCGTCACCCCAGCGTTGCTTTTTCCGGATTCCGTTATATTTCTTTTGCTTCTTGCCGTGAGTCGATGCGCAGACGGATTCGGGTAGTCGCACGGGTTTGGAACAACAGTCGCTCGCCCGAGAAAAATGGAGATGCACGGCGAACCGAAAAGTGAATCTGAGTCCGCGTCAGTATGGCATATTTAGCCGACGGCCGATGGACCTACCGTAGTCTACCACACAGGTTACAGATATGATGAAGTAACAGGTAGAGAGTAGAGGACAGAGGAGAGGAGAGGAGAGAGGAGAGGAGAGAGGAGAAAAAGGAGATTGGGTAACAGAAGAATTGAAAAGGACGAGAAAGAGAAGAGAAAAAACAGAAGAGGCTGAGACCGAGGAATCCACGTGCGGAAGAAGCGGAGTGTGGGGGAAGAGCAAGAGGAAAAGTCGGGGCAGCGGGCGGCAATCCAGAAGGGGAAGCACTATGTACTAGGTATGTTGTATGCTGTACGCTGTACGGGCACTATGAAAGGAATATAAATGAGATGACCGGTTCCGAACATAACAAGGATCAAATATAAGCAGAAACATAAACGAACAGCCAAAAAAGAGCAGATCCGTAAAAAGTGCGGAGGGCGTATCGTACGGTATTGCCGGGTTGGGGTAACAGTAATTTACCATACTTGTACGGTACCGAAGCAAGGACGCCGAACGGACCCGATTCCGACCGGTTCACGGAATGTACGGCTCGGTAAGTATTCTCTGCTCTGTACGGAGTAGAGAATACTTCTATTCAAGAGACTCTGCTATGTATATAATAGCTGACGATTCTATAGTCTACCAGTTATAGGTACAGCATATTTACAGATATCTACAGATATCTACAGAGTAAACATAGTATCCCCCAGTGCAGTTCCTCTTAGGTAACACTCGCTCATTTCCGGCCCTTTGTCGTTGGATTCCGGCGCATTGTCGGTACACCTTTTATCCCAGTCCAGTTTCCCATTCTCGTATTCCTGTTTGCTTTGCCGATCGACTTGTCACTTGACCTGTGGTCCGGGGGCTGTCCGGGGTAGATTTTGCCATCCGTCCGCTGCCAAGATTGGGCCTTCATCAGCCGAGTCTCCTTCCTCTCCTCTATAGGTACATGCGAAGTACCCCAGTACAGTACTTGGATGGAAGAGGGGGCCTCGGTACGCCTATTCCAGCAGCTTACTCCGTGCGATTGATTCCCCTGCATCGTTCGGGGTCCCCGCGGGGAAAGATAGATCGATCGGTAACTTCTCCATACATACGCCAGGTGTGCTGCCACTGATGTCATGTCTACAAGCGGTAATCCTAAGCACCTTGCCTCCCCTAGCACTATGGAGTAATAATGTATACAAGCACTCACACACCTAACGGTGTATGAGTACTTGTACATAACCCGGAATACCCAGACCGGCAACTCCCCGCGCCCTTCTTAGCCGGTCGTCCCGTACAGTCGCCGTCGCCGCTTGTTCGTTCGGGCCCGTCCGCCCATCATGATTGGTTTCCCCAGAGAGACCCTCCCAAATCCCGAGGCCCAGTGACCCGAACCCCGCAATTTCCCAATCGGACAATGCCCGACACACATGTCCCCCGTACAAGTTCTCCGTACGGGGGACATGTGTGTATTGCCGTACACTTGTGATGTACTGGTCGACGGGAGGGGATTAGGCGAGGTACATGCGAAAGTATATATAATACATGGAGCCAGACACAGACCCTGGACGAAACCGGGGTAAATGTCTGTACGTAATAAAACGGGATGGGAGAGTTCTTGGCATCGCTTGTCGTATAATTAACTGCTCCCGTCGTCGGATATTAAGCGAGCAGTCGTCTTTTCTTTTCTCCATACCGTCTCTGTACTCCATACAGAATACCAGTACAGCGTCCTAGCACAGTGTCGGGAATTGACAGCTGCTGTGCACTGTATGTCCGACTTGCCACTTGTCAACTTCACATTCTCGACTTGGCCGTGGTACACACAGATTCATATGAAGCGGCAGAGTCAGTCGGCGGGTTGAACGTTCATGGGCATTCCGAGTCCTGCCGACTTTTTCCCGGACTACCGAATTGGTAACGGCGGGCGGGTGATTGGTTGCTATGTTGTACAGTAGTGGTCCGTGGTCCGTGTATTCTGTGTGTGTGTCGCCGTCACATACGTAGCGCTATCCTAGTTGGAATCTGGCAGAGCTGTCGAGTTTTGATCTTGTTTTGGTTTTGTTTTGGGCTAAAGTGGGTTGGTTTAATTTCGTAGGGTCGGGTGGGTCATGTGATTGATTTAGCCTAAATCCTGACGGACAACTCCCGGGCTAAACAAGCGATACAGTATCAGGTATCAGGTATCAATCAGTCTATTGTGCTGTATATTAAGGTATATAAGATATGATATATGTATGGGTATAAATATCTATAAGAAATGAAGCAATCATATCACAGGTGGACTGTGTCCAATATTAAACATCATAGAACCTATTGTCGTCAGCAATCGCCTTTCCCCACTATTTGTTAGACAATACATACCAAGATGCCAATGCGATTATCAAGTACATCATCATGAGCAACACGCCTTCGAGCCAGTGCGATTTACCGTCGGCGATGAGGTAGTTAACCTACGATATTAGTTGATAACCAACTACAGGCGGGAGGTGGACATACCAAAAGGACCGAAACAAAGAGGAGGATCACCTGAAACCCGTCGAAGTACAGTGTCTGTCACTGTTAGTCTTGAACATCAGAATAGTTTGGGGACGACGAACCATATCCTCATTGCCCATGATCCATCCAATCACAATGATCAAAGGAAGCACCAGCAAAGCAATCTGCATACTCGATCCAACTGCAACTCCAATCGCCAGATCCATCTTATCCTTGCATGCCACCGTCACGGCTGTCGCGTGCTCTGCAGCGTTACCCACAATAGGAAGGAGAATAAGTCCCACAAATGTCTCCGAGATAGGATATTCCCGCACAAGAGCATTGATCGAATTGACCATGAATTCAGCACACACAGCAACAAGCGCCGTCGAAATTCCCAGCGTCACAAAAGCAACAATGAGATGAAGCTGCGGCTCTTCCTCTTCGTCATCGGGATTTTGCAGTTTGATTTGATGCACGTTCTGACCCGCCATACTTGCGGACATCTTGCCGATCTGTGCGATTCCGCGACTGGCGTCACCTTCGGCTATCTTGACCCGTCGTTTCTCGACTTTCGGGCTGGGTTTGTTGTAGATTTCCGTGTGGGTTCTGAGTTGGAAGAAGAGGTAGCATCCGTACACGACGAGAAGCATGATACTCGTTCCTATTCGAGTTAGAGATGACAATATGCGTTATATGATATGAACCTACCTCGCGACAGAGCAGCGACATTTTTAGTGCCCGCTGTATCCGTTAGCATGTCTTTTCTTGGACCACGAGGATAAACATACCTTCAGACCACTGATGAAATGCTGTGGGAATGATCAAACTACCCACAGCCAACGCAAGAAGACTAGCGGCTGTTTGTGCAACGACAGGGTTGAAATGCTGCTCCAAGCGGTTGAGACCACCGAAAAAGAAACACATTCCCATGACCAGGAGCAGATTCGACAACATACTTCCAACGAGCGAGGTTTGGACGATGACGATTTCGTTTTTGGTCAGGGCGATGATGGCCACAATTAACTCGACGGCATTTCTGTTTGGTCAGCAGTCATCCAGGGTTGGTATATTGGTCAAACTCACCCGAACGTCGCATTCAAAAGACCACCGATAGTCTCTCCGGTGCGCATGGCAACTTCTTCCGTGGCATAACCCAGCATGGCCGCAAGAGGACTGCACAGTTAGTTGTGATCTTCTCTCGTAGATAACGGGGTCATACATAATGGCAACAAAGTTAACCACAAAAACGACGACCGGGTTGATCCCTTTGACTTGGCTCAATGCAACTGTTACCGTTAGCACCTCTCCCATATTAGATGGTCTGGCAAACTCACTTCCAACCGGTGCCGCCAAAATAAAAATATTCATCCACGAATTAAAGACTGTTGCTTTCAACTGGCCCGCCAGCGTAAATTTCTGCTTATCCTCCTCCTTGTCCTCTCCATCGACGTCTCCTGTAGAAGCTGATGCGGTTTCATCACCATTCTCCTCTCCATAGTTCCTCCATTTGCCCAATAAAGTCTTTCGCTTGCGCGGTCCTCCCTCAAGATCTCTTTCCTCCTGTTCATCCTGAAACGACACATTGATGGGTTCCCGACTGTGCATTGATAGATCCGGTCCTTCAATACCACCACTGCTCTCTGCTCGCGAGACGCTCGCCGTATTCGGACGGGTGTGACCTTCTGAGGCCCTCGACAATGACGACTCAGGCGGAAACGAATCGGAATGCTCGGGTCCTTGCAGTCCATCTGTCATAGATCGTCTCCGGCGACGCTCTTCGGATAAAGGTACCTCACCGGCGGTGCGAACGGGGGCTAGACGGCTTTCGAGTTTGATAGAACTGGAACGACGCGGACGAGATCTGAATTTTTTGAAGGGGTTATGGGTGGACGGTTCGCCTTCCTGGTCGTACCATGCGAGGTTCCTGGCTTTGCGGCGGTAGATATCTAAATGCCAAGACTGTTAGCCAAGACACTCAGCGCCGTGGTTGGGTCAGGGATGAACCTGGGTACATACGCATGTTGTGTTTATCCCGTAGCTTAGCTATGCTGTCCAAGAGATTTCCAAGAGATCCAAGAGAGCTAAGCGATTCTTATAGGAGATCAATTCTTCAGCTTCAGCTACTTGGGTCGAATTGGGCCGGTGGTGTGGCGCGTATTCTGTGCCGAGAGAGGCACACGAATTGGTGGAGCGATGAGATCGTGGCTCGACAACTGCGCCGCAGTGTGGTCAGACAACGAGCAGGCAGAGATATAAATATGATAATGTGACAGAAATAGGATGCTTGATCGCGGTAGAAAGCAGGCAATAAAGAGAAAAAACGACCAGCAATACCCAAACAGACGGTGGACAATGGTTGAATCCCAACAGACAGACAACGCACCACTGATTTACGAGAGAGAAAAAGAAAATCAACGAGTGACAGACGAGAAACGAGCGAAACGAAAGTTGGGAAAGGAGATTCTCACAGGGAAGAAAAGAGAGTTTGAGTGCGTTGTTTGGCCGTCCTTCATTTGTGCTTCGATGCTATTTAGCATGCACAGCCACCCCGATACGCAGATCGTGGCTTGACCTGTACGGAGTACGGAGGCAGTAACTTGTACAGGGTGCTCTAAGGGGGTATGTATACAAGTACTGTATGGAGTGTAAGTATTCATGAATTAAAACAGTGTTCAATTGGTCTATATATCCAGATCTTAGCTGTCAATTCCCCCTCTCCTGAACAAAGTTATCTGCAGGACCCAGTGGTGACTAAGCGGTTAGTGGGTCGATAGTGGCCGATCCAGAATTCTGGAAGTCAGGTACAGTGATGTTTACTGTATGATTATAGGAAGATGTACTCAAAGAGAGCAATATCTCCCGAGTATGGAGTACGTCTGGAACAATGGTCGACTCTGTTTGATTAGGTCTCAATTCCGGGGGGGTAATTAGATTCACCAGCGCATCAGCCAGCTGAGCTCCTTCAGCCATTCTTTCTTGCTGCAGAAAATTGGAGTCATGGGTTCTCACGTGATACTTTGTTAATGCTTATTTTGATTGGTCGATCAAAGAAGGTGACATTTGTCATGTGATATACAATGAGTAGCCAATCACATTATCTATTACTACTCTAGAGAGGGATGTTTCCCAATCGGGAAGAAGGGCATACCGGATGTACAGTGACACATGAGAAACCAATCAACAGACAGAAGGAACACCGTTCTACTTTCTCGCTAAGGTGTCTGTATGTGTTACTTGAACAGTTCTGAATCAGTGTAAGGAGGGTGCAAGAATAGCCTGATAAGGGAATGCCATGACATCAAAAGGACCTGATCTATACCTGATTCGTATCAAATACAGCGACAAACCACAGTAGATTCCAGAAGCAAACACTGAATAGCACTGAAGTTACCAAAAATACCATCACATGACCCCCTTGTTACCACGTCCATTCCAAAGCTCCCTACCTTCTGCCACCTCCTTCCTTCTTCCTTCCCTCTGTCCCCTCCTTCCTTTTCCTCTCCAGCCCCGTTCTTAATTCATCGACATTTCCTGGTGAGTCTTCCATCAACTGTTTACTTCTCTGCTTTCATCTCGTTTCTTCTTACTGATCGTTCTACTGTGCTTCATAGCGTTGACCTCTACGAATTCGTCTGATAGCTTGTCACCATGAAGCTTTCACTCGCCCTCGCTGGCGGCGCCCTCTTGCTGGGACGTGCCATTGCTGATTTGCCTACCATCGAGACCAAGGTATGCTTCAATAGAGCCATGGGTCTACGATGACTACGATAGCTAACCAGTCTCATAGGGCTCCAAATTCTTCTATTCCAACAACGGCACCGAGTTGTAAGTGATATTGCTAGTCAGCCATTTCGAACCCTACTGACCATTGCAGCTTCATTCGTGGTGTTGCCTATCAGCGTATGTGACCTTCTTTCCTCCGAAGAAAGAACAGTACTGACATCTCCCAGAGGATTACTCCGCCAACAGCACTAGCGAAAACGACAAGTATATTGACCCTCTCGCCGACTCTGCTAGCTGCAAGCGTGACATCCCATACCTGAAAGAGCTCCGTACCAACGTCATCCGGACCTACGCTATCGATCCCTCCAAGAACCACGACGAGTGCATGAATGCTTTGGCTGATGCCGGTATCTACCTCATCACTGATCTATCATCACCGCACGAGTCTATCAACCGCAATGAGCCCAAGTGGGATACGGACCTGTTCTCGCGGTACACCAAGGTCGTTGATGCGTTGGCCAAGTACCCCAACGTCATTGGCTTCTTTGCCGGAAACGAGGTCGCCAATGCCAAGAACAACACCAACTCGATTGCCTACGTCAAAGGTGCCGTCCGCGATATGAAGGCCTACATCAAGGAGAAGGGCTACCGTGAGTCACTGGCTGTGGGATACGCCACCGATGATGATGCCTCAATCCGTGCCGACTTGGCCGACTACCTGACCTGCGGTGACAAGGATACCTCCATTGATATGTTTGGATACAACATTTACGAATGGTGCGGTGAGTCCTCCTTCGAGGAATCCGGATACAGTGAGCGGACCAAGGAGTTCAAAGACTATTCTGTCCCTGCCTTTTTCTCTGAATATGGCTGTATCCACCCGCGTCCTCGCAAGTTCTCAGATGTTCCTGTCCTCTTTGGCGATAAGATGAATGGTGTCTGGAGCGGTGGTATTGTCTACATGTACTTCCAGGAAACCAATGACTACGGCCTGGTGTCGGTCGATGGCGACAAGGTCAGCAAGATGGAAGACTTTAACTATCTCTCCTCCCAGATGGCCAAGGTGGACCCGACCGGTACCAAGAGTGCCGACTACAAGCCTGAAAACACTGCTCGCGCCTGCCCTTCTGTCGACAAAGACTGGGAGGCTGCCAAGGAGTTGCCTCCGACCCCGAACCTGGAGCTGTGCTCTTGCATGATCGACACTCTGTCCTGCGTTCTCAAGGATTCGGTTAAAGAGGACGACATGGGTGAGCTCTTTGGCGTGGTTTGCGGATCCGATGGTGTGTGTGATGGCATCGCTTCCAACTCTACCACTGGTACCTACGGCGCCTACAGTGTTTGCAGTGCCAAGCAGAAACTTTCCTTCGTCATGGACCAGTACTACAAGAAGCAGAACAAGAAGTCCACCGCTTGTGACTTTTCCGGCGCCGCTCGTGTGCAAGATTCCTCCAACTCCAAGGGCACTTGCTCTGCTCTGATCAAGCAGGCCGGAGCTGACGGCACGGGCTCGGTCACTTCTATCCCGACTAACGTCGCTGGTGCCAGCGCCAGTTCGACTTCGGAGGGTGCTGCCGGCGTTCTGGTGACTCCCACTGCTGTCACTGTTGGTGCTTGGCAGTTCGGAGTCTACTTGGCCACGGCTATCATTGCAGGTGCCGGAATGATCTTGCTATGATGAAGACTAGTTGTGTTGTGTTAGTCTTGCCGGAAGACCTCTTTGTTATCTGAACGGAGTATATATTAGCAAATTCGTTCGTTTATGGTGGTCTACATGGGAATGAAGAGGACAGTCTTAATGCTTATGATGTTATGTAGTGATGGATTATTTCATTTTAAATGATTCCTACTGTACGAGGGTTTCCATGTGCGGCGTTCGGCGACGTTGACCGAGAAGCTCCACTCAACCGTAAACTAAACTTCGGTGATCTGCCCCGGCAAGCCGAGCCCGCTGGAAAAGAATCCGAGCGTCATGTTTTAAATATTTTTCTTTCGCCTCTCTTTTTCATGATTCTCAATTATAAAAAAAAAAAAAATAATGTTCTATTTGCAATATACTGTTTAAATACAAAATGAGAAAACAAGACGAGCCCTATACAGCCCAGGTTACTCCCGATCCGGAAGCCCAACCGGCGGGAGCTGCGGGCGCTGCGGGCGCACCAGAGAAAGCCCTCGATCCCGAAGCTTCAGACCAATACAACCTCCCAATCTGGCGCAAATACATCATCCTCTTCGTGGTAAGCTGGATGACCCTCGCCATAACATTCTCCTCAACCTCTTTCCTCCCTGCAACCCCAGAAATCGCCTCCGAATTCAACACAACAACCGAGATCCTCAATGCGACAAACGCAGGCGTGCTGCTCGCAATGGGCTTCTCGTCGCTGATCTGGGGACCCTTGGGTAACATCTTTGGACGCAAATATGCGTATAATGTTGCGATTTTTGTGCTCACGGGGTGTTCGGCGGGTGCGGCAGCGGCAATTAATATGCGTATGTTTACGACGATGAGGGTTTTGGCTGGGTTGACGGGGACGTCGTTTATGGTTTCGGGGCAGACGATTTTGGCGGATATTTTTGAACCTGTACTTCTCCCTCTTCAATCCAGGTTGGCGTTATGGGTGCTGACGATGTAGGTTGTTCGAGGAACGGCTGTTGGTTTCTTTATGGTTGGGAGTGTAGCTGGTCCTGCTATTGGTGTGTTTCCTACCCACTATCTTCTGTATCGAATGTTGGCTAACAAACTAGGCCCCTGCATTGGAGGAATAATCGTAACCTTTACCAGCTGGCGAATCATCTTCTGGGTGCAAACAGCCATGGCAGGCTTCGGCCTGGTCCTCTCCCTCCTCTTCATCTCAGGTGTTCAAGACCCTCCCACCATGATCGCGAAGAAGAAAGCAGGCGCGAAAGTTGGCGCCCTCGACATGGTGGCCATGTTTAATCCACTACGGATTATTCGTCAGATGGTGTATCCGAATGTTTTTCTTGCCGTGCGTCTCCCCCACCCACCATTATGCATATGCATATAATCTAACAGGTTTGGTGATGTAGGATTTAACATGCGGCTTCCTCGCAACCTTCCAATACGCCCTCCTAACCTCTGCCCGCGCCCTCTTCAACCCCCGCTTCAACCTAACAACAGCCCTAGTAAGTGGCCTCTTCTACCTAGCCCCAGGCTCCGGCTTCCTCCTCGGCTCCGTAATAGGCGGCAAACTCTCCGACCGCACAGTCCGCAAGTGGATAGCCCGCCGCAACGGGGTGCGTCTGCCCCAGGACCGGCTTAATTCGGGATTGTTGACGCTGTTGGGCGTGTTGCCTGTGTCTGCGCTGATCTTTGGTTGGACATTGCAGGAGGAGGCGGGGGGGATGGTGGTGCCGATTATTAGTGCGTTTTTTGGTGGGTTTGGGCTTACGGGGAGTTTTAATGGGTTAAATACGTATAATGCTGGTACGTTCTGCCCCTCTGTATTGAGATTGCGTTGCGTTGGTGGGGTATGGGGTGAGTTGGTGTTAACGAAAGCAGAGGCGATCCCCGCAAAACGCTCAGAGGTTATTGCAGGAAAGTATATTGTGCAGTATATCTTTGCGGCGGCGAGTACGGCGGCTGTGCAGCCGTTGTTGGATGCTATTGGGGCGGGGTGGACGTTTACTATCTGTATGCCTCCCCTTCCTTCCCTTTCTATTTATGTATATTTGTTGGTGGCTAACAATTCAGGTGTGGTCCTCTCTCTCATCGGTGGGCTTTTGGTGTGGACGATTACGAAATGGGGCTTTGATATGCAGCAGTGGGCGGAGAGGAAGTTTGAGTTGGATAAGAAGCCTGGTTTTTAGTTTAATACGCTGATATACCCGTTTGGATAGATAAAATGCATTCAGATAGATTGGTAGATAGATTATAATCCATGGCACGTGTATAGACTCTCTGCGTCGTTCAGGAATGTATCCACGGGATTTAACAATCCAAGGTCGAAGTCGGATTGTGCGAGAAAGTCTTGCATCGTTGGTTCGAGGAAGGCCATTTCTGTCGTGAAGCCGCCTGATGCGTCGTGGAGGGGTATCCCATTGCTTTGAATGGTTGGATAAGAAGCAACCATCATATCCGTATTAGTCCCACCACTCTGCATAGTCCCAACAGCCTCCTGTCCCATCGCAGTCAAATTACCAGTCCCGATAGAGCCAGGTGACTGCACCGACGCAGCCGAAACATCCCCCGGTCCAATCGCCGCCATCGCATTCACATTCCCCATCCCCCTCCCTCCTCCTCGTCTCCTCCTCTCCCTCTCCCCCCAATACCCCTCAAGACAGGATTTAACCTGCTCGAGATTCTGCCAAAAGTCCGCCGCCGCGAGATTCCCATTCTCGCTCATCGACCCTAATACTTCCAGCGCGGTCTCGAAACCGCCCATGTCGCTGGGGTTACCCACGGGGACGAAAGAGGACATGGCCAATGCGAGGGCTGAGGAGAAGAGGTAGTGGGCGTGGAAGTAGCCAAAGACGGGGAGGGTGCCGTTGAAGTATTTTGTGAGGATTAGGGAGTGGGAGTGGCGGGCTGCGTGGATGCAGGCTTCGGAGAGGGTTAGGACGGGTTGGGGGAGGGAGGAGGGGGAGTCGTTTTCGCTGAGTTTGATGAGGAGGTGGAGGAGAGTTGGGCGGGTTGTTAGGATTACACACTTTGGTTATATCAGCATGTCAGTTGTTTCGGCTTAAGGGGGGGGTGAGGTACCTGGTTGAATGCAAGGTGTAGAGAGGTGATAGGCTTCTTATTTGCCTCTGGATCCTCTTGGTTCAACCTTATGTGATCTGGCAATGTTTCAACCCAGCTTTTTAATGCTTTCAGCAATTTCTGCACCCTCTGTAAAAACGTCTCCGTGTACTTCCTCCGACTGTACAGTTTCGAAATTGTCTCCCCCACAATTTTTGCCAACTTCACATTCGCCGTCAAATAGTCCGTGTCTGAAAATTGCTCCTCGTGCAGCTGCCGTGGTTCAATGTTCGACGGCATGTCGAGGTGGATGTCATCGTCGAGGATCTGTGATGGCAGGCCCATTTTGGATCCCCACATTCGATCAAAGATGTAGATGGTCCACCAGATTCGAACGCGGTGTTGGCGCTCAACAGGGTCAATTACTTGGGACTCAGGGATGTTGTGGTTCAAACCTATGCAGAGGCTTAGTCGCATTGCGCTGCCAATTAGGACGTAGGCTGAGTGGCGGCGGTTGAGGTAGTAAGAGAATAGTGACTGTATCGTTAACTTTGAATCAGTTGAATGTGAAGGGTGAGCATACCAATAGCAGTAAGGTCTCTAAATGTGTAATGCTCGTCCTCTCCGGCAACACTTGCACCAAACTCAGGGCACGCGCGAAATATGACGTCCCCGGCACCCTACATCCCGACGACGGCTCTGTCCGTAACGAATACGCCTCTCCAAACGCAAACAGCGCAAAGTACTTGCACTGGTTAACAGTACACCCGAAATCCCCTGTTTGATAGATGTCCTCCAGCTTCTCCAGCGTCGACTTGCGCAGCACCAGATGATAGATATGTCCAATCTGATGCAGCGCAATCTTCACCAGCAGTCGAGCTTGTTGTCGACTAGGCCATTGTACGTTGACTTCATTCGCCGCCGCGATGTTGGCTTCCTTGACATACTGCGTTCGCGGGATATGCGCAGTCGCATTGCTACCAGTCAAGAAGCGGCGGAAACGAGTCGCGAATGCCGTGCAGGCTGCCTCGCCGATGAAGATTGGTGGTGCAGATGGGTCGTATGGATGGAACCAGGCGCGGTCTCCAATTAGAGGGTTTTGTGCGCTGCTGCTTGTGTTGGGCTCGTTTGACTCTTCTGTTGTGTCTGTTGCTGTTGTTGCCGTTGCGGGTGGCCGGGGTAGTTCGGTGGTGTTGACCGAAGTCCCCGAACGCTCTTTTAGGCGTTGGTTTTCTGATAGGATGTATCCCAGGTAGCTTACATAGCATTGAGCATTGATACATTCATAATTAAATGCAAGGCATGACTCACCTCTCACTAACTTTCACCTGACGATCTCGAGGCTCGTAGTGGCATTCCTCGCCACGACCAACCAGCACGCATTTACTACACGGCTCGCCTCCGGAACATTTGATCTTGTGCCCATGACATCGTCGACATCTGATAGACACGCAGATCTGATGATCAGTTTCGAGAACAATCAGCCCTATGGGGACTAGGGATGAATCACGCACGCTGTGAACTTCCTGCGTTGGCGTTTCGATGGCTCGGAGGTTTCTTCGGTGTCCCTGCTGCGACGGCCGAGGTTTGGGGTCATTGTAGGGGTATTATAATGTGAGAGGGCTAAGAATGGCTAGTTTAATTATGCAATCTGTTGTGTGCTGAGTAGAGGTGATGGCGTGGGAAGGCTGGATGTTCGGAGGCAATCGGTCTCGTTCGGCATTGGCGTCGGTGTTCGGGTTCATCTGCCGAGCGGGCTTCGTATATGATGATTCTGCAACATTTTACATGTAGAAGGTTTCGATAAGTAAGAGATTGGTAGGATATGTTGGCTGACGATAGATTAGAAAAGGCAGTAAGACAAATGAGCGATATAAGCAAAATATAGCGTGCAAAAATGCCTTTCAAGCAAATACATGTCACGTGACTGTTCGCGACAAAGTACAAGAGCTCATGCTTGCCTGGAAGATTGTCACGGTCTGATGAGGGGATCAATTAACTTTGCTCTAATTCGATACTTATCTGAACTGCGGTGGTCCAAGCTCTATTGTAGGTTTGTCGCTCTACCAGAGCGAATGGTTACATTGATACAACACAGGATATATATTTGGATTGTTACTTAAAATGGACATGTAGACACGAAATGTATCCCAACTCGTATTGGCGTATGCGAAGAATCTGATTAGTTAGCTGAACGGTCTAAATGTGAGCAATGCAGACGCTTGTCTGGCATATGTTTAGAATAAGCGAGTGCCTTTCGCTTATCGCTTATCGAGTCAGTAAGACATAGAAATGCCAAAGATTCATGTCGACTTTGATGCCTATAGCTGGACAATACACGTAACTTAGCTAGACGACTCTGGCATGCGAGAACTCGGCCTGTGATCACTGTAAAAGTAGGCCGGTCTTCACCTTAAGAGGAAGTAGAAGTAGAAGCAGGAGCAGCAGCAGGAGCAGCAGCAGTAAAGCTCTATCAGTTCAATAGTCTTCCGAAGGTATGATATTCAATTATTTGTCTCCGGGGAGGCTAGGTTGACAACGCCGTTAGTGGCTAAAACATATCAGTCGTGAACAGCAGACGAATCGTATTCTCTGACATGTACCCGTATAGAATCGATATGCTGATACTTCTGAGCCATAAAGTTAGCAAATAGGAGGATAGGGACCCGATAACCTATGGAGAACCACGCGATGACGGTCGGTCAGTAGTGGTTGTGCTCTCGTCGTGCTTCGCTAACTGGTCGCTTAAGAGGCGGCTTGCTGCCTCTGCATGGCCGTGAGTGCTCAGTGTCGTATTCTGCTCGGGCATTGATACTAGAACATAAAAAACTGGGGTGTTTTATACTGTTCTGTGAATGTGGCGGTTCTGCCCTTTTTGCCCACCTCAGGTGACGGGGCAGAGCCGCCATCTTTTCCTCCGCTCGCCTCGCCTTGTTTTTGTTTCCTCTTCTCTATCAGGGCAACGTCGCTTCCTCCCATATTTTCCATCTTTTTCGTTCGTTATGATGCTATCAACATCCTCACTGTCGAATTGTCAATGGCAAGAGTCGAGCAATGATGCTCTGATACCCTCGAGGCTTCTATCAGGCGCCATTTGACGCCCCAGAGCGCCCGGTGCTTTTCACACAACGCCCTAGCAAGGTCCAGTTCCACGCCCGCCAACCATTATAAGCAAGGGAAAAGATTTTTATCCTCCGGGTATGATGGCCAGAAGGACCTAAACCCAGCATCATTTCGCAAAAAAGTACAACGTGCTTTACGTTCGGTCGATATCGTATAGGAGATCGATTCGAAATGTGGCGAAAAGAAGACGGAACGGAAATCGCGAGCGAAGGAAAAATAAATAAAAAAATAAATAAAAAGAAAAAGAAAAAGCAAAGAAAAGACTCCGGGCAAATCAACAATAATAAGGGCAAGCTGGCAAGCGAAGAACCGTGGAGGAGAATCTCAGCCTTACATAATTCCACCCCGAGACGATCCGGAACATTTTTCTTACCCCATGGGCACATCGTTTGCTGATGACGACTGTCAGTTAGCGATAGTGTGTTTCCATCCTGTGATGTCACTCGGCGGTCTTCCGACAGACAATACAAAACCTCCCAGAAACCTTCGACAACTGAAGAATTCTTGCCTCTCGACCTCAGGAATATGGTTTGTGAGGGGTACATTGCGTTCTTCGTCACGTTTCTCGTCACGGTCTCGTATAATCGGTAACGTTGGTTTTCGTCTGGTGCGTCATCGGTATCCTAGCATTTGCCACTCGTCTCGCCACTCGCAAATCGTCAGGAACTGCATGCCAGTTAACACTGAGAGGCTAGCGGAACCGTGGCTATTTGACCTGTGGTTGAGGGACGGGTTCAGGGACAGCTAAACAAAAGAACATCACGCATGTTGTTTGATGGGCACGGTTTGGGATACCTTCAGGGGTCTGACAGCTTCCTAGGCTCGTCTGCCCATCTCGCTTTCATCAATCACTCCGTAACCTCGTATTATCCCTTTTTCCTTTCGTCTTGCTTACAATTTTCCTAGGAAATTTGTACTGCATGCTACTGGTCAACCACGGTCAATTTGCAAGCTTCTGCAAGCTCACTCGGACCGCGCTGAACGTGGTGTGAAACCGTGCGTCTCTGGATAATGGCCGTAACGCGTACTAGCAAAGAGCCCTCGAAAAAGCAAGCCCGTCCAGTGACCATGGTATTTGAGTTGTGCCGCATATTATTGCGGTGGGCGCTGGGAACTGTGCATCACACTCACGTCCCGACAGTCATACAAGCTGAAAGCCTGTATCCGGATCATAGGCTGGCTTCATTCCTGCTAAAGTGCTGAAAGGGGCTAACCACCTCGATCCGGCATGGATTCTTCTTGTATTCCGGAATGCCCCCTGTGTTGTAGGATGGTGGAGTACGTGCGGTCAAGGATTTTCGGCGCTTGGGGGCTAACGGCAAAAATAGGAGAATTCGAAGTGCTTGAATCATTTTCGAGGATGTTGTCTCTCGGGCCATCAACGACAGGAATGGAGGAAACTGGAGTGTTGTTCAGTGAAGCAGAGTTTTCGTTCTTCGATCTACCTACAATCAACCTCGGTGGGTATGGTGTCAGTATGTTGTAATGAGTTGTTTACAGAAACCTGTCAACAATCCTTGCTGCAACTCAATGGATTTTCCTATGGTCCTTGCACTCGCCATTACCAACGGGAATCCAGGATATTTTCAGCATGCGCTCGTCTGCTTCCGAACGATTGTCTGGATTTGGGTGACAAGCAAGAAAGGGGGAGAGTAGGACCCTCAATTGGCAGGATAACGTCCAGCACCGCAACGGACGTGGCATTCCAACCCGGATAAAAACTCGGAAAAAGAAAATTATCTTCTCGACCTTTGAATGGGTTCATTCTGACGTATCAGCCAAATCAACAGAGATAGTCCCTTCCCGGCTCCACAACGTCTAGAAAAACATGTGGCCACATGCAGATACAGACGAACCACGGTATGCCTGTCGAAGAAAAATAGAAAGCCATAGGCGATTTCCACGGGCCGTCAATACTAAACCAGGGTTCCATTTAATTTCTTGCAATAACTAATAACCGCCGAACTGAAACGAGAAAAGGTTGCACCACCACACGAAAGAAAGGACAACAGGAGGCTCACAACCACAATGCCAGGATTCCGGAATGGCAGTATAAAAGGGCTTAATATTTTTTATGCTACCGACAGGGCAGGAAGGGGATTCTTATGTCCGATCATTTAGAATGTACTATTATGGGCAGAATCGGAAGCGAGCCGGCACCCGCCCGTTGGTGGCGAGGAGCGCGGCAATCACCTCCAGCCTACCACGATGCACCATTCTACAGCTTGGACTTTGGAGCCTTTCGGATCCTGTTCAGTACACAAAACATGGAGGATTGAGGGACCGAAAAGGGCAAAAATAAGGGAACAAAAAAATGCCAAAAATTTCCTCGTGATATCGGACGCCTTGCCCTTTGTCTATGTTGGCCAGCTGTACACTTTATTTTTATTTTTATTTTTATTTCTTTTCTTTTCTTTTTCCTTTTCTCGTATCTGCTCCACAGGCAAAACCTCGTCCACGCTGAATGACGAGTAAAGGAGGCCGTTCAAGGTTTACCTTTTAGCCCAAAATGACTGACCCGAGCCGCCCGCCCCCTTTTTCCTATCCTTCTCATTCTTCTTCTGATACGCGAGAGACAGACCCTACAGGTGACTGGACAATATCCCAGTTCTCGCAAACGCTCGTTGGGTTTCCAGTCAGCTTTGGAGCGATTTCTGGCTCGACTGAGAACCCCGCAGGTGCGTTTCGCACCACCACGCCATCTACGACAGGTGAACGGTCTATCAATGCCAAGGTTCCAATTCCCAGGACGACGACCTCCATCAACTGGACTAGCAGTGGACGGGTCAGTCGGGCGTGCGAGAACTGCCGGGAGCAGAAAGCCAAATGTAGCGGACATCGCCCAACTTGTCAACGATGCCAGGAGGCTGGCGTCCGTTGCTCTTATGGTGACCGGAAACGAGAGAAGATGGCCAAGTATGTTTTAAAAAAGAAGTTATAAAGAGTGACGAGAGTTCATTTCTAACGGTGGGTTACTAGGCAGCTGAATGATCTGACAACCGAAGTTCAGGCTTACGATGAATTATTACGTGACATCCATCCCGAGTTGGATACCATCTTAGCACAGAGGGTTGAGCAGGTTCTGAATGAAGTAAGTCATTCCTTTGTCCCGGATGCCTGTAGTGAGAAAGTTGACATGATAATAGTTCTCCAGCCCTCAGACGTCAACGCCTCCATCTGCGCCCGGAACAATATCTGGTCCTGTCGGCACTGCCGCAGTTTCCTCTCTAGGGGCGATAGATTATATCGATGAAGACTACAACCGTGACGAAAAAGTACAGGCCTTGGGCTTTGTCGGGGAGCACTCCGAGATTGCCTGGCTGTACAGATTGAAACGGAATCTTGACAAAGATAACCTTGCAGCTGCAACTCCAGACTCCGTTTCACCGAAAGATTCCTGGGATCGCCATTCAGTCGCCTCTGTGAATTTCTTCTTGGACGACTCGCAGATTCTCGTCATAGACGGCGTGGATTTAATGCAGAGACCCCCTCAAGCGGTTGCTGACAAGCTCGTGGATCGTTATTTTCAAATCATTCACCCGAGTTTCCCAATAATCGGCAAAGTGACGTTCTGGGGACAATACGAATCGTTCTATTCCAGCCCGTTTATTCGGCCCGGTAAAAGGTGGATGGCCATACTGAATCTGATTTTCGCCCTTGCTGTGAGATATTCAGAGCTGGCCCACGAAAGCGTCGATGACACTATACACGAAGACCATGTGGTTTATTTCTCGCGAGCGTGGAAGCTTAGCATGGGCGACGTAGCTTTGCTGGATCACCCGAACCTACAACAAGTGCAAGTCGAAGGACTGACCTCATTTTATCTCCTGTCCATGGGACAAATTAATCGGTATGTCATCTGCTTTCTATCTAATCTAGTGAGGCGTCTTGGCTGGAGCATCAGTTCTGATTTACATCCTTTTCTTTCTTTGCCATCTATTAGGTCCTGGAGAATTTGTGGCATTTCCATCCGTTCCGCTGTTACCATGGGATTGAATCTTCGAAACGAGAGCAATAGTATCGGTCATATTTCCAAGGAAACGCGGTATCGAGTATGGTGGTCGTTATATACTCTGGATGCTTCTCTCTGTGCAATGACTGGCCGGCCTCCCAGCAGCAATGTCGAATTTTGCACAACTCCTCTTCCAGTCCCGTTTATGGAGGAACAATTTCGGGATGAGACCATCGCACAGATAATCACAGACCAGGAGGCTCGGAATGTGTTCATGGGGATGTTTTCTACAAATCGTTGGGGGAGATCTCAAACAGAGAGCAGCGTCACTCCCGAGCAGCCAGGGAATCTGACGCCAAACAGGAATAAACAATGTGAGCAACTTGCGTTCAGTTCCATGGAGACCCTCACACCGAACATTTCGCTATACTTTCTCTATTTCGTTGAGTTAGGATTGACCATGCGGGAGTCTGTTGACACATTGTACGCTCCAGGAGCTGCTCGCAAGTCATGGCGCGAAGTTGAGGCAGCGATTTCTGCTTTGAACAGCAAGGCTGACGCCTGGCTTTCCAAGCTACCAGAAACATTCCGGTTCACAGGGCCACAGGGGGATGTAGCTTTCGAGAGACAAATCTCAAGCCTCGCTTTCCGCTACTACAGTACCAAACTGATCATTACGCAACCTTGCCTCCGCCATGCTGCCCGTCAAGGTGGCACTCCGTCACCCGGGAATTTCTGTGATACGATGACCGATCAATGCGTCGATATTGCTACTCAAATGCTCGCCTTACTCCCAGAGCCACCGGATTCGTCGTGGCTTTACCACATCGCGCCCTGGTGGTGCGTTCTGCATTATCTGATGCAAGCAATGACGGTGCTATTAACAGAGCTATTTCTTCGGGCGAGACCGGGCACGCTACAATACCGAAAGGTGCAAGAGAGCGTCGACAAAGGGAATCGGTGGTTATCCGACATGTCCGGGAGGGACGCTTGTTCCCAGCGCGCGTGGCTTGTGTGCAACGACATCTTGTCCCGCTACAGCCCCGAACTCGCCTTTCAGGCTGATATCGCCATGAAGAATTAAACACTCTTGTGTTCAGATCCGTCTGCGCCGGTTGGTCTTTATCACCCACAGGACCATTCCGAATCCATACGATAACCGCCTGGAAAACTCCGAACGCCATTTCCTACTTATACCCTCGTCAAAAAGCGTCTCCGTCGATTTTCTTCGGCGCTATACTATGTGAACAGCTTGGGGGGGCTTCGCCGTGGATGGTGTTCGTACTCCCGCCGAATTCCGCAGTGATGAGACTACAATTGAATGTCATCCAATGTACACGTATTTGGGACATTCTAGAGCACTATTATTTCCGTGGCCTGTCTTGATCTACCAACTACTCGATATCAAATGTGTTTCGAACCTCTATTCCGCCTTGGTGTTTCTGTTATCAGTAGGCTACCTACTACTTCACCAATTAGCTTGGCGATGTATCCGACCGGAACCGTTTATGGGAGACCTCATTCCCCTAGTGATTATTACTACATACAACGAACCAATTCAAAACCTGCCTTCGACACGCGCCGTGTTTCAAGCCATGCCCGAAAAGAATATAAAGTCATAGACAGTCGTGTCCACTGAGGGGAAACTGGAATGCATTGTACCATACAACCAGTCAATCAGCACACCGACACAAACAGTTGTCAGGGACATATGGCGTCAAGGGAGGAGGGATGCGTTCCCAATGCAAAAGTGGGCTCATACGACATGCATGGCGCCCAAAATAACTAGATATTGGGCATTGACCGTTCTGGGAAAAACGACTGGTTCACCTTTTCGGAATATGCTCCACCTAATCCTGCCTATGATTGGCAGGAAGTTAGATCCGCGACAGCGGAAAACTCCTTGTTAGGCCGATAGTCTATTCGATTAACTACTGCGAGAATTTGAGTCAGCGCTTCGGCGGATCGGCCATGAACTAATGGAAAGGTTCCTTGTGGTTATTGGTAAATGAGAGTACACGGAACTATTTTCCAGGTGAGGGGGTTTTGTTTTTGTTAATACGGGCTTCCAGAAAAAGATAACCGCAAAAGCAATATGATTTGCCATGATTTCCGGATTATGGAATCACCGATACAAAGGTCCCCCGATCACCAAATTAGGGCTTAATAAAAGAAATTATCGTGGGTAACTCATCCGCACAGAATATTCGTCCCGATACACATTTTCGGAGACTAGGTTATGACTACCTTCTCAATATGGCAGGAGCACATAACCTGAGATTAGGGCGCAGATTAACATTTTGATATGCCCGAGCTACTCCGTATGACGACAGCACTGTCTATCCTCGGTACTAATGACTGCGTACTTGCGTATAACCTAAAGTACTCGTACTTGTAGACTAGTTATGTACTCCATTATCCATCTCGGGAACCATGCCTATTCTGCCGTTGGATCGTTCGTGCTCGGGGTTCTATCGGCAACTACTCGCCTTGTCCCCCGATAAGGAAATGGGGTAATGGAGGGTCATGTGGGTATCGCGTGGTAAGATTCCAGAAACCCGAAAATTAAGGTAGTTAAATCAACGACAAGCCGTTCTTCTTATCGCTCTGTACCCTGGTTTCGATTATTTAAATTGCCTCGGTCATCTCTGGTTCTCTGATTCAGGTCGGAGCGTGCCTACGGAGCTCTGGACGTACGGAGTAGTGCCAGGCGACAGCCCCGAAAAGCATACGCGGCTTACCATGTTCGTGGTGTGCTTCGGGATCTGGATCAGATTCGGGCGATTTCAAATCCCGGGAGCGCTAAATCCGACAAAAACCGGAGATTGTCTCCGTTCTCACACCTTCATGTCCCATGTTCATGCCTGAGGCAGTAATCACGTGGTGGCTTACATGACTCACGTGAATGGAACTGACTGTTAGTACCCATCGGGTCACGTGCCTGACCGCCCTCGCTTTCTGCCCGGTAGTTTATATAGTTAGCTCAGCCGATAGGCCATAAACCAATCAACCATTCACCACACACCAAAACTGACCGCAAACAGACCGCCTTCCCTTCCCAGCAGAACGTGGGATCCACGCCGGGGAACGAGGCCGATAACCAACGTCTATCTAACCCCGGTATCTCACTCGTCACTAACCACCACTGATAATTTCAATTGCAATGCACCACTAAGGAAGAAACGGAGGAAGAATGTCTCTCCGCGGCCCCATGAAGCGCTCGCACCTGAGGCAGGTCAGCGCGGCCAGTCTAGAGACTCTGTCCAGCTCCCGATCTGTGGAGTCTCCGCGGCATGGCAGTACCCACGATTTCCATTCGCCAGCGGAAGAGAAGTTCATCCCATTGGGCTCGATTCCCCTGGACAGACGCCAGTGCACGCTGTGGGTTCATGATGAGACGTTTTCCAGGGAGGAGATCTTGTTCAACCAGACTGCGTTTAGTGGCACTGGTGTCAAGACGGGGGATATCATTGAGATCCTGCCTGCGCGGTCGTCAACTAGTGAGGGGGCGCTTCCGGATTTGGGGTCTAGGTCCCTGCGTGATGGACATGTTGATTCGAGCTCGACGCTGCATTCGGATATGACGTCTAGGTCTAAGTTCAAGACGCCGTTGCAGAATCGTTGTCTGTTTGTGGTTAAGCCGCTGCCGCAGGAGATTAAGGCGAGGAATCCTAAGCTGGAGATTTCGATTACTAGTAGTATCGCCAATATCTTTGGGTTGAAGAATCGGAGTCAGGTGCTTGTTTCTGTTGTCGATCGTGGGCAGTGCTCTGCGTCTCATGTGGATGTTTCGTTTCGGGACCAGTTTATGGTTCGTTCTGATATGTGGAGGTTGGTTATGTCGGAGTTGGCGGGGAAAGTGATCTTCAAGGGTCAGAAGATTTCGTTCATGGGAAGTATCAAGGCGACGGTTAAGAATATCTTCATTCGGGGGAAAAAGGTGCTTTCCGGTTACTTTTCGCCGCATACTATTCCGGTGTTCCGCAGTGAGGCTGCCAAGTATGTGTTATTTATCCAAATGTCCAGAGAGATGTGGGATTTCGATTCCGAAGGGACCGGGGACATCCTCTTCAGCAGAGTCATCGACGGCTTTCTCCCAGAGCTTTTCAAGCGGTGGGCTAGCTCTGACGCAAGACATCTTGTGACAATCGTGCTGTTTACGCGTGTGGAATACGATGTATCAGCTGGTGGAGGTGTTTTCTCGACGCTCAGCTCTGAGAACTTTAGAAGCGTTTCCGGTCCGAATAATGTCCCGACCCGAGATTTCTATCGAGTAGTAGTAAACGACATGTCAAGCGGCCATTGGACTACTATCTTGGACGAGTTGAAACGGGACTTCAGAACATTCCTTAAGGACGTTTCAATACTCAAGGCAGACGATACAGAAACCCCGACAAGGGACGACGGAAAGGGGCCACCAAAGGCACCAACAGCAACCGTTGCAGGACGACCAAGCACTGCTCTTCGTGGGAATATCCTGGAAGCAATCCATCTTGCCTCGGCACATCTGGCATACGATCATATCGACCGTGACTTGGTTCATACGGGAACGTCGATTATTGTCATCACGCCCGGAAGTGGTGTCTTTGAAGTTTCCTACGAGTCTCTGGCTTCTACTACCGAGGCTCTGACAAATCGTGGTATTGCTATTGACTTGGTCTGCCTTAGCCCAATGCCGCTCCACTCAGTACCTTTGTTCAAATACAAGGATCCAGCACCAAGACCCCAGAGTTCCGCGCTGGGCGATATCAATGAGGGTGGCTACTCGCCTGAAAGACGCGAGTCATACGTGAACTTTGCCAACCGCACACCCAATATCTCTCCCAGATCGACCTTCCCAGGCTCCCTCTCGGCATTGAATGCTAGAACTCAGGCCTCGCCTAACTCCGAATGGAGCTATGGTATCCCGCATTGGCTTGATATCTCCTATTGGAATCCTGATACCTACAGGGAATCGCGGCGGATTCTGAAGAACGACCCTAATGCGCCAATACCATACACTGTCACTAAGCGGTCCAAGGTCTTTGTCCCGCGAGTGCGGATGTACGAGATCCAAATGATGGGCGTCATGGAAAGTGAGCAGTCGAATATTTCCATTCCATATCTACTTGAGGGCCAGGGTGTCTCTAGGGCACAAGTTCCTGGGTTTGGTTCAGGCCCCGCTAGCTTAACTGCCCCCGGCAGGTCTAGACATCAGCTAAGTGACAGCCTTCGGCCGGAACCGTATCTTCAGAAAATGGCGAATCCAAAAGGCCCGACGCCCGGTGGATCGAAAAGGAGGACGCAGAAGTCGGTGCTTTCATGGATGGACCAGTATGACGATAACATCTTCCAAGCGTTCCCGAAACCTCAGCGAAAGCATACCAGGCCAAGGAAGAGATTCAGTGAGCCCGAGGTCCAAGCATCCGGCCTTCATGAAAGGCTCTCTGCAAGATCTATAACGCGGTTAAGAGAGCATGAGATACAATCCGAGCGTAACCATTCTCCACACTCGCTCCCACGGAAGATTGAACCAACGGGACTCGCGTCACCTGTTAGCCCTGTATCGACTAAGAACGTTTCTCCTCCTAAGAAGCCATCCTTGAAGCCTCCGTCCACGACTAGGACGTCGAAAATATCGCGTACGATTAGCTTTGCTCTGCGGGGTTTGGGCGCCACCCCACCAAGGGCTCAGGCTAGTACAGAAGTTAATGTTGAGCATGCCAAAGCTCTGCCCATGTTCAACCAAAAGCCACCCGTGGCAAAGTCTGCAGATTCTCGGAGCTCGTCAGATGCAGCGTCGGTATCGACATCAGCATCGACAGCCACTGCCGAAGCGCAGCCTCCTGCACCCCAGAAACCTGCGCAAAACACAGCTATTATACCATCGAGGCCAATATCCATCAAAGTGCCTCCGAAGAAACCGTCCGGAGACGGCGAGCAAGGAGACCGCTCGGAATCATTATCGTCCACGGTTACTGAGATTCCCTTACATGATGCCCGTCACGAGCGACAAGTGAGGAAGTTAGGACCAAGATTCGATTTTACAGTTAGTGGTATGCGTGACTACCCCGCCAAGAGCCCGCCTGGTAAGGCACTGGCTCACTGGGTGCGGTCAATCAACCCTTGCAATACGCCAAGGGAGGTGCTGCGTGACACTACTTGGTTTGGACGCTGGCAGCATGCGTATCCAAGACCTCCGCATGTTGCTGTGGTCAAGTGGAAGAGTTTAAAATCTCCCGCCATTTTGCCTTTGACGACGGAGGAGTTTCCAACGCTTAATGAGCTTAGTTCCGATTACCTGCAGACACCGTATCGTGTCTTCCCCAATGATGACGCGGAGGGTTTCGAAGCACCCAAGACTCGGGGAATCCTCATGCGGGAATTAATTTCATTACGTCTTTCTCATGGCTTCCAGATTGTTGTTGGGAAAGATGTTGCTGAAGCGTCTGGGCAGTATGCGCTGGAATCGCTGAACGTTTTCGATACCGGCAATTTGGAACGGGATGGCACTTATATTTTCCTCTCGAAAGGGAACACCATCCACCGTCTTATTTGCGTGGACAGCTTGGAAATAGAAGTGACACGATTCACGCACCAGAACTCTTCAGCCTTGAATCGTTATAGGCAAGGTGGCTGCATTCCTTATTCACCGGCCATACGGACGATTCTGAATTCACAATATGAAGTCAAGAATCTTGAGCTGGACTCGACCGTGGAAGAGTATAACTGGAACTACGCTGACAATTACATTGCGGGACACCGGGACTATCTGTTTAATCCAGCTCAGCAGCTCCATTTCTGGAGGGTTCGTTATGTGTTGATTCCGATGCGCTTGCAGGTTACTTCTCGGCGCCATTTGCAATCCTTCAACGAGGACAATGAAGAAGAAATCCATCTGCTTGGCATCAGCCAGTTGACGCATATCTGGCAGCGACATAAATACGTCCCACCGGAGAATCGATTCGAGAGCTCCAACAAGAAACATGTCCAGAATCCCCTCAACATCATGTACCAAACGGCGAACCCATCGGAAGTGGTCGCGGCAGAATTGGACCGGATTATACTTACCGATCCCGGCCACGATAACCCCCCAGCGCAGTTACTGCCGGAATTGCTTGAACGCTCAAACATCACTCTCTCGTCGTTGGCGCAGATCATCCAGGAAGAAAAGGGCGTGCGCATGATGGACCGACGATGGCACTGGCGATTGCACTACAACTGTTTTATTGGCTTCGAATTAACGACATGGCTCTTCCAGAATTTCGATGATATTCATAGCCGTGAGGAAGCAGTGGGCTTTGGCAATGAGTTGATGCAGGCTGGTCTCTTCCAGCATGTGGAGAAGAGACATAATTTCCGGGATGGGAACTACTTCTACCAGATCTCTAGTGAGTATCGTGTCTCGCGGCCTGAGTCGAGGGGTAGCTGGTTCCCGCAGATACGGCCAGATAAGTCCGTTCCAACGACACCAGCCACGGAGCAATTCAAGGACTCGCCTGCAAGCACGAATACCCATTCCCGGACCGGCAGTCTCGAGGAAAGCACAAACTCAAGTCAACCCCCGAACACACCGTCAAAGTCGAAGAACAAGGCCGCGATCGTGTTGTCAAAGACAATGAAATACGACGTCGATCCCAGGAAACGCTCAAACCGAACAGAAGTCATCGACTTGCACTACGACCGCCTCCACAACCCCGAGAACTGTTTCCACATCGAGCTCACCTGGATGAACACGACGCCCAAACTCATTGAAGACACGGTCATGTCTTGGGCCACAACGGCCGACAAATTTGGCCTCAAACTAGTCCAAGTCCCCACCGGCGAAGCCAGCGCAATCTCAGAAACACAACCCTTCCGCAAACCCTACCGCATCCGCCTTAAACTCCCACCACCACCAAAAGCACCAGCCCCAACAATCTTCAGCCAAAACAACAATAACGCCGCCTCTTTCACGCAATCCTCAGACACCGCCTCTACAACAACCACAAACGACCACCTCTACTTCCAAAAAGCCCTCCTCCGCAAATTCGACTTCGTCCTCGACTTCGAACCCCGCTCCGCCTTCCCCCAGGACGTCGAGGTCTCCTATTCCTGGGGAACACCAGACTACCAGTACCCGCAATACATCCACCGCTCAGGAAGCATCCTTGCCCAAGTCACCGACGAAGGCGACTTCCTCCTCCTCGCCAACCGCCTCGTCAGCACCCGCAGCCCCGTCTCTACAACCTCCCGCTCCGCTGAACGCCGCAACGCAGCAGCACCCGAACACCCCGTCGACCGCGTCTCCCCTCGCCTATCACCCTTAATCCGCCCAATCCACGACTCCCCCATGTCCCCGCAACTCTCAATGCACCCGCATCCCCCTCCCCATCTCCACCTCCACCCCCACAACCAACACCAACAACACCAACACCAACCCACAAACCCCCCCATAATCGACACGGCCAACCTCTACCGCGCCCCCGAACACATCCTCTCCAGCCTCGCTGACTTCTGCGCCGACGCCCAGAAACTAGAATCCTTCTACACAGAATCCATGCACATAACCACGCGCCCCGCATCAACAAGCGCGGGCCCAGCAGCGCTAAACATGTCCTCGTCATCGCTTATGGATGCGTCGATTCCGTCGCTCGAGTTGCCGGCTAGTGTTGTTAGTCATCATATTGCGGCTTCGCATTCGGGGGGGTTGAATCCGCCGGGGCCGGTTAGGGTTGCGTCGGATGGGATTGTTTCGACTGTTGGTGGTGGTGGTGGTACGAGACCGAGGAGGGATAGTAAAAGCTACAAGGGAAGCCCGAAGAGTGGGGGGTTGAGGCCTTTGCGGTTGAGTTGATGCATGTGTACTCTACGCTCTTGTATTATGATACCCTCCTTCTCTTTCGTTGAAAATATTTCTGTTCCCGATGTGTATGAGTGATGATATGTATGAATTGAATACAATTCGCTTGATGGTATTTCAATCTGAAAGCATTATGATTACTGATTACTCGAATATTATAAGAAAAATAAAAAGAGCAAGCAACTTGCAATTATAACACTGAAACCAGTATCATATCCTAAATCATAAACAGCAACAAATCATGTATCATGCATGCATTGATGCAAAACAAGATATCGAAGTAAGACATGGGTATCATAAATGATGTTGAATGGTGTGAAAGGGGTAAAAGAGGATTAACCAACAGAAAGACAAGGGGATTAAGCAACAGAAAAAAAGGAAAATGGGATATCTTTGTCAGTGGCCTGGCAGAGATACCGGTATCCAGAATAATATCAACAAGAATCGAAGGTGAAAAGGGTATCAAAGGAGAAAAGAAAAAAGGGTGAAACGAAGCAAATGGGGCAAAAGGAAATAAAGGAAAGAAAATCACCAAGCCTCCTCAACATCAAGTAACCATCGACGAACTCCCTCCCTAAGGGTATTGTCCACACCAGCCAACGACCGCTTCCGCTCGCGATCCGCCAGACCAAGCTCACCATCCACATCGTCACGGCAATGCTCAGCGGTCACGCTGCGGACGACTTCTTCAAGAGCACCAAGCACCGTCTTGCGACACTCCGCACGTGGGACCTCAACCGAAGGGGTCTCATCTTTGATAGGTTCCGAAGGTCGTCTGGAGTCACCTTTGCGGGCTCGAGGGGGGGACGAAGCACGCGAATGAGCGAGAGAAGATTGACCACTCTGTGACAAGACACGTTCAAGAGCATCAATCAATGTGCCATCAAGGTCCATGACCGGTTCCTCGACGAACTTCTCTTCTGCTTCAGGAATACCAAAACCATCCATCGAAGTTCGGCTAGGATCAGTGAAGAAACTAGTGTTTGTAGAACCAGGTGTGAGAGGACCAAACACTTGACTTGGACGACGAGTAGAAGGCGATATCGATTCATTGTCCAATGGAGCCTTTCGTCTCAGACGTAGCCGCTTGACAGTAAAGGTTCTAACATCGGCAACCAAAGTAGTGGCCACGTCGACCCATCGATCCGATCCATCCAAGTCCGGAGAAAACGAGCCGCTTGGAGTAGGTTCCGCTTGCATGGCACGCTTGATATCGGCCTCCAGACTGTTATATGGCCGCACAGCTTGTAACATGAAATCCTCATGAAAGTTCTTCATCCAGCCAGCAACATTGATATTGGGACCATCGTGTTCTTTGGGGGCACAAGCGAATCCAGAGCCACTGCTATGGGTAGATGCCACGGCATCAACACTGGTAACAGATGTCCGCGTTTTCTTAGGCGACGCCACGGTAGAATCCCCGGAGGAAGAAAGGGAAATGAATCCAGGGAGTGGGAGGTCAACGTCGACAATACCATCATCTCCTCGTACGGACAGCTTCAAAGGAGATTCTTTTACTTGGTCTGTCGTCGACGACAAGTCCTGCTGCTCATCCCCAAAGTCATGATGAGCCGATGGATGTGGAATAGGCATGTTGCCTACTGTCTTTGGAGATGCTTCCGGCAAGGTGCCAGACACCTCTTCCACCATTTGGCTGAGGGTTGGAGGGCCACGCCTTGGAAGGCCGGTGTATGCAGTAGAGGTAGAATGTCTGCGAGCGTCAAAAGTAGGAATGGCGTCACTGCCATCAACGGTCGATGAGTCCTGCCGCGATGACCACAGACCCGAGAAAAGGCTGCCCCATCGGCCACCAGTGGATGGAAGACTGCTGTTGGCGCTGCTAATAGTGGAACTTTCACTTCGCTGCAGGTTTTTCAGGAGTGTCTCAGAAGCTAGGCTGTCAACTGTAGGTCGCTCTTGTCCCTCCCGTTCAGGACGCTTCTTCTGTGCAGCAAAATGGGGAACCGGAACGGTACTACTTGGTGTCGTTGTCGAGGTCGTGGCCGTACTGGTATTCTTGGCACGGACGTCCTTGGCATGCATTGGGATGCCCAAAGTCCTGATGGAGCGAGTGTCTGAGCCCCTCCGATATTGCTGAAGCTCCGGCGGAGGGCCCAAATCAGTATCATCCGAGCGGTGGGTTGTTTCGTTCGAAGAGGCACTAACGGACCGATGGTGCTGATCATTGTCCCGGTTCAGACGCTGTGCACGGGACCGTCGTTCAATGGCGCGACGAAGAGACTCCTGCCGGAGGACAGGCACGCTTGGCGGACTTTGAGACATAGCACGCATGGACGTGGAGGTACCTGGACGTAAAGGAGATGGTAGCGGCTCGAAGCGGTGCTTGGCCGGGAGGAACGTCGAAAGTAGGAAAATTAGCCGGCGAGCAGTCATCTTGTCCGGAGAGACGATGACTGTCCGGTTTGAAATGATCGGATCGGCATCTTGTTGTGCCTTCTGTTGGAGGTGATGCCGGCGTCGGTACCACTCTGGACCCAACATATTGAGCCACTCTGTGTGGTTGCCCAAGAAGGCCGTGATAAGTACCAAGAAGAAAAAACTATGCTCTTTGTCACCAAGAGTACGGACGATCGAACGACCTTCTTCACGCCAGACGCCCCAACGGCTCTGGCCCGTCACCACATATGGCGTTTGAAGGGCCGTGCTAATCCGGCGGGTACTGCGAACAGCCTCATTTCGGAGTCTCGAGTTCACAGCCAATATGTTTGCTGGGAGTTGAATAATAGTTTGATTCGTTCGTTGCATGTTGGGCGGTTTGACAGGCTTCGGGTGTACACCTGAGACGGAATCCACCTTTTTCAAGAGGAAAAGAATCTCTTTCTGAGCAAGTCTCTCCATGTGCGATAGCGTGCGAGTGACCACATCCCAGTGGTCAACTAGCAAGTCGATACGCTCATCAAGACTGGCCGGTGGGGACGCAGCTGACAGACTATCCTCAAGGAACGAGTTGCGCCAGCGGTAGTCCGAATCAAGCGAGCAAGACATTCCCATCCGAGGAGAGTCAACCCCCTGCGAGCTGAACCGTGACACCGGGCGCCCAGCATTGCGACTGATCAATGGAATTTGGATGGTGATGGCCACAGCATACATCGGAGTCTTTTTCTCTTTGATCTTCTTGCGCTTGGTGATGTCGGGGAAAGGGAAGCCAGCATCGGGAAAAGACTCCTGATACATCGAGGCAGCAAAATCACTCTGGTCCGACGACGGTTCCCCCCCACCCTCCGGTAGGTTGACACTGAACATGCGAGTCAAGAGGACCGTCACCTTCGCTGGTGGTTTGTCCTCGCCCGGCCGACTGGGTCCGATGAAGCTGGATGAGCTACCCGTGGTAAAGGCCCGGGGCATGCCAGGAGAGGCACTCGGGGTTCTGCCTGGCTCCTCATCGGCAGAAATGATATGCATTTTCGTCGACGAGCCTCGATAGCTAAACGCACTGCTGCCAAAGATACAGTTCAACAGACCGGAATCACTCGAATCCGCTGAACCGCGCGAGTGGCCCGGCTCATGCCATGCTCCAGCCGGTGACAAGGTGGTAGAGCTACGACCTCGAGCCCGCGTAAAGGCACCAGTACTAGCCACAGAGGACCTCCGAGCATTGGCTGCATTCGACAACGCACTCGGTTCTGCCGTAGAGTGGGACGTGTAGACTCTCCGAGAGCCCCGAGAAACACCAGAAACGGCACGACCATGCCTCGATGCAGGATCCTGAGCATCCGGACCTAGGCCAAGAGAAGCCAGATCGGCCGACGGAGCACGGGTATCCAGCAAAACACAAGCATCCCGATCCCCGAGCGCATTTTGGGCAATAATCACCCGAAAGTCTCTCGCAGGGTCCAATTCTATTCCACCACGGTCATCATAAGCACCTGCAGAGGAGGCATTTGGCGAATTGAAGGCTGACTGCAAAGGATAGGCATGTGTGTTGGACCGTCGGAGTAAACTGGCGTCGGGGAATAACAGGCCGGAGGTGTGTTCCTCTTCTGTAACAGACTCCAGCTGAGTAGTGTTTCGCGAAGAATAGGCCGCCGGGCTTAACGTGGAGGCTGCGGTGTTTAACAATCGGCCCAGCATGGTGAGAGGACAAGCAAGGAGGGATGGTAGGACGAGGTTATGTATCTCCGCAGGTGGGAGAGAGAGCGGAAAGGAAAAAGCAAAGCAGACAACAGCCAGACAGACACAGCACTAGGACGAAATTGAACCGGAGTTCCCCATCACTCGATCAATAATCTCGAGGAACGAGCATTCTCAGATTGAGATAGGTGGTGGGGAGGGAGAGGAAGGCGATATAAGGGCCAGCGGAGGAGGGGGACAGTTCGAATGTGGGATTTTCCTAGACTACTGCCAGTAAGACCGTTAGTCATCAGTCATTGAGGGGCAGAAGAGAGAGAGATCAGCTCTGGGGCAGAATTACTTACTGACAAAACAATTGAAGGCACCCAGTAGAAAAGAAAAGAGAGACAGAGGGTGGAGAGGGAAGTGGGTTGGGAAAGAGGAAGACACGCAGAGAAGAAGAGACGTCGAAGTTGGACGGAAAGGGCGGTGAACCAGCCAGATCCGCATGATCTCAGCCTCAGCTCATTCTGGGCTCGGAATCATTCCTGCTGATTTGGCAGTGGATTGGCTTGTTGTCATTGTGCATTTTCTGTCATTGTGTGGTGAATGAATAATGGTGAGTGAGAGGAGTGAAGAGAGGAGGGGGAGGGGTCTCGATGGTTGGGCAGCGCTACAGCTTATTCTGCCGATACTATGTACAGGGATCCGGATCCGGGGTATACAGAGTAGAAACTGGAATCATGGTATACAAATATGCAAATCTATCTATGGTATAGTATCAGCTCTGCGTCTTTCGCTTCACTTTATCCACCAGCTTCTTCAGATCCTCCGACTCTGCCTCCCGCGATGCTCCCTTCTTCTGCTTCTTCTTCCCCGTGCGTTCCTCAGGTTCCTCTGGCTTCTCGTCACGGTCTCTCCGACGCTTACGTCCCTCATCCAACAGCGCCTTCATTCCGGAAGTCGCCTTGAACTTCGGGTTTGTCGGGTCGATCGCGAATTCGTGGCTTTCGAACAGCCGAGAGAACCGTGGGTCACTCACGTCCATGTGGAAATCGTCCGTGACCGCTGCTTCGTCTTGACCCTTGGCCTTGGATTTGCCCTTGCCCTTCCGACGGGCCTGCTTCTCCGCTTTTTCGATCTCGTTCATGTCGAAGTGTTTCACGTCCGACTTCTTGTCGTCCAACATGAGAAGCTCGAGTTCGGCTCGGTGAGCGGCTTCTGCTGCTTCCTTGGCTTCTCGTTCTTCGCGCTTCTTGCGCTTTTCTTCCTTGCGACGAGAAGCAGCTGCTGCCTTGCCATCTGGGTTGTTGAAGAACGGATCATCAAAGCCCAGGTCCTCCTCCTCTTCTTTCTCTTTGCCTTTGTCTGGCTTGTCGGCAGCCTTGCCGCTGTCTTCATCGGCCTCCTCAGCACCATCTTCATCTCCACCCTTGGCAGCCCTGTACTTCTCCTTTCTGCGCTTCTTCCTCTCCCGCTCCTTGCGAACATACTTCTCAATAGTCGTCTCATCATTCTCGGGCTCGTTCTCGAAAATGCTCTCTCGGTTAGGCTCGCCCGCCAGACCTGATGTGAACGTGACCTCCATCTCGCCAACAGGGCGGTCTGACTTGGACGGCCGGGCAGGTTCCGTGCTCAGACCCAGCAAAGCCCGCATGCGTTGTCGCTCGTCCTCCTTCTTGGAGACTTTCTCGGAACTTCCGCCGTTGGTGTCGTCGACAACCTCCACGTCGTCCTCTTCTTCTTCGCTCTCTTCGTCGGAGTTGTCACTGGCCAGGTAAGCCTTGAGGTCGTTCTCGTCGATTTCCTCCCGGCCGCCTTTGAAGGCCCGCGCCTGGGCATCTTTGCGGGACTTGTCTTCCGCGTCCCAGGTCAGCTTGACCTTGCTGTGTTGTAGCGCATCGGTAACGAAGTCGTTGGGCTTATAGCCATCTGGAATCCGCTCGCACTCGTCCCGGGGCTTGTCGTCGGAAAAGTCGGTGTCATCTGGCACAAAGCGCAGGTCGAAGAAGTTGGCGCTGGACAGGTACTCAGCACCATCGACGGAATCGTAGACGTGCTTCGCAACCTCCTTAGTAGAGAAAGTCAAGATAGCATAGAAGTAGCGCAACCGCTCCAACTGATACCGACGTAGCTCAGTAGAGTTAAACTCCTGGCCCTCATCATTCTTCAGCATCGACTGCTTAATCTTCTCCTCTTCCTCATCCGAATCAACATCCTCCTCATCATCATAATCCTCATCGTCCTGCTTCTTCGCAAAAATCTCCCTCGGCGGCCCCTCCGTCTCCTCCCTCTCCATCCTCTCCTTCCCAAATTCACTCGGGAACACAGAAACCTTCAACACCCTTGCCCCAGAAGGAACAAAACTCGAGAAAACAGCCATCAAATCCTTCGCCCGGATATTGTCCCAGTCCAGATTGACAACCGCTATCCGCTTCGACACCTCGCCCATAGGCACACTCCCCTGCTGCTTATCCGGGAAATCTAACTCCTCCGCCAAATCCGCCGCCTCCTCATCCTCTTCATCCTCCTCATCGCTCGAACTCTCCTCTTCCGACGAGGAATCCGAGAATCCACCATCGCGCGCAGGGTCGAAGGAACTATCCAATCTCTTCAATTCCTTCTGCACGTCTTCGTCGCGGGCGACTTCAACGCCGCCTTCCTCGGCGCCTCCTTCTTCTTCGTCATCATCATCATCTTCTTCATCCTCGTCATCGAGTTGATAGAATCGTTCAAGTTGCTTCTTCGTATCATCACGCGCGAGCTTGCGTCCGTAGCGATCGACGGCGGCATTCTTGGAGAAATCCTTGTCGCGCAGCATGTGCGCGAAACGCTTGTCGAGTTTTACATGAGTTTGGCGTTTGCTGGGGAGGCGGTAGCGGGGGTCTGATTGGATGTTTGCGAATCTGGGATCGGCTGGAATCATTCATGGTTAGTATAATTGTACTTGAAAAGGGCAGTGGCTGGGGATAGAAACGTACTGATGAGAGTACCGGCTTGATCTTTCGATCCGCCGCTCTTCTTGGACTTTTTCTTTTCGGTGGGTGGCATTGTGGTGGTTCAATCTATGCTTTAGGATAATCGAATAGAATATCAAAATAAGAAGATCGTATGAAATGTTTCAATGTAAAGCCGTATCGGCTTTTTTGTAGTTGAATCGAGATAATTTTCTTAGCGGGCGGAGCCAAAGAATCTTCCGCGGAATTTGAATGGTCCGTGCATGAGGCGAATGGAGTATGAGATACTACTTTAGACATCATAAAAGTGCAAACATTCAATCAGGTTATATGCGTGGATCTCTCATGTCTGTTATAAATCATATCATCGTCCATCTGTACATTATGCACCAATTTGGTCCCCAAAACTCGCTCTCAACATGCACATGCATTCAAAGCAACGCCCAAAAGCAGCAATTCAATCCAATTCAAGAAAGCAAAGCAATCAACAACCAAAATACCTCTTCTCCATCCATCTCGGCTCCCTCTCCTCTTCAATCCGACCAACAATAACCTTCACCTTCGGATAAACAGCCGTCAACCGCTTCAGCCCATTCTTCCCCGCTGCGCAGGTCACAAACACAATCTTCCGCTCCTCAACACCATGGTCCATCAACACGCGAACCGCCATGAGGGCTGCGCCTCCGCTTGCCATCTGGGGGTCCATAAGCATAACCGTCTCATGGGTTTCAATCTGCGGGGGTAGTTTCAGGTATTGCAGTTCTGGCTCTTCGGTGCCTTCGTGGGTTTGGATGAGCACGCGGCCGGTGATGCAGTCGGGAATTGTGCGCTTAAGGGCGGTTTCGAGGCAGGAGCCGCCGCGGAGGATTGCGACAGCGGACATTGTGCCCGCGGGGTTGAGGCCGTTGTAGCCGGTGCCTTGTGGGGTTTTGACTGCTGTTGAGATGTAGGAGGCGGAGTCGAGTGCTCTGTCATCGGTTAGCATGTCAGGGTTCTTGTTTTCCTGGAAGCGGATAGTACGCACTTCTCTACCAACAAGCATGCAAGTCGATCGAAGTAAAATACAAAATCGACTTGCTCTGTTGCTGGGTTCTGGAGAATCGTGTTCATGCCGATGAATTGCGGTGTCTGGGCCATCATGTGCACATTTTGAGATAGTTCATGTTCCAGGGCGATGAGACCCAGATGCTGTAGACCAGCACTGTGCTTCTGGGATTTCTCGTCGAGCTTCATCCGGATGTGCTTCACAACAAGATCTAAAGAATTAGCATTTCTGAGAACACCTTGAAGGTGCTTAGAAGGCCTTACCAATGGCGGTCTTGTTCTCAATCCCACGGGGAATAATAAGATCTGTTATTCGTCAGATAAGACGAAAAAGCAATCAAGTAACCAAGCAGTGGCTCACCGGAAATCGCTCGTTGCGGTTCCACATGCTTCTTGTACGATGGTTTAACAAAGCCGAACCATTGCTTGATTACGCCGTCGATATCACGGTCTCTCTCTCTGACATCGCGCACAACTAGCTCAGTTAGTGGTGCACTGCATTATGCATGTTCAAACAGGCCACCTACTTCTGCGTCCAAGACAGACATCCATGTCTGCTTCAACGAATATCTAGATGATGTCAGTGATGTTGGGACGATATGCTTGAACGTAACAAAAGCAATATACCTTGACATCAAGGAGATCCACGATCTGTGGATGAAGCGCTAAGATGCCCTCCAAGATCAATACTCGCGGCGAATAGAGCGTGGTGGTCTGAGGTTGGCGTTGGTGCTCTGCAAACGAGTAGATCGGGATATCTGCCTTTTTCCTTTTCATGCCATGTCCCGGTCAGCTTCCATCCGATAGTTTGACAGTTTCGGGAAATATTCTATACCCTTGCTTCAGGTTCTTCAGCGTTTGCACCAATGCATCGAAATCCAAAGCATCCGGACAATCAAAATCGTATTCGTTGCGATGGGCTCTCGCATGGTCATCAGGACTCAAGCTCTTGTAGAACGAATCCTATCGCACAGCGTTAGATGCCAAGATCTTAGCGTTTCTTTTTCTTTATCTTTGAATCGACAATGCTCCGTACCATTACAAGAATCACCACCCATGGCAGATTTAAAGACTTGATGATTTCCATGGCCACAGAGGTCTTGCCCGACCCCGAGCTGCCTGCAATGCCGATGATACTGAGATCGGCCCATGGTGGAATGTAGGTTTTGTTTTGTCTTTCTGTAGCAGACGAGTACACGGGCGGGATTGACTCCATAATGAGAATTCTTCTTCTGTATCGGCTTTCCTCCCTATGATCACAAGAATTAACAGCCGATAAAGCAATGCTTCCCGGGACCTTTAGGCATCGCACGCTGCGGGCGTGATTTTTCAGTCTCTTCTTAGTTGTCACTGATAACACTTATCGACGCTTGTTCCGATGCGGTTTAGCGTGTCCTCGTGACCTTCGCTTGCGGCTGGAGCTAACCGCCGCTAATTTTCTTCGTGCTTTTTTTTCTTCCTTTAAATTCTCTTTCCCTTCCTTCTTCATCTCTTCTCAATCCTCTCCATGGCGTCCGTCTGTGAGGTTTCCCATCTTCACAGACAGCCTTTTCCGTCTTGAAAACGTATCCAAGACTTACAATCCACACACTCTGCCATCTCGGAAAACCATGACTTCTGCTAATTTTGTATGCCTCCCGGCGGGTTGCGCACACATGGTTGCTTGGTTTTAACGGGAAGCAGATGTCCCCAGACACCCCCTCGACAACCACACCACCATGGCATCAGTTCGAGCGGAAGGTCGAGGAGGTCAAGCCATCCAAGACGTGAGTTTTTTTTTTTTTTTTTTTTTTCTCCCTTTTACTATTTTCTTTGCTTCTATATGATGTTTTCTAAATCAAGTTGGGAATCTCTCTGAAAACACTTGAAGAGAACATAAATTGACTTGTCGTTCTGATTTTGCCACTGTTTTCGATACTGTTGTCGTGCTCAATGAGTCTTGAACTGTCGCTAACTTGTTGAAGTGATATCAATTATCTAGTCATGGACTACCTCATCACCAATGGCTACCCTGCTGCTGCGAAGAAATTCGCACTGGAGGCTAATATCCAACCCAAAGCAGATGTGGATTCTATCCAGGAACGGGTAGACATCCGCACTGCGATCCATTCTGGCGATATCCAGTCTGCGATCGAAAATATCAATGAGCTCAATCCTCAGGTACGATTATCCAATATTCTTTTTTCCTACCCCACCCTCCCCCTTTGCTAGGATTATACTAGTTTCATGCACCACTCATAACAGCCTTCCGAGGCTTGATGATAAAAAACATCTTCAGTCCTCAGTATGAACAGCAAACTCAATTATCATGCTTGTCAACGTCACTCATACATTGGTTGATCCTTGTGCTAACTTGACTTGCAAAGATCTTGGATGAGAACCCATCACTGCACTTCGCTTTACTGCGTTTGCAACTGGTAGAATTGATCCGCAAATGCTCCTCCACACCAGACGGAGACATCAGCCCTGCTTTGGAGTTTGCCACTTCTCAGCTCGCACCCCGGGCCCCTACCGACCCTCAATTCCTCGAGGACTTGGAGCGGACACTTTCTCTTCTGATCTTTCCGACGGAGAACTTGGCACCCTCCCTTGCTCCTCTTCTACACCCAGACTTGCGTAAGGATATCGCCACCCGTGTCAACGAGGCCATCCTACAATCCCAGGGTGCTCGTAAAGAGGCCCGTCTGCGGAACCTGGTCAAGCTGCGCGCTTGGGCAGAGCAGAAGGCCCGAGAGGCTAAGAAGAATATTCCCGACAAGTTGGACATCGGACTTGGCGGGAACGGTAACCATGTAAACGCCAGTGGGAATGGCGCCGGCGCCGCTAGCGACACTGTAATGACCAGCAACGGGGATGTCGACCCGATGATCTCTTAATGTTTTTCTTTGATCTGATCTTGCCCTTTTGTTATTGAGCGACTGGCAAGGCGTTTTGGCGCGGATCACTTGGTAATGGCCAAGGGCTTTATTCCGTATTAATAGGAGTTAATTGTGTGCTCCATCAATTGAATTATCATCTTTATTGAACCTTCGAATTTTCTATCTTTCCACTCCGTATCATGATCAAGGGTAAATTTTCTCCATGTGGCTTGTCGAACCAGGATCGAGGACCAACCCTGCTAAATACAACATCCCAGTCAAAACCATAATATGTAGACATTGCATACCATGAACACCTTTATACCATGCATGACGCTTTTAATTCAACTGGCGAAATAGATATACACAATATAGAAGCAGAAGACCTCGGCAATGTAGCAATGCAACGACACCGAAATATATATCCAACAAGCAACAAGCAAGATGTGGTATAATAGTATGGTATGAATTGGTCTATAACGCGGAACAAAATGAAAGAAACAGATGAAAGAGAAAGTGAGGGAGATCCAATTGAATATCCAATCGTCAGATATGTAAATGTAAATGTTTTTGGTAGAATCCAGCATGGTATCAAGGGTGACGGATTCTGGGTCGGATTAGAAGCTCATGAGGTCTGTTGATGAGTTAGTAAACTGTTCACCACGGATGAAGATGGAGAGGAAGGAGGAGGGGGAAAGACATACCTCGTCCAAACAACGCCCTCTTAGCCCAATCCATAGCGAGCATACACCTCGTTCTAAAGCTAACACTCTGCGCAAAGTAAACACTCCGCCAGAGATACATAGCCAGCACACCACCTCCAAAGTTCAACCCCCCAAAGTCGAAGATAGCAGCGTTACTGATATATGCCAGACTACCCAGGTGTCTGTAGTTGAACGCCTTGTAGACAGCATCGTCAAGGTCACCGTAGTCAATCTCGTTAGCCCGCAGGCCCGGCAGCGCCGCGGCGATCTTGGACAGTTTGTGGCCTAGGTATTCACCCTGTTGGTTTGCGCGCTGGGCGGTTGCGGGGAGAGAGGTTAGTTTTGTGTCGATTTGGTGGAGGAGTTCGGAGAGTTCGCCGAAGTCGAGGGTGCCGGATTGGTCTTTGTCGTATTGTTCGAAGAGTTTGTCGAGACGGCGAAGGTGGGAGGAGGCTTGAGGGAAGCGCTTCTTGACGCGGTTGGCAACTTCGCGCCATTCTCTGAAGGTGAGGTGGAGTTTCTGGGGGTCTTTGCCCTTCTGCCAGGCGATTGTGCGGAGGAAGGAGACGACGTGGTCGGCTACGTTGTTTTGAACAGTGGAGCAGTCACCGATAGCGTAGATGTCGCCCAGGGGAGATCCGAGAACACGCAGGTGGGAGTCTGTAACCAAGGCGTGCTTGTTGTTTTGCCCATCCAATTTGTCGGAAAGTGTCTTGCAAAGGTCGCTCCGCGCTGCGAGGAATTAGCCATGGCACTGCCAAATTCTAGGGAATGGTTATCACTTACAGACGCCAGTCGACCATAAGCAAAAGCCCATAGGGATCTCCTTGAGGACCTTCTTCCCGTCTTCCACTTGCGTAAAGAGAACCTTGTCTTCCTGGATTTCCTTTACCCGAGCATTGGTCAAGACATCAACACCATCGCGGTCGAAACGAGCCTATTCGCGTCAGCATCCTTGCCTCCCAGTCCATTGTAGATTCGAAACGTACTTCAGCAAACTTGGAGAGGGCTTCATCGTATGTGTTCAGGATATGACTCCGACTTTGAACTATGTGAACAGAAATCTCGTTCCTCAGAATCTTGGGGAAAGAGTAAAGCAGGTCCTCGTTAAGCAAGTCGAAAAGCTCAGCGGCAAACTCGACACCAGTCGGTCCTCCACCGCAGATAACGAAGGATAGCAGTCGTCTACGCTCCTCATCACTAGTGGTGGGTAAGCATGCCAATTCCATGTTCTCCAAAACTTGGTTCTTTATTTGCCGGGCATCGTCGATCGTCTTCAAGAAGTTGCAGTTTTCGAGTCCCTTAACGCCATGCGGGTTTGTTTTGCAGCCTGTGAGAAAAGAAGGGTCAGCAAGGCGACGTTATAACTAACAACCAAGGCCTCCAACATACCAACACCGACCACAAGCTTGTCGTATGGGAGATAGAAGTTGTGCTTGGTGCCATTGGTATCTACCCGAGACACCTCAACCAGTTTCTCCGAGAACTCAACATCTATTGCCTCAGCTTTGAGGAAGTGCCCATGAACCCGCTGAATGATCCGCCGCACAGGCTCAACCAGTGACCTCAAACCAAGTGTTCCAACAGTCGCAGACGGTAGCATAGGAGTAAAGAGGAAGTAGTTGGTAGGCGACACCACCGTGACATGGTAGTCACCTGGTGTAATGTGCTTGAGGAGAGCAACACTCCCCCAACCCGTTCCCAAAATCACCAGTCTAGGCTTATCCCGCGCTCCGACCATGCCCTCCGAATCATGTTCCCCGATAAGCACCTCCGCGATAGGCAAGTTCTTCGGTCCTCCACGCGGTGGGTTCAGCGCCAATTCCGATACCGGGATGTCCTCTGCGCTAGGCTCCTCGCGGTATGTAGTTGCATCATAGACGAAGAATGCTATTACTGCCGCGCCACTCGAAAATATGAAGAATCCGCAGTACGCGAATCCCTTATAGAGGAAGCTGAGGGCGGAAGACCGGCCCACTGCTTGGGGTGGTTTGGCGGTTTCGGATTTGAACCGCACTAATGACGCAGTATTTGGGGATTGACATCGCGCCAAGCATTGGGACAGTTCCGGTCTCCGATGAGAACTATGTAGTGTTCGGCGGGCAGCGATTCCAGCAGACACAGGAGTCCTCGAGGTAAGAGATCGATTTGAGAGTAGTCCAACCCTCTTCAGCGCGGGTCCATCCGGACGACACCGGAGCACCGCGCTCATGGTGAGCTAGAGAGCGAAAGGGCGCACAAGGTGACAAACGTTGAATACCGTACAGATCGAACAAGCCCTTACAGCGTCATGCTCAGTCAATTGCAACAAGAATGAAAAGTCAACACACACAAAGACCGGAGGGAAAGCGTGAAGAAAAAACGGCGATATCGAAACGAACGATCCGGACGGTTTGGAACCGAACACCAACGCTGCAAAGGGAAAGGCGGCGACGTCATGGTCCAGTCAGATCACGTGAGCATATACGGCAGGGGTTATTCAAGAATTCTATGCAGATCGTTGACATTTATATAAGAAGCAAGATTATAACATATCTCAAAAGCAGACAGTCTCCTCCCTGGGTAAAAGAAAACATTCCTCATAAACGAATAGATAATAAATAGTGGGAATATCGAAAGGAAATATCCGCAACGCCAGCCCCGTCTCCCATATGCAACCTTTATGTAGTGATATAACACCCCGAAGATAAAAGAAAATACAGTCATAAGAATAGAAAATACGCCTTGTGGGACTGTTCATTCACCCCAGTCCATGTCCTCGTCCGGCTCGGTGCTGGCCCTCTTTTTCGCGGATACACTCTTTCGTGCTCGCGGCTTCTTGGCGGGATTCGTTCCAGAGACAGAGCTCTTTCGTTTCATAGGCCGCTGTGCAGCCAGAGTAGCACCCATGTCATCGTCCGCACCTCCTTCAAGGCTGTCGTCCTCAGCAGCTTCATCCTCCCCGACCTTAAACTCGTCGTCGATCGCGAGCAATGTGGCGAACTCGCGGCACTTGCTGAACATGTTTTCCTCACTATCCAGTGTTGCCATGTTCCGCGCCATAGCATCCCAGAGCTTCTCGCCAGATACCCCAGGAACCTTGGTTGCTGACTTGTTCAGTTCCTTAGCCCCACCCTTGGCCTCTTTGTTCCGAACGTGTGCATTCACTCCGTAGAGACGGCGTAAGTAGGTTCGCGCTTCCCACAGCATTGACAGTGCTGCAGCTGCAGTAGCTAGCAACCGTAATGTGGCTGGGCTGACTTGGTGTGGCGGTTGTATCATGGGTGCATTCGGGTCGGCCAGAGGAACAGGCGGCATCCCTTCCGCAGGTCCAAGCTGAGAAAACAGCTCCGTCTCAATCGAGTGAGCCACAACAGTTCCTGTCGCAGCGACAATGCGCTCCATACACCCTATCGTTGGCACAAGCTCGGCCAGCTGATTGTAATCAAAGAAAGCCAGATTCTGTGAGACGAACCGGGCCATCAAGAGATGCTCTGGTGGGTTTCCAGTAGCATCCAGGTTCTTCAGCTCAAAGTTGACTTTTGAGCAGAAGTTTGACAGGAATTTCTTCTGGTACCGACTGTTGCTAATCTTGACGATCTCGAACAATGGGGCAAGCTTGGCAACATATGGCCGATTGAGAGCACCGCTCGCATCTCCAACAACGTCACGCTGATAGTAGACCGCTTCCTGCACGGCTCGCATGTATTCTCTCTCGAACATGGATTCGTATTGCTGGTGAAGCATTTTATGCGTCTCGAATGCAACCTTGGCGATGGCGGGCACTGTCGAGGTCTCCAGCGAAACGAGCACACCTGCACATTCCTTGGGGTGTACCAAACCTTGACGGTTGATACTGGCAATCAACTCGATAGCAGTTAATGCGTAAGTATCCTGCCGCGATTGCGCAACCCGAAGCATATTTTGCAGGAAATGCTGGGCGATAAGGGCGGCAGCCCCATCGTTGTCACTAGCCTTCATTGACCCGCCTAATCTTGTTGAGTTCTCTTGGTCTGCTAGTTCTGCAGTCGGCAAAACAGCTTTCTCAGCCCTGCCTTCATGCATTGCGAAAAAGTCTGCGAAGGATCTCAACACAATGTTCTGCAGAATCGGGTTGTCTTCCTTGAACACCATGGACAGAATCTGTCTTGATTCATCCCTGCCAAACTGACCCGGCCAAGATTGACAGATAGACCCAAGACTTTCAAGAGCCATGACCCTCAGTTCCGTGGGTTGCTTGGGAATCGTAAAGGGAATGATGGAGTCAACCATCAAGCCAGCGACGGACCCACCATTCCATGACGGAAATGAATTTTTGAAGTGCGGCTCGTACTTTTCGAGATCGCAATGTCGCCCAACGCAGCCCGCAATTCGGATGTAGCTTTTCGCCCGAGCCAAGACGGCCGAGTTGGCATTATCGGACAGGTCAACGTTCTTGTAATGTTGAATTGGCTTCAATACGGAGATTGTCAGCTTCACTAATCTGTCCGTGTTTTGCAAAACACTGTTAATTGTCCAGAGGCAAGCCATGACCTCATTCAGTTCCGAGCGAGCAAGTTTGGCCACGCTCTTGAAAAGGTCATTTTGAACCTCCTTCAGGAGCGTATTGTGAGCCGATGACAGATAGGGTAGAACACAGCGGTAAATCACGACGGCAGATCGGAAGATGAACAGATCTTCTGCAGTAGCAAGATGCCCGATATATGGATGAAGGGTTTCTAACTGGTCCGGGCTAAGCAGCTTCGAGTTGGCCTTCGCGAACACGGTGATCGTCTGCAACAAGGCCTGTTGGTCCTGCTTGCCTGAATTATCGCCGTCTTCCACAAGTTTCTCAAACATCGTAGAGACCATGGCCTTGCATACTCTGAAGTTGGTAGAGGAAGATTTCGAGTTGCTGGATAAGACCTTCCTGAGACAAGCACCGAGAGTCTCCAGTGCTGTTTCGCTGCGCTGAACCAAGTTAACAATCAAGGATACTTGTTCTCCAAGACCGACCTTTAACTTCGGGCCATCCTGAGCCGAATCGATAAGGTCGTAGAAGGGAGCAAGCCATATCTCCTCGAATGTTTGGCATGCTATAGTCGCCACGCTCTCTTCCAAATCTCCTGTCCGCTGCAGAAAACTGTCCAAAATCGCCAGCTTCAATTCAGTTCGAGATGTTTTAAGATAGATGTCCCTAAGCAGGCCAATGCAGCGTTTCCTCACACCTGCTGTCTGGTCGGCAGCACATGCTAAAATACTCCGGCAACCATCTTCTTCGAGCTTCGGTTTTAAGGTAATACACTTCGCAATCAGCGACAGTGCAGAATCGCGAACCATGGGTGACGCGTCAGTCGCACAGCGCAGAATCACACGCATAACGGACGCATCTCTGTCAAGGAGACTCGGGTCTTTCTCAAGCATATAAATAACACTTTTCAGACTCCGGGTGCGAACCTTCGCTTGATCACTGACAATGGAGTTGAGAAGAACCTTGAGAATGGTGTCGAAAGCTTTGCAGAAGCTTGAATTCAAGACCGTCAAGATGTAGGCGAATCTACCGTGAGCGTTCGAGAGCTTGCCAAAATGCCTATTGAAGGGGTTAGCGCCATGTCAACTCTAACCCTGTTCATAAAGTACGCACCTATGTGTCTCCAACCAAAGCGGGTCAGAAAACAGTTTGTTAAAGAGAACAACCAGACTGTCCGTGACATCGTCATATGCAATCTCCTCTTTGTCTTCTGAGTTATAGTAGACAGAGCAGGCAGTTTTCGCCCAATGTGTCAAGTAGAACCCCCGAGCGCTAGCATCCGTATTCTTGTCTTGTAGGAAGTATTCCAAGGTCATTCGATAAGGACCCTCTGGGACGATGAGATCTTGGGGATGTAAGGAACGGGCCGAATACTCGTCAAATAATTGCCTAAGAGAGTCTGTGAGATCACCATCAAATTCCTCCATTGCCGGAAGCAAGTGTTGCGCAGCTACTATAAGATCTGATATCCCTGAGCCCATCCAACCCAGAAGTTCAAGTGCCATGCTTTTTGCAATGGCAGGGCTCTTGTCAAGATCCGCGATACCAACCATCTGCGAAGCCATGATTCGAAGGAGTAGCTCTGCCGCTGGCCAATCGGTAGAGCCTATTACGCCAAGGAGATCCTCTGTAAAGAGGTCAAGAATATTTCGGAACGGTTGATCGCCGGTTTTCGTAGATGTCATTGCACGCTGAACGATAAATTTCACAATGTATTGCGCACTGCGAACTGCATTATCATAAAGATGATTGACCTTCGTCGCCAGACGTTCCAAAGAAGCCTCTTCTTCATCTTCATCCTCTCCTTCATCCTGGGCCTCCGGTTTAGCCTCTTCCATAGACTCGTCATTATCATCGTCCGCTGAAGCAGGGAGTCTTCGCTTCATCCTAGCTGACCGAGAGATGGGTGTATCCAACGCTGTTGTTTGAACAAGCTGCATGACCAGTGCCGTGAGGAGCTGGATGCTTTTACCGTCAGCGAGTTTAAATTGCCTCGCACTCTGTCGTGTCGAAGGGAGTTTCTCCAGTGAAATCAATATTTCATCAAGAATGAAAGGCCGCTGATCAGGGTATTTCGAGAAGATTTTGGCAAGAACATCCATTGCCCCACGACGAACAGACTCATATCTTTGAAATCCAATTGCGGAATCTTTGTCTGTGTGAGCATTTTCCACGAAGATCAATTTGGCAGCAAAGAACTCAGTTGCGGTGATTGTCCCCTCAGAGACATCTACCCGTGCAAGGAAATCAGCAAAAAGCGAGAGGACCTTTCTGCTTTGGTGGATCAGGCCCCCAATGACACCCTTTTGCGCCGAGAAGAACCCAAAATAGTTGGTCTCCTTACCGCCCGAACGGGACTCAGCCGCGGGGATGATGCAGTTGTCGAATACTTGATTCAGAACATTTGGGATAGCTTCAACCAGATCTTCGGGACAGAGATCACGTTCACTTTGACGGCCCGACATGGTCAACAGTAACGTAGCAATCGCGAGAAGGGCATTTTGCATATCATCTAGTTTTTTCAACCAGTCTTGCGCTTCAGACTCATTCGAAGGATCATCCAGTTTTAAGTCTGGAAACTGAGCAGTGACTATGGGCTTCTCGCAAAGTTTCTGGACCCGGTTCATGTAATCTGATGGAATATCTTGGAGTCGATTAAAACCAACCACCTTCCTTATCGCTTTTTGGATATGACCCTGTATGTCTGAGGACAATATGAAACCGCTCACTTCTAGAGACTGTGCAAACGAGAAGATCGCATTGGGACCGTCTGACCCTGGTTCTAGCTGCCCCTCAGCCTCGAAAATCTCATGAAGCAGATCTTGGAGCTTCACCAACGCAGCGTCAGCCTCTTCCTTCTGATCTTTAAGGCGAATAGAAGTAAGTTTATCTCCCCCACTCTTTGCGCCAGGCCTATGGGTATCGGGAGGGGTCGTTTTCGTAGGGATCAACACGGATAGCTGAGCATGCGATGGTATCGACGGAGTCATGGACTTGTTCAGATTGCGCGCTCGTTCGTTCCAAGATGCGAGTTTCTGGGGAGGGCCGGTATTCTCTGCTTTTGGTGTCACTTTCGGTGTTGGAGTCGTCGACTCGGGATCTGTCATATAGTCAGGTCAATAGACTACTCATCAACCCAAATGAGAATGCCCTTACATCGGAAAGCTATATCCGTCGAATCCAGTAGCATCTTTGCAAAAGGACCAAGATTGTCGCGTCTCGAAGCAATACCATCAGACGTCGAAGGTGGGTTCTGAGTGACACCTGCACCGGGAGGTAACTTGAACTTGCTACAAAATCCCAATAAGCAAATGTCACTATTATAGACGAAAGGTTCCCTTACAATTCCGTCAATTGATCCCCATCCAAAAGCTGTTGCAAGTATTCGCGAGAATTGTCTAAGCGGCTGGATTCGTCCGTCCCAGATTTGATATCACTATCGAGATCATTCAATGCAGAGCGTCCGGCCTGTAGGATGTGGTTGATAGAGGTGGTATTCGAGGGTCGACCGATATCAGGACGTAGTACGCAGTCTAGCAAAGAGAAGAAAAGTCAGCAACTGTTGCTATATCAAACTTATCAAACAAAACATTCATACCCAAGCCAAACACCGGTGCACTAGACATAGGCGAGTACTGCAGCGCCTCATCGACAGCCAGAGGCCTTGTCTGGCGCTGCTGGACCTGCTCATTTGGACCATAACTTTGCCCATAGCCGTTCGCATGATTGATGACGACCTGAACGGCCGGACGCCAGTTCGGGTCCATGGCTGCAACAGTTGGTCCTTTAACAGGTTGGTAAAAGACGGGGTTCGAAAAGACAGGAAAGGGATATTCCGCTAAGAGACATGGCTAGTTATCCAAGCCAACTGCTAGATTTCATAATACTGACAAGCATAATTTTGCTTCGTCCAAGAAAGACTTGAAAATCGTAAAAGAACGACGCAATCATTAATGCCAGGCACGGCGCTGCCGCTCCTGACCGCCCGACGCTAATGTATGGCGGTGGATGGTCCGAGCAAATCTTTCCGGCAGCAGAAAATTTGCCCGCGAGATCTTTGTCTGTTCGCACTCTTTTTTTCAGCGCTCCGTTTGTTGGTCAATCCTTTCTTGGATATCAGATTTGGCTTGGAAAGACACCGTCATCATGTCTGCCATTGGATCTTTGATTTTCTGTACCGATTGCGGAAACCTTTTGCAGGAATCGACCGGCGATGCGAATGCGGTCCTCCTCTGTGAAATTTGCGGAGCTCGAAACAAAGGTCAGTCGAACACATCATTTATAACAGATGCAAGGGCTGTCAGACTGACTTATTAATCTTATAGACACGACATCTAAAACCATTGTCTCAGAGTCCAAGCCAAGTGATTTCCCTTCAGCCTTGAGGGCCAAGCGATCGGCCGTCCAAACCTTGACCGCGGAAGACAAGAAGACGGAAGCTCTCACTCAACACACATGCGCGAGATGTGGAAGGAAAGAGATGTATTTCACAACGGTGCAGCTGCGCAGTGCAGACGAAGGAAGTACCGTGTTCCTTACTTGCGTTTGTGGTTACAAGTATGCTTGCTCTCCTTTCCCCGCATGTTTCAACTCAAAATGTCTAATTGCGACTTTTCCAATTACAGGGAAACCCAAAACAATTAAACTCCAAAAATTGCGTTATTTACTCGCATTCGCATCTGCATTTCTATGGCGTTACAGATAGGAAAAGCATGAATCGCATAATTTTGTTGGCAAAATCCATCAAGCAGCAGGTACAGCAGTGGGGGCCGCCTCGTCCGGCACCAGCGCATACTGAATTTCCCCATTCTTCTCATACTCAGCCATGTCAAGAGCCACCTGGATACTCTCTCTCACGACTTGCTCCGGGTCATTCAAGAACTTCTTCAGGGTGTCCTCGACGCCCTCAACATCGCCCAAGCTTCCGAGAGCCTCGGCAGCTTCATGTCTCACCATACCAATTTCCTGTTGGTCGCTGAGGGTTTCCGTGAGGCTAGGAACAGACGCGGGGTGGCAGAGCTGGCCGAAAACGAATGCGATCTCGTGACGGAAGAGCGCAGAAGGGTCCTTCATGCCCTTGGCCAAACCCTCAACAGCGGCCGGCGCTGTAGGGAGATCAGGGGGCGAAGCAAGATCGCGCAGGGCAAACATGGCACGGTATCGCTGGAACATAGGGAGTTCGGTATCGAGTAGTGTCTTTTCCAAGTCGGAAAGCGAGGGTTGGCTCGAGACCAGGGGAAGCGGCGGGGCAGGGTCGATAGACGAGAAGTCGCTGCAAATAGAAATATACAGTTAGAATCACTTTCCCAAGAGATCAAGACTAAGATAAGAAAGAAAAAAAAAAAAAAAAAAAAAAAAAAAAAACATACCTAGGCTTCAACTTCTCAGCCTTCCTCTCCTCCGAGTTCTCCCAAAAGATTCTGTCCACCGCGATGTCACACGTCTCGCGCATGATATCCAATTCATTCTCATCATCCCTCAATTTCTTCAGCAACTCCAAGCTGCTAGTAAAGCCCAGCGCACCAAGAGCCTCCGCAGCCTCATGGCGACACATCGCATCCTCTTTGGTATTCCTCACAGCATCCTCGAGGTAGGACACGGAGTCCGGGTTACGGGTCTGGCCCAGACAGTACGCAAGTTCATGCTTGAGCAATTCGGAGGACGAGGAGCTGAGAGCAGCCGCGATGGCTTCGATCGCGGGAAATGTCTGCTCCGTCGGGGGCTGCAGGCAGGCAAGATGCTTGAGAGAGAAGAGGGCGCGGAATCGGCGGGCTAAAGGCTCCGATTCGGAGGTGATGACTTTGCGGAGGGTGCTGATGGTGTCGTTGGACGCCATTTTTGGGTATTAGGGTATTATTATTCTTGGTTTGGGGAAGATGCGAAGGGGGAGTGTGCGGAAGGAGTTTTGATCTTATCTCGCGCCGTGATAATAATTTTTAGGTGGGGTGGCGGGGCAGGTTTGCGACGGGCTAAAAAAAAATATTTAAAAAAAATTAAATCAAACTCTGCCATGCTTTTATGTTCTGCTGCATTAACGTAGAAGCAGGTTGTCAAGTATTCTGGTAGCAAATGGCAAATATCTGATATCTGTACTCTGAACGCTCTTAATCTATAAAGATTGATATGATAATTACCCCTGTATGCTGTACCGAGAGTGTATGCATATGGATAGTTTCGCGAGATCTTCTGCTTAACCATAATTGGGGACCTTGTAATTCATATTGTTATCTTATAAGGCATCGTCATTTGGTAGGTTTTTTTTCTTTCTTTTTTTCTTTCTTCCTTTCTTTGCTTGCACAGCGTGGGTTGGGTGTTTATGGCGGAGAGGGGGATATATATCCGTTCCCCAAACGACAGATGTAGAATGCCAAAGAATATATATCAAACCGCAAACCATATTTAGAATATAGATCGCGCCACTGATTTCGCTTTTTACTTCACTATGCTTCCAATCCATTACAGAGATGTAGAGATATACAGTAGGATGCGCACCAGACTGTTGCTTGAGGCATATCGACGGGTCTTTTCCAATCTTTATATCATAAGATGGGCGTTTACTCCCAGGAAGCGGAACGTGAAAGGCAAAAAAACAACTTGAAAGAAATGGACTGCGCATTGCTTCTCGTAATCAACAAACCCAGACGCGAGGCTCGAGCATTTTGGATCAGCTGATTAAATATTTGTAGGATATGAAGCGTGATTGTCCGACCGACTTTGGGATACTGCTGGGCTCAAGATATGCCCACAGGAGACAATAGCCGTTCGGATCTCCGTTCTCTTTGATTCTAGAGGCATACAATCTTCGTTGCTTTTGTGCCTCCTCTCATGGACCCCAATCTCCATCAGCAGCTACTCGGCAAGCAAACACGTTAAATTACCCTTTTGGCCGCACATCTAAAGGAGGATGATCAATTCATTTTGCCGAAAACAATCTCAAAGAAAAGCACAAGCATGGTTATGTACATGACACAGTAAAGGAGACTCGATTATTTGGTCTTGATGTGCTTGAGCTTGCCCGGCGAGTGCGAGAAATTGTTCGCGTAGGACTTAGGAACGAACCGGCGGTCATTTGGCTCCTGCACAAAGTATTCATAGCCCTGCTTCTGGGCAAACTTGACGGCATCGTCCCTGGTTCTGAACTTCAAGTGGGTACCCTGCATGCCATCTGCAGACGACTGCCACCCCATAAGTGGGTTTTCCCACCGGTGACCCCTTTGCAAAATATCCCAATCCATTCGCCAGTGGTGGCTGTGCCAGTTTCCGGACTGTGTAGCAGGCTTTGTGGGGCGGTAGATTCTGCGAAGCGCGTTGTTAGCTCGCTGAAAAAGACGTATGTTCCTGGGCTTGGGTATGGACATACCTGACGGTCCGAGCCTGAAGGTCGGTGGGAGCACCGGAGAGGATAGCAGCAGGAACGGTCTCACCGGGCTCGCTGCCGTCCATCACGCGCTTGGGCACAGGGGAGAATTGCCTGAAGAGATACTGTCAGCCACGGATTCTCGGGCTTTCGGGCGACAAGAATCGGGGCCCTTACGAGGTGCCGTGGTCAATGGTAGCCTCATAGTCTGGCTGGTGACGGGCCATCGCCTCAGCAGGGGTCTCCTGGTTGATCAACGAACTCTCCTTGGGAGGGACAGTGGGCGCAGCGGAGGGACTCGTCTTGACAGGCGGATCACCGGGGACACGAGAGACGTTCGAAGTAAAACGGACATTGACGGGGGCGACAATCCTGCCCGCCCTGAAGCAGGCAGCGCTTCCTGCTCGGATAAACGACATTGTGGTTGGATATGACCGACGTTGGTGTGGGCAGAACGGACTGCAATTACAGCGGAAGAGGTATGCGGCGAGGTCCGGTCGTCAAGGCGAGTCCGAATTGGGTTTAGCGCGTCATGAGGCTCCCTTGTGCTAGGAACCGCTCATCCGACAACCCGCTTTTGCCGTCACTTTCCTCCCCTCTGCTATCGTCAACGCTCCTGATTCAGCAGTTCGAATCAAGGTGAGTTTGGATCTGACAGTGCACTTCAGCCGTGCATTGGTCGAATTGGCGCGAAAATGGGTCTAACATTGTCCAGTTTGCCCAAGATGAGCTACATCGCCCGCCGCGGTCTCTCGACCTTGATCCCTCCCAAGGTAAGACAACCACCGCAAATATGCGACAAGAGAGATTGGAATCTTTTCATAACAGAGACTAACTACCATTAGATCGCTTCTCCCAATGTGAGCCAGCCCCGTTGCCGTCGATAGCCTTCCGGGACGCACCCCCGCAGAATTGTTTTCCGTCCTTTCCCACACTCCGAAATTCAATATCATACTCCCGCTCAATGCAATAACTGACATTGGAGAAAAGGCGATCGGTGCCGCTCAGGATGCTGCCCGTATGGAGCGTGTCGTGAACTTCTACGCCCGCCTCCCCCGCGGTGCTGCTCCTGAGGTCAAGCCTACCGGCCTCATTGGACGCTACCAGGCCCGCTACTTCAGCGGCAAGAACGCCTCTGCTGCGCGTAAGTCACTGGAATATTTTGATATAATGTGTGTATGGCTTGCTGACCGGTCGAATAGCCCTTGCCCACGCCATTGGTGGTATCCTGATCATCGGATACAGCATGGAGTACTACTTCCACCTCCGTATGTCGCCCTTTTGACTTGCTACAGTGATATAATATGGAGCAGCTGCTAATGAAGTACCAGGTCACCACAAGAACCACCCTCACTAAACTTTCCAATTTTGACGTTTGCCGGGTGCGGTGGATTTGATGTATATAACACCAAGCCTTGAATCAAGCCACGTAGAAGAGGAACTACCTCATGCCTCATTATTCCCATGTCACGAGGATTGATTACAGAAAGAATTACCCGTAGCTTGTCGGTCATCTTACTCTTCCATATGTTGCCGAAATGTGTGTTCGCGGTGGTCATAGGAGAATTACACACAACCACCGCCAGAGAAAAAGAGAGGAAAAAAAAAAAAAAAAAGATTATACAGACAGAAGCCCCTCACCCTGTAGAGTAAAGACCGTCTATCATCACTTCTCATTAACGGCAGTCAGTCAACGGGCAGTAGCATCCGTTGCAAACATCACCAGCCACAAAGGGTTTTGGCTTCTTTTTACTACTCTTGGGTCCCACGCTAACCGAATGCAGCCACCTCAGCTTCGCCCGGGAACCGTCACTCCATTCATTCACTATTACTGCCCGCTCATCCAACTCTCCCCTCCATCCCAGAGGATTCTTTGATTTCTTCTTCCTTCTGGCCTTTCCCTTTTCCCTTTCTCCTCCGTTCGCACATTTCTCGCCAGTCCGACTTACGCGGGACTTTCACCACTACCCGTTATTAACTCCTCAACTCGAGTTGAGCGCTCTCTGCCGTCATTCGGAGATTTAGACCACCCCCTCCCCCAGGGCTCAAAACCGTTTGAGCTAGCTAGCAGTTTCAACCGTGGCGATTCTCGATACCTGATCATAGGTATTTAGATCACTTTCTTCATGTCTCTATCTATGATATAGCCGCCATCGTTTTCCGTTCATCATATCAGAGCGCTTTGTCTAACAGATGTCGCAATCTGTCGACCCTGCAGACTCGAGAATTGTTATGGCAGAGCAGAACGGCCACGATGTGGTAAATCGAACCCTGTCGGGCGGCGAGCCTTCGCCTTCCGACGTTCCTGCGAGCACCAACGACAAGACACCTGCTGGAGGGGACGTGGGGGAGATCAAAGATACCGCAACAACAACGCAACCCGACATAAGAACGAACGATCAGGAGAATTATGGGGAGAGAAACGTTGGTGATTCACTACAATACCAGAAGGATATGGAGAGAAATAGTGGGGCTCCAACGACAACTGTGAGATCTGCAGCCTGACAAGTTGCGTTTTCCCAGCTGCTAAACCATAACTTAGGAGACACGCAAGCAGGGCCCGGTACCGGTCGCATCACGAGCACTCGAAATGAGCGGACGGACGGCTTCATCGGACGGTGGAGACGATACAGGCTCGCAGGGCGGTTCAGAATCTGATGCTAGTCGAGCGGATAAGCCCTCGCGCGTTGGGTCAGTGAAAAAGCCAGCATCATTCAAGCCAGTTTCCTTTGCGAAATTCTCCGTTCCAAAAGCACCAGGCGCCCCGGCCGCACCTAAAGCCCCCGAGAGAGGTAATCACTGCCTTGCCGTGTTTCTCATAAAGCGAACCATTTTCTAACTGCCAGATAATATAGCGCCATTATCTACAGCTACGCCGTTGGGTGTTCCGCAGCCAAGCTCACGACCGCGTTTGGTCGCAAAGTCAACCAGCCTTCGAGATTCATTAACCAAAACTGGACCAGGTGCAACGAAGCCGGGTGGAGGCGGGCCTGATCCGAATCAAGTCTGGAATAGGAATCGACGTAAGTTATCAACAACGACCGACACCCCTTTTCTGGTGAATAGTGATCGCTGACTCTCACGCGCACAGCGGCCCAACCTCCGCCTTCGAAGCACTTGACCGACGAAGAACTGAAGCAACAGTATGGAATTCACTTGACGTCGCGTATTCAGGAGGATGCTGGCGCAACAGAGGGCAAGTGGGCCGATATCGAAGACGACGAAGATGACTGGGCGCCGGAAACAATAGAATGGACGGATGGGACGAAGACAAATCTTAACAACGCAGAACCACCATCACAACCCGGACCAGAAGTCAAACCCCCACCGGAGCCAAAGGAGCCTCTCCCTCGGGTAGAGCAACCTTCGCCCTTGAAGGAGACTGCGAAACCTGTTCCAAAACTCACGACATCTATCGGACCGAACCCTACTGTACTCCGTCTTGGAGCAAACGCCGAAAAGCAAGCAAGGAGCACGAGTATCTCGTCCAAAGGCATTCACGACAAGTTGGCCTCCTCATCGACAGCTCCGCCCCCAACAAAATCACCATGGGCACCCCTACCGCCTGTCGAGAAGGTGTCTCCTGTCGTTCCGCCTGTCCAACTTCAGCCACCATCTCGAATTCCCAATAGAGAACCTCCAGTTAGTGATGGCCCTAGTGGACCTGCAACTGGCGGGTTTCCGCCTAGTGGTTTCTCGCAGCCGAGAGAGATCGCAGCGGACGATTTCAATCGAGCATGGAAGGATTCGCAAGGAGCGCCCCGGGAACTCTACAACTCCAGGTCAGGCCGTTATGAACCTGTCTCCGAAACCAGAAGGGGGGCTTGGCGAAACGAACAAACAGTTCGCGGCCCGTCAGTCTTACAGAGACCGGCCCCGGGAGAGCAAACGGGGCCTGCAGAGCCTTCAGCAGCTTTCCAGACTCACAGGGCTGGTGGCCAAGATGGTGCGCACTGGACGCGTCGACGCACCTCCTCCAATGTTAGTGGAGGGAGTGGGAGTTTTGCGCGCCGGATGTCAGTTGGTCGCCCTGACGTGACCCAGCGAGCCTTGGAAGGCAGAAGAGGGTCACAGGTAAACGGAATGATCGAACTGCAACCGCCGGACCGAGAGTTGCCGGTACCGAAAGGAGCGCAATTGCGAGATGTCTCACCTGGTCGACAGGTCCCTGGACCGGCTTGGTCGACTCGAGCCCCCGCTACCATCAATGACATGCCTGCGTCCGCAGTTAGCGGTGCGCCTCAGCAGCCGCAGCCACCGGCTCCCTTGGGAGAGCAAGCCGCAGCACCGCAGGTTCCCCAGGAGGACCCGGTTGCTATGCAAGAGCGTATCATGAAAGAAAAGAGAATGGAAGCCCGGCAACGGAGGATTGAACAAGAGGAGAAAGAAGAGGCCGCAAAACGTGAACGAATTCGACAGAAGCTTGACGCTCTGGGACCAGCGCCTGAGAAGGCAAAGCGTAAAGAATCCATCGATGCCAGTCAAGCTGAACCGACTGCAGTAACCTCTCATTCTCCGCCCAAGCCTCCGGTGCCCGAACCGACCGGTGAGCCAAAACAATATGGAATGATGAAGGTGCATCACCCCGAGTCGGTGAAGAAGCTTGTCGCTGCAAATGAGAGAGAACGAACCGCCGAGAGACCGCCACCAACAAGCATTGCAAAACGGGTTCCTTCACCAGCTCGCGAGCCACAACAGGATGCGCCTGCAGCAAATGGACTTGATAAACCCATAGAGTTTCAGCCACAAATCCCAGCCAAGAATCCTGAACCTCAGGTCGACGACCAGGGTCCTCAATGGAGAAACAATCTTCATGTTTCAAATTCATATTCTCCGTGGTCCCCGAGCAATCAATTTATCAGGTCCCCTCCTTCCCTTACAAACCCCTGGAAACCTTTGAGCAATGATAAGACTTTGGGCAACGGGATATTCGACCCAAGTCTAGGAGGCTTCCCTGCGAAAGATCTTACTCCTTTGCGGGGTCCTCTAAGCCTGGACCAACCGCCAATCGTGCCTGTCTCTCAGCCATTCTCTGCTCCTCCGGAAACCGTATCGATATCTCCCCTGCCATCGCCTGAGGTAAAGAATACACCGTATGATCCCCTGAGTACTCTCGGACACCCGGGCCCTATCGGACCCCCAAGTTCGCAACAACCCCACTGGCCACATGAGCCTCGCGTTACCGGGCCGGCAGCATGGAATAATTTCCAGACTGTTGCGGCCAAACGTGAAGCCGAAGAAAACGAGAAGCGCCGGAATGAGATGAATGCATTCCGCGACGGGCCGTCTTCCCTTCAGGTCAATTTCAATGAAACATGGCGTCAAGTCCGGACCGGCGATCAGGTTGGACAGAGGCAGCTTGTTGGTATTACGACGAGATCAGCAGAACCGACTATACCGGCATCGAATCCCCTACCTGGCCTCGATAATGTTGGTGGTCTTCCCTTCCCTGACAGCCATGCACGCCCGTTTGTTATGCCTCGTAGTTCGCGGTTCTTCCCTCAGGCAACTGAGCAGTTCAAGAAACCAACTGTTGAAGAAGAGTCCTCCAGAAGCCCTTCGCCTCCACCACCAGAGGAGATTTGGAGCCATCCTGTCTTTGCAAGTGATTCGAACAGGCCTCTGGTTCATCTTCCTGCACCCAAACCCGTTGTCAAGCTTCCGCCAAAGGCCGTGGCTCCCCCTCCTGCTCCTCCAACCTTTGCTTCTATGGTGGCAGCACCACCGCGAAACCCGCCACCCATCTCAACAGCGACATCTTGGCAGGAGAAGATCAACGGTCTCTTTGGCAAGAAGACAAGCCCTGAAAAGAGGAATGCGTTGGCAGTTACATCAGCCACCAAGGAACCTCTCGATGTTCCTTCACAGATTGCGGCAGTTTCAGTTTCTCTGCCTCACACCGTTGAGGTTGAGCTTGGTCGTGAGATCGAAGACGGGATATTCACTGCTAAACAAGTCGAGGAAGCAGAGGAAATGTTTGAAGACCGTGAGATCGGTTCTCTGCCTGTCGTGAGGGTACCCAATATGGCACCTCCAGCTGCTTGGCGCGCTGCACCGCCGCCAGCACAGGCCCGGCCGAAACCGAAGAATGTGGTCCAGGTCCATAGCGTTGAGCCGTACCTTTTCGGATTCCAAGACAAGGATCCCTCTGGCAATATTCGGATTTTTATTCGCTTCCCTGGAGCAAATGTCCCGAAAGTTCTGACACTTCCTAAGAAGGCAGGCAGTCATAACCCTCGACACCGTGGTCCATCGAGTTTCAAACCTCGTAAGGGTGGTAAACCGCGAGAAGGGCCGGGGAACGTCAATCCCAAGAAGTCAGCTCCGTCTCAACAGCAAAGCAGTGGGAATGTAGCA